CTGCACAGCGCTTCATTGCAGCACCACAGCGAGCGTGTCCTCCCAGTCGAGGCGTCAGTGGGGACATCCATCCCCCCTCGTCTCCAGCGAAGCTTCCATGGAACGGCGCCCAACCGGCCGGCCCACCGAAAGTGACATCAGCTCTCCCCTCCCATGCCTCCGTCCTTCACATGTGTGTGTGCCCGCCCGCTGGAATAAAACCCCACGAACGTCCTCACATCCTCATCCTCATCCCGTCGCGGGCCAAACTACCAACGATTACCCCAAGTAAAAGCACATCATCACCACTGCAGGCAGGCCAGCCACGATGAAGACGCCCTTTAGCATCGCCGCAAACCCCGACACGGACGTGTGGAAGAAGCCGCCCACGCACGACGTCTTTAACGGTGCGTACCTTTTCTCCCAACCATCTGCCCCTCCCCCGCGTCGTCACCATCACCGTCACCACCATCACCACCACCCTCACCCTCACCCTCACTCTCACCGCGCCCTCATCCTGGTTCCTCACCCTCTCATCCTCAACCCCCTCAAGCACCACGCAGCAAACGTCCTCTGACACTAACCCGCCACACAAACATCTAGCCCCCTACCTCACCCACTCCCGCCAGCCCACCACCGCCTTCCGCTCCGCCTCCCTCACCTTCGCCTCCCCCTACGCCACGCAGTTCGACCAGGCCGGCCTCCTGCTCGTCTTCCACCCGCCCTCGTCGCACCTCCCCTTCCCCGCCAACAACATCAAGTCCCCGACCGACGTCCCCGCCCACCGCAAGTGGATCAAGGCCGGCGTCGAGTTCTTTGACGGCGCGCCCCGCCTCAGCACCGTGTGCTGCGACAACTGGGCCGACTGGAGCGTCGCCTCGCTGCCGACCACCACCACCACCACCACCACCACTCCCTCCTCGGCGGACGCCGACCAGGCGCTCGCCGAAATCGTCGCGGGGCAGCGTCCCGTCACAATCACCATTGCAAAGGAAACGAGCAGCAACGGCAGCTGCCTGTGGGTGCACTACGTCGATCCCGCGACGGGTGCCAAGACGCCCATGCGCGAGATCAACTGGCCGTATGGCGAGCCCGCGGGCCCCGGGTGGGAGCTCGAGGTGGCGGCCGCGGTGGCGCGCCCGGCCAAGTCGACGACGGACAAGCTCGAGGCGACGTTTACCGAGTTTGACGTCAAGTGGGCGTAGACCACCCAAAGAATCCACATGAGATCTGCGCATGGCACAAAGGCCTTGTGACAAGATGGGCGCTTGTTGGAGGAGGGCAGATACTAGCTACGAAAGAGAGGTGTCTACGAGGTGGACGCGGATCCACGGCCATGTATGGAAAGACATCAATGTCACAAGAGAGAGGAGCGCGCGTGAGGTGACCGGCTCTCATTACCTCGCTCTGACGCAGTCACGCCAGGGCAGGTCGTCTCGCGACCTAGTTAAATACAAGACAAACGCACACGTACGGAGAGTACCGTAGACGGCCCAACGCACACCCACGCTCACACGGAACACGCGCCATCAAGACGCCGTCCGGCTCACATGTCCTCGGCATGCCTGAACCCCCCATTCCTCCCCTCGCGCATGCGCCGCCATGATATTTTTCTCCATTTTTTTTTTTCTTTCCTTTCCCAGAGGAGTGTTTGTTCGTTCGTTCGTTCCTCTGGCGCACACCATCCGCGGCATGTAGTAAACCCCATGCAGGTTCTCTCCTTCTCCGTCGTCTTCCCCCTTGCGACAAAGGAGAGTGAATACAAAACACGTCGAGTCGTAGTGGCGGGCAGCAGAGTAGAGTGTCAAGACAAACACAACTGTGCGCGCAAAAACAAACCAAAAGCAGATCGGAGAGGCCAGCGCGAGAGTGACGACCGGCGCGGAGCACCCCTCGTGCAAACCCGTGCAAGAAGAGCCCTCCCCTCCGGGCGCCGCTGTCCTCCCCATGCCAGGATGGAGGCTTCCCCACCCCCTTTTTCTTGCCACTCCAGCTGCAGGCAAACGGTCTATAACACCAAACGAAGCGCCAGCCCGAGAGCGCTGCAAATCGTAACAAAAGAGAAGAAAGGGGATTCGTCCCATCCACATGTCCTGTCCTGAAATATCATGGGCCCTTGCTTCCAATCTGGGGCCCAAGCAAGACGCGGCGGGCAGATGCTGTAAAAACGCATAATGAGCCTCCGCTTCACGTCATTCCTCCTCCAAATCTGACACTAATCATGAGCTTCGTCAAAAGTGCAAGCAAATGCAATACATGACTCGATCCCAGACGACAAAAAACGCCAGAGTGGAAAGAGAAAAACGTCCAAGACGCCGCCGTGTATGGGTATCGAGTAGAGATGTGCGAACAAGAAAAAAGGCGGCGCGAAGAATCAACACGAGACCCGCCGGAAAGGCAAAATCAAGCACAATAAATGTTCGAGCGGAGGACCGCGGCGCGCATTCCAAACGGCGGGATCATTAACCCTCTCTGCCCGTGTACTCACCAAACCTCGGCCGGCCACCTCGCGAGAAGCGAAAGAAAGGAGCAGGTCAAGGCAACAAACTCCCCGGTGGAATGCGTCAATCTGATGAGGGAGCGTCACAGCAAACAATCCAACGCCGTCCGGTACTCCGTAGTCCCCATGGCATCGCTTTTACATGAATGAGCCGTCTGTTTTTTTTTCGGGGGTTTTTTCTCTCGGTGTGAACCTTGCCATCCGACAAGAGCTTGTCCCTCCACATCGACACACAGCGGCGTCCAGGTCCTGAGTGCGATTTTCCCAAGGCGCAAGCGCCTCTCAGACCGTCTTGGGCGTGCGCGCGTTGCTCACGTCAATGACGTCGTCGAGGTGGTTGCACATAGCGACAAACAGGTCGAAGAAGAGCTTGCTGCCGCCGGCCTCCATCTCAGCCTGCATGGTGCCGCTGCGCTTGAACGTCTTGCGGCAGCGGATGATGAGGGCGAGGTAGTGAGCCCGAAGGCGGCTGTCCGAGTCGGGCGTGTGAGCGTAGGCGTACTGGGCGGACCGCAGGATGGTGCCGACGTCGATGCCGGCCTGCAGCCCCTGCTTGCGCAGGGCCAGGCGCTTGAGCTCCTCGAGGCCGTAGCGGTCCGCGGCGCAGTAGATGACTGTGTCGCGGAGCACCTCGGCCCCGGCGCTGAAGAGGTAGACGGTCGCCTCGGGGGCGCGGCCACCGTGGTCGTGTTGGTGATGGTTGAGGTTGGGGGATGCCTGGGGCGTCGTCCGCGAGGCGCGGTCCTCGAGGTCCCAAGAGTTGCGCTGCCTGTTGTGAAGCAGGCGCGGGTAGTAGTCGCCCTTGTAGAGGTACTCGAGTACGGCGGAGAAGACCTCGGGCTCCTCGTCGGGTAGGGAGATCCTCCTGCTGCTCTGCGCGTCGGGGAAGTGGCCGCCGCGGCAGGCCGCCTCGAAGAAGGGCGACTGGCGAAGCACGTCCTCGTGCGCTGCAAAGAGCCGGCCCTCGCGGCCCACAGTGATGGTCACGATGGGCGAGGGCGTCGCCGAGGACGACGGCGCCTTGCGGGAGGAGGCGTAGACGTCCTGCTCGGTGAGCGATCTCTGCAGTCTCGACAGCTTCGTGGGATCCCGAGCTGCTGCCGCCTGCTTCTTTAGCCTCGCAGTCTTGTCGACGCGGCTGCTGCTCTGGTCCTGCGACCGGAACGAGCGCTTGAACATGGTGACTGCGGGAACTTGTGGTCTCGTAAAGAACGACGGTTGGTTCGGGACGGGGTTGGGCGCGCGAGACAGGGAAACGACGGCTGTGAGCTGTCGCGATGTCGAGCGAGCCGGCGGGTTGAACGAGGGAGCGACGAAACGAGAGAGAGGAGGGCGGAGGATGATTCAAAAGAGTGTGTGTGACGCACAGGGGATTGACTGGGCCCGTGGAGAGATTTATACCCTCTTGCGATGAGCAAGACTGTACAAACCTCGAGAGACTTTGCGACCCGTTTGGCTGTGTGTGGGGGAGAAAGGGAAGAAGCGAGACGGACGAGGTTTGGGGCGAGACGTGACTTTATCAGGCGCCAGCGAGGTACCCCGACGCGGGGTTGTCTGCCTTGGGGGTACCTGGCCGCCTCACCATGCCGCACTGTGGGAGTCGATTGGACGTTGGAGTTGATCAACAACAGCAGTCCGTCCGTCAACGCCCGTTACACCACCACCACCAGCCGCACCCGCCATCGCCCGCATCATCGGCGCCACCCTCGACCTCATCGCCGAGCAACAAACAAAGCAACAGCTCGTCAACATGGCTCCCCGCCCATCTCCCCTGCCAATGCCTCGCATGCCCGCCCGCCCTCGACGCCCAAGGCATCGCCGAGTCGAGCCCACGTGAGGAGGCATCGATGCGTCCCATCCACCCGTCGTTCCTCGGCCCCTGAATCAACCCGCCGTGCCCAACGACGCCGCCAGCGCAGCACTACACGGCCCCGGGCCGTCACTCCCAACTGTCCGTCGTCCGCCTCGATCCGCCCGCCCCAGGGCAAGGCACCAACGACCCGCGTCACTGTGCTCGGCCCAGCGCCGCTACCCCAATCGGCGCCGGCCACCAAGGGCTGCGGCTGCCCTGAATGCCACGACACGCTCGCCCTGCTGATTGGGCAGGCGGCCGATAGACTCGCAGTTGACTGCCAGCCCGGCCAAGAGACCCAGGCAGGAACAAGCGAGGTGGGTGGGTGGGCGCTGAGCTCGCTGTGGTGGATGCATGCCGCCGCGTGTGGAGTGTGGAGCGGTGGGCACTGGTCTGGTCTGGAGACAGTGGACAGTGAACAGTGGACACTCTGCAAAACCTCCGGCCTGCATTACATCTCCAACCGCCATGGAACTCAACATCCACCGCCCCGGACACTGCCAAGCACTGGCACAATCGCGGCCCAACAATACCAAAATCCCGGCTTCATAGGAGTTGCATTAATGTAGAGTACGAGATAAAGTCTTGCGGCGTGCGTTTCTAGGGCCCATTCCAAACGTCCCGGCGCGCCTCATTCTGCGGCCCTCATCCGCCCAACCTCCGTCCCCCTCCCCACCAGTCACAAGGTTTCCGTCGCTTGGGCAAGGCGGTGGGCACCAGGCACGCAAGCCAGCTGGCGCTCAAGAGTGAAGCGCCCCATTGGAGCCCTCGGCGCCCTGGATCGACTTGGTCAGGCCCTCCCGGATGTAAATGAAGCCCTGCATCAAGATGTACACTGGCCCCGTGTCAGCTGACTGCCCGTCACGGCACCAGGAGAGGTTGCTTACGGATCTGCGACAGGAAAACGAAGCCGACGCAGTATGTAGTCACGGCCTCCTTGGATCCAACCTCTTCCTCGTCGAGCCAGAAGAAGGGAAACTCGCCCGTCAGAGCCTTGCCGATTGCGGCCCAACCCAGGTAGAGGCCAGACATGGCCATGAGGCCAACAAAGTGAGATCCAAGGGCCTGGACACGTCAGTCAACGAGCACTCCCAAGGGGGCATGTGATGCGTACAAATGGTCGCTTGATACTGTTGAAGAAGAGAATCTCGATCGCCATGATGCACGGGTTGATAGCGTGCAGGGTGATGAGGACAAAGGCCTTGAACCACCCCTCGCCGAAGAGATCGCTGACTGTCCAGGCGTCAGTTCAGAGTACATGGACGACGGGCGGAGTCCTCCTACAGGGTTGTTCTGGCATCTGCGCCGTCACCAAGGCACTGACATCCTTGCCGGGAGCCGCGAGCACATCCAGTCCACCAACGGCGGCCGCGACAATTGCGTCTTCGCCGCCCGCCTCGTGGGCGCGGGTGATGAACCAGTAGATGACCGAGTTCATGAAGGAAAAGACGGTGGCCGTCGAGTAGAACAGCGTAAAGTAGAATTGCTTGCGGAGACTTCCCATGTTGTGAGGCAGAGACATGACCTTGATGATCACGGACTCGACTCCGCCCCGAACCGCATGGCGGTCGGGATGGTACAAGTGGGTAAAAGTCCAAGCCTGTCACTCATCAGCACCAAGTCCACCACGGCCACCGCACAAGATGACGTACCCAGGTGATGAGGTGGTAGACAAAGACCAGAATGTGGCAAATCATGGTGAAGCTGAACAGGTGCTTGAACTTGGTCGTCTCAGAGACCTCGACGTTGATCTTGTAGTGGCCGATCATGGCAGATGTGGCAGCGAGGTATGCCAGCGTCAGGGCTCGAAGGATCACCAGGTGATTTTGAGCAACGAACTTCCATGGCGAGTGGCAGGCTCGAAGGAACACGGGCTGCAGACAGGTCAGCGACGGTTCAAAAACGGACACATGTGAAGGGCGCCTTGCGTGGTCCTGGATGGCACCGGGAAGGCCGCCGGACGAGAGGAGGGGAGTCGACGACATATCGCGGCGGCCTGCACGGCTAAGCGAGTGGCCCATTCAAAAAAGGTGCGAACATGCGAGGAAGAATCAATGCCGATAGCGATGGTTGGAGCGAGAAGCCAATACAAGCCAGCCACTGAAGTGACGGAGCGAGGCGAGCTTGGGCGCGGAGACGAGGATGGAAGAGAGAGAAGAAGAGACGAGGTTTGTATTGCGGCAGAGAAGACATGGCTGTTGTGGTGCGAGAGGCGCATAGTGGGAAGGTGCGTGAGGAGAGGCGGGAGTCGAGGAAAGAGCGGGAGATGGGTCAAGGTAACGGGAGGTAGGAGCCAGCGCTGCTGTCTCTGCCGGTTTGTACCTCCCTCCATCATGAAGCATCCGCCAGCGACGCACATGGCAGCGAGCACGAGCGACAAAGCCAGTCTTTCTTGCGATGGGGTCCTTTCTTGCGTTGCGAAACAGTATCCAATAAATTCGATCCCATTTACGCCTTCAAATCGGTCGTGTCGTATCGTACAGAAGCCAACCCATGCAGTCACGTACAAGCTCGACCGCATCTACTCGTCATGCCTCTTGCTGGCGGCGCCCTCCTTCTGCATGCCCTCGCACCCCGTCCACTTGCCGGCAATCTCCTCGGCCTTTCCGTAGCCCTGGTGCGGGTCGCGCTTCTCTCCTGCCTTTTGCATGGCGGCGATGCCCGCGGCCTTGTCCTGCTCGCCCGACGCCTTCCACGGCTGCGAGCCGGTGAGGCCCCCGATGGTGGCCTGCCAAGGAAGCATCCCAATGTCAGTGGGCATTTCTTACCCGGATGCTGCAGATGGGAGGAGTCGAGGGAGGCCAAACTTACCTCGGCGGCGCCCTTGGCGTACTGGACGTGTCCACCGACGAGGCTGGGCTGCTGGGACTGGTTGCCTTCGGACATGATGTCGAGACGTAGGGTAGGTGGGTAGACGGTGGTTGGAGTTGAGGAAGCGGATTTGACGTCTCTCGAACACTGATGCAATGGAGAGGATGGTCGTGTGTGGATTGCAAAGACGCCGAGATGGTTGCAGAGTCCAGCACTGGCTCTATTTAAGCGTTGCACTCCATCTCAAGCAGCCAGAGCGATGACATCGGCCGCGTGCTTGCAGCTTCAATCGTCCATGACATCACCGCGACGAGTGCGGCACGCTGAGCAGTGAGGCAGCCGCAGCAGCATCGGTTGGTGGCGCTCTGGCGGCTCCAGCTGATGCAACACCCGCTGAACCCCACTGGAGCTCACCTCAGTGCCGTCCAGTCGGGCTGGTGGGGCATCGAGGTCCCTTCCTCCATTCCTCAAGCGCTGGTGGGTGGTGGACCTAGGCTGAGGCCACCTGGACAGGTCCCATCATCCCTGGGCTGGGGCGGCCAGCGAGCTCTCCCATTGGCCCGTGCGCCTTGCCAGATGTCCAGATCTCCAAACGCCAGAAAGACAGCTTGCTTGCCCGCGTGTCAAGATCCCGCGATACCTCAACGTAACCCTCCGAACACGCCCAATTGTCCCTCCCCGTCGCCGCAGCAGCACCAACACCGCGCTGCCCGTCCCGACCGACCGACCGCCCCATCGCTCCGTCTCGGCGCCTCTTCCCATTTCCTCCACCCGGCGGCACTCGAGTCCCACGCCGCAGTAGCACCAGCCGGCAGCCATGTTGTCGGCCCTACAGAACCCGCGGCAGGCCGCCGCGCAGCTCCTCAACTTTGCCCTCATCCTGTCTACGGCATTCATGGTGCGCCGCACTCCCCCCCTCAAGACCAGTCCTCCCACGTCCTCGCGAACCGCGCGCTAATGCCCCTCCCCCCTCAACGCAGATGTGGAAAGGCCTCTCCGTCGCGACCGACTCGCCCTCGCCCATCGTCGTCGTCCTGTCCGGGTCTATGGAGCCCGCCTTCCAGCGCGGCGACCTGCTGCTTCTCTGGAACCGCAACATCTGGGAGGAGACGGCCGTCGGCGAGGTGGTGGTCTACAACGTCAAGGACAAGGACATTCCGATTGTGCACCGCGTGGTGCGCAAGTTTGGCACGGGGTATGTGTTTCCACTGTTTCGCGCATCGGGCGACCGGCCGACGAAATACGCGATCGACCGAGTGACTGACTGACTCTGCGCAGAGACAAGGCCAAGCTGCTCACCAAGGGCGACAACAACGTGGCCGACGACACAGACCTGTACGCACGCGGGCAGGACTACCTCGAGCGCAAGGACATCATCGGGAGCGTATACGGCTACGTGCCGTTCGTGGGGTACGTGACGATTATGCTGTCGGAGCACCCGTGGCTCAAGACGGTGATGCTGGGCATCATGGGCCTGCTGGTGGTGCTGCAGCGGGAGTAGAGAGGCGGGCTGCGAGCGGGCAAGAGTCGTGTTTTACGAGCGGGTGGTTGCGTACTCGGTACCGGGCGTCGACATGGACATGGCCGGGGCCTCGATAGACAGGCAGAGAGCGAGCGTGCAGACAATCAAGACGGCCTTTGATACCGTTGGCGGGACCCTTGCTGTCTGTGTCCGGGTGTGTCTTTGGATGACACTGGACAGTTATTGTGACAGCGGCTGCGAGACCTCGTGCACCAATGGGTGGCGTTGACATGCGATGGGCATCACCATGAGGGTTTGTCAGTTGTAGTAGTTGGCCGGTGCTTGCTTGCGCAGACCGTTTATTAGCAGCACCAATCTCCCGGATCCATGCCCATCTCAGCCCTGCCCCGCGAGTCGCGACACCAGCAACGGCAGCGTGACACGCCCGCAGCGCAGCCAACCGCCACATTCATTCGCAGACGGGCCATCCCGGCTCCCTTCCGGGTGGCGGTGCGGCATTCGTACGAATTACTACTCGAGCGTTGCGGGAGGGCAGATGCCGCCGCGTCGGACCCCACGTTGCGTCCGTCCCGCGGCACCACCGCGCAACCGGGTGCGGGATGGATGGATGGATTGATGTTGCGTGTTGCTTCAACAACTTCTGTTGGAGGTGGGCAGGGCGCACAGCCGGGCACAAGCGGACGATTGCGGCTCTGCCGACAGCCAGACCAGAGACAGACGGCGGGAAAAAATGGACTGGGCTGCACCTGGCCAGGCCAGGCTTGGCGAGCACGACGGACTGGTGGGATGGATCAACAAGCGTTCCATCGTTGCTCAGGCCCCGGCGCGCCCAGAGGGTCTGCAGAAGCTCCAGGCCAGTAGGGCTGTGCCGCGCCCCTGGGAGGGCCCGCTGGAGGCGAGAGTCCACCAATTGCAGCGGCTCGGCTGGGCTGCGCCCCCCCGTCCATAATTAGCCACGGGCCCCAGGGGCAGCAGGGCAGGCACTGACTCGGGCCTGGGGGAGCGTTAGCCGCTGGCGAGGCCCGTCGAGAACCGCTGGACTCTGCGCGGGTTCTCACCTAACGCTGGCGCAGAGGCGCGGGCCCCTGCCCGATTGAGAAGTCGCCGACGGGACTGGAACACGACCACCACCACCCGGCACCACCAGGCCCTGCTGTCGTGACGGGACTCCATTGCAGGGCCTGCCTGGCCTGGCCTGGCAGTCCATCGTCTGATGAGGCGTCGAGTCACGCCAAGCTGCCTCTGCTGCCTGCTTATTTTTTCCTTCTCTCCTTTCGCCTCCCTCCCCCCTCCTTGCATCTCGTTCGTCATCCCACTGGCTATTTGATCCCCTTTGCTGCCCAACGCGGGCGCACGACTCTCGTTTCTTTTACCGTTTTGCTTCTCGCATTATTACCGTCACTCGTTTTTTCCCGTCGTCTAGTATTGCCGGCCGTTTCGATTAGGACTCCTCTCAGCAACACTGCCGCCGCCGAGACACTGAACTGGGACGCCCACACCGCCTGAGACAGCGACCGACCGAACTGCAGAGCCGCATCGTTGCGAGGAGAGAGACGGACAAGACAGACACACAGACGAACGAAGGACCGCCGGCTGTTGCAAGCCCGAACCGCCGCCATGGCGCCCGAGACGTCGACGCAGACCGACACCCGAGGCGAGGCCGTGTCGCCCGTCACGAGCACGGCGACGTCTGCACCGCCGTTGCCACACCACGAGCAGCACCAGCACCAGCACCAGCAGCCGCCCGTCCAGGAGCACTTTGCCCCCGCGATGCCGTCCACGGCGCATCACGTCGACCACCGCGGCAGTGCCGCCATCCCCCAGCAGCCACACCAGCCGTACGTGCTGTACCCGGCGTCGTATGGCGAGCACTACGTGCCCTACGAGCAGAGCCGGCAGGCGGACATGCTGCGCCAGGGGCACGCCCAGGGAGCCCAGGTCGTGGCCCCGCGCATCATCGTCCCCGAGACCAAGTCGTGGCGCATGACCAAGGATGTCCTGCACGTCCTCGCCATGGTTATGAGCATCGCGGGCATCGGCATTGGTATCTCATTAGCCAGCAACAGCTACTCTGGCCTGATGGGCACCCTCGTTAGCGTCCCGATTGTACGTTTCTTACCCAACGGTGCTGCATGTTCACTCGTCAGGCCTGTTGCTAACAGTCGGTTGCGTAGTTTGGCGTTGCCCTTATTTGGAGTCTCGCCGAGATGATTACCCGCGCGACGACCCATTGGGGCCCCGGAATACACCCCGGCGCGCACGTGGGCATGTGTCTCATCTTGTGGATCGCGGCCGTCATTGCTGGCGGCTGCTGCGCGACGGTCGTGGCAATTGCCGATGACGACTGCGAAAGCACGTACCGCTCCTCTCGGTACTACGACGACAACTGCTTCTACGGCCGAACTCGCGGGCGGTTCCTCGGGCTCGCGATCCTGCTCATCGGGCTCTTCGTGGCCGAGTTCATCCTCTTCGTCGGCGGCTGCATCGACACGAACAAGCGCAACAAGGCTCGCTCCAACGCCCCCGTCATGATTGTCGCCCAGCCCGGCATGTACCCGCACGCCATGATGCAGCAGCAGCCGCAGCAGCAACAGCCTCAGCAGCCCATGACCCAGCAGTACTTTGCGCCCCAGCACGCGTACCACCCGCAGCAGTTCAGCGCCATGCCGCCTCACGCGCAGGCGCCGGCACACGCCCGTGCCATGCCCGAGGGCTCGGAACGCACGAGGGAGAAGCAGCCCGAGGGAACACAGCCGGCCATTACCGAGTTTTATTCGCCGGCCGGGCCTGGCCACGCGGTGTAAGCCGGGTTAATTGGTTTTTGGATATTTTTCACGACGAGCATCAGGACATTTGGTGGATATTATTTTGGGTGGCAGCAGCTATGGCGACAGCATGGATGAGACACCGCGTCGCTGATAGATCACGTACGCATATAATGTATACCCAGGCAGACGAGACACCTACTTGCATATAATTCAACGGCTATGAATGACGTTTAGTCTCAACGGAAACTCAAAATGGCGTTGGTGTGCTTGTTGTAGAATCGTCGGAAGCGCTGTGGGGCCGTGGAGCATGACGAAGCGTTGCTCGCAAACTCGCTCTGCGCCCGCTGCTGACCGCGCGACTTTAAACCCACCCGACTGTCATCTCCGCCGCCATCACAAACATGGAGCTGTCGACATTGTCGCGGCTCGCGATGCTGCATTGACCTATACGATATTTTCTGAGTGCGGTTCGAGAGTAGGAGTCGAGTGAAGCCATGGACGTTCCCGTCGCGGCTAACACGCTCGGCATCCTGGGCGCTGTGCGTTTGCCTTGCCCTGGTTACCCTCATCCTCACCCTCAAGGGTCACCCGTGGGTGCTGAGTATCAATCATGCTGACAAGCCTCGCCCGCGCAGGTCTGCTGGTCCATCCAGGTCCGTTTCCCTCACCTTGCTTTCTCACCTCACCGTATCTGGCACTTTAATTCAGCTATGAAGAAATGAAAAGAGGGATGTTTTGACTGACGGGACGGACGGGGGAGCAGCTGATTCCGCAGATCGTCGTCAACGCGCGGCGGCACCACGCGACGGGCCTGCAGCCGAGCATGATGATGCTGTGGGCCTGGGCGGGCGTGCCTCTCGGCGTGTATAACATCTCGGAGGGCTTCAACGTCGCGCTGCGGGTGCAGCCGCAGATCTTGACGGCGTTGAGCTTGGTGACGTGGGTGCAGTGCCGGCACTACCAGCGGGTGCGTTTTACCCTCTTCCTCCTCTCTTCTCCCCCCTTCCCTTTGTCTCCCGTCCTCTTACTACGAGGGCACTCGTCTATCTCCAAGACTGTGTTGAGAAACGCCCGAGCGAGGAAAAGGCGCGGGAGACGGGGGTGATGTATGCTTCAGTGAGAAGAACAGCAGCAAGAAGAAGAACGAGAAAGGAAGAAGCGGCTGACTGACCCTCATCCGCACCAGAAATGGACCGTCAAAAAGTCCCTCCTCGCCGCCGCGCCCATCGCCCTCGCCATGGCCGGCACGCAAGCCGGCCTGATCCTCGCGCTGCGCGCCCTCCGTCCCCTGGGCGTGCGCTGGCCGGCCACGCTCATGGCGGTGCTCTCGGCGGCGCTCCTCGCGGCGGGCGTGCTGCGGCACTACTGGGACATTTACACGCACCGCACCGTGCGCGGCGTGTCGTTCCTCTTCGTGGGTATCGACGCCGCCGGCGACGTGTTTAGCCTCGCGAGCGTCTTCTTCCAGGGCCCGCCGCCCGTGGACGTGCTGGGCGTGGTGATTTACGCCACGGAGCTGCTGCTCTGGATGGGCGTGCTGGGCGCGGGGGGGTGGTATAATTTGAGGCCGTGGGTGAGGAGGAAGGGGTGGTTGAAGGGTGGGCGTGCTGACCAAGAGGGAGTGTCTGCGGAGGAGGAGGAGGAGGAGGAGGGTGAGCGGGTAGACGGGGGTGTGACGACGAGGAGAAGGGGGGAGGCGGAGGGCGGAGGCATCGCATTGCATGACCTGCCGTCGTCGACGTCGGTGTTTAGGACGGCGTCTGCGGAAGCGGACGTGAGGCTGAGACACGCCGCCTCGAGCTGACAGGCTAATCACAAACAACAACGGGACGAAGCCAAATCAGTCGCAGGTGTCGAGAGAGCAAACCTCGTCCCGATTTCCCACGGGCCCGTTTCATCTAGACTGCCATGAGCGGATGAACAACCCCACCGCATGGAGGCGCTCAGCTGCGGTGATGCCTGCCAAGTCCCTCCACCACGGACGGGAAGCTGACCTGCGACATGCCCCAGTCTTGAGTAGAAGTAGTACTGCTACTGATGACATCGGATGTTCATGCGTAATGCGTAGTTGCGCTTGGCGGGTCGGCGCGCCGCGGCAGGACATGGAGAAGCTCCCAGATCGTGACTCAGGATGAACCCTGAAGGCAGCTTACAACCATTTCACGTGGCTCCGAATCGAACGTACTCCATATGGTGATCCAAATGGCGCAGGCCGCCGCGCATGGTAGTTCAATCGCCCTTGATGGGACCGCGCGACGACTGAATCCAACGCGGCTTAGATCCTCCAGCGCGGTGCGGCCTTTGCGCCGCGGTGGAGGATGTCTGCAAGGTACATAATATATTGCATACCATTTCACAACCGGCGCGTCCTCTTCCACGTCAGTGGGCCACCTCGGCTACTCTGATCCCCAAATGGCATGAATGTTGTCGTATTGTCTAAATGATGGCGTATATGCACATTCATCACTGTCCAGGAACATGGTTTCAGGGACTCGGCTCAAGGTTCAAGCTCCAGCGCTTGTCTGTTGGTGGAACTCGCGGAGAGTATACCTTGTAGTCGAAAAGCTGTGTTACATGGCTGCTTAAGTACGAGACTACGACTGCCGTGACATGTCCAAGCGTAGCCGTGTCCACAAGTCTTTCATTTCTACACTTGGGATCAAGTCATCGTACAGAGTCACTCATTTAGCTCACTGTTACCGCCTCGTCCTCGCGAGATTGAACAAGCTCTTGAGTCCAGAGCATCGTGACGATGCGATTCCTCCGTGTTCTCGCCGCGCTGGCATCCCTGGCAGTCGCCAGTCCATCACGCGGTACTCCCGCACCACACCCTCGACCATGTCATGGCCTCACTGACACCCGCCCAGTGCCTCTCGACCAGTCCCTGTCAACCGGTCCGGCCACTCACCATGCCCGTGGCGTAGTCCACCCGACATGCAACCGCACTCTCATCGAGCAAGCAACCCACGGCTGCGCACAACTCGCCCGCACCGCTGCCAAACAAGCCGCCAGCGGACCAACCGACCTGCTACGCCTCTTCTTCAAGAGCGCCGACGCAGCCACCCGCGCCAACATCTCGCGCACCTACGACGCCATCGCCGATGAATGCGCCGCGGGCGGCACCGGCGCCGTGTCCCTAAGCTGCGACAGTAGGCACTACTGCGGGCCGCACACGGCCGAGTTCACGCGCGCCAACTCGACCATCAATCTGTGTCCCAATTACTTCATGGTCATGCGTGGCGAGAAGGTGAGCGACTGCGAGTGGCTGGGATACGAGGGGTTCATGATCCACGAGATGTCGCATGCTGTGGCGGACACGGAGGATATTGGGTATACGTATGGGCTGCGGGGGATTGCTGGGCTTTCGAGGCAGGAGAATGTGCGCCATGCGGACACGTTTGCGCATTTTGCGAATGCAATTGCGCATAAGTGTGCGATTGACGTTTTGAAGGCCAAGGGACTCGTGCACGCTGGCGGAGAAAATGCCGAGGGCGATGGCAGGCCGGCGAAGGACGGCGTGGCAACGGGACAGGAGACCAGGCCAACGGAGGCAGTTCCGGAAGAGGCCCCTGAAGGCGGCACGCCGGAAGCAACTCCAGCAGTGGTCCCAGATGGAGCTCCGGAAGGAACTCCAGAGTCAACTGGAAAGGTGACACCGAGTGAGGCTCAAGAGGCATCTCCGCAGGAGACTCCGGAGGGACACCCAGAGGCGACTTCGGTTGTCGCCGCGGGGGGAACATCGGACGAACCGCCAGATGAACGGCCGGCGGAGACATCGACACGTTCCGGGGGACGGCAGATGTGCAAACCCGGGCGCAGGTCGGTGAGAAAACACTCGTAGATCGCTCAACTCGCAGCTGAGCAGCCAGCCTAATGAGTCGGTGGTCCACCGTCACCGACGAGCATCTGTGGCTGATGTTGCCTGCACGAGAACCAACCTATCGGAGAGATGATGCAACACCAACCTAGTTGCTACGTTTGACAAGCTACTTGGTACTCGTGTCCGAGTTTCACACATGAGTGCAATGAGAAATGGTGAGAGTGAGTGGGGAGTTCGTGCGGCCAACCTACACTAGTTCAACGGTCGCACTGACACCCTCGGATGCACGGCGCAATCTTATCAGATCCTGCCATTTCCTCCCTCATCATCCAATCAGATGGATTAGTGTTCCATCACGGGGTTCTGCCACTTGAATCCTCTTCAAGCATCTCGTCACATCCCATGAGGCGAGCAGTCGACATCTACTGCTCATCTGATGGCCGCCTCGCCTCAAGGCTTGCCGGCCGGCATCCGAAAATATAAACCCCAGAAGCCAGTCTACAATCGTTAGCCCAGAATCGCACGCATACTGATAGAATTTTAAAGGCCGCCGTACATAGCAGTAGAAATATCATGGCCAGGACGGTAATCTAGCGCGGTATGGCCTTTGCCCCGAGGTAGACGATATCTATAGTCATCTTCTACAACGTTTACGGTCGGGCGTCCTCTCTTATATTACTAGGCTACCTCTAAAATTCTACCTCTTATACTGCCTAAAAGTTACCGTATTGTCTAGATGAACTAGTATATGCATATCTATCGCTATTTAGGGACGTTATTTCTTTTTGCTACTGCTGAAGGTTTAAGATGCAGACCTTTATGTTGTCTGATGGAGGCACTCGGTAATGGTATGGAGAACTACTATTCTTGGCATAAGACTATTGAGGCTCTTCAAGATTAAAGACTCAAAGCAGGTGTTTAAACCGGTGCTAATTCCGCATGAGCGTCGCTCCGATCATGTTGATGCCGTGCTGGCAGGCCAAAAGCCAAAGGGATGGCCCGTTCCGAGTCAAAAGACGACGGCTCTATCTTTCACCTATGTCCACACCCACCGAATCCCGCGGCATCCCTGGCGCTTTATCACTCTGTGCACAGAAGTGCGCCGTGACAAAGCCTGGCAGCAGCAGGTTTGATGCAATGTACTTGCTTCGCAGATCACGTGTGTTGGGACAACCGGAGGGCTGATCAATGTGCAAGCCTCTAAGGCGCCCTACTTCGAGTACGCCCAGAATCAGAAGGCGGGGAGCCACGGGTTGTGTCGAACCCAGATGCGCTGGCTGAAGCCCCCTGGCATTCTTGCACGCTAGTGCTTCTAGAGCAGCCCAGCTGTGATATATCGGTGCATGACCAGTCACTGTGGTGAGGCTCTGCAACACAACATGGCGCCAGCGACACAAATTACCCGTGACTCGGGCGGGCTAAGTGCATGACATAGAATGAAGCGTTCAGCCCTGCATTTCTAGTGGTATTCAGCTGAATGCCAGGGCGGTTGAACTCGACTCACCACTCTGCCACTGTACCCCCCTCGAAGACTTTGCTCTCGCCCATGGGGCAGCCGCACCTACCCTCCACTTGCATCGACAACAATTGGCTTGAGTCGGTTCTTGACGCATTCCGCAATGTCTCATCCACCCATGTGTGCCCCTGGCGAAGAAACTAACATGCCGGACCCTGACGCGTACAAAGCCAGCGGAACAACGTGGGCTCAGCCTTGCTCTTTGGCCTGCGCCATATCAGCCACCCTGGGCTGACCATCAGCCGAATATGGCAATCCCCTGGCTGCCAGAATTGAGCTGACCAAAAGCAAAAACGGTGTCTGACCCAGTTGTGTCAATAATTACCGGAGGTGCGAGGGTAACAACCAGTGCGCATTGGGTCTTGGCCATATTCCCGCGGCTTCCCGATTCTTCAGCAACAAAGTTCCAGGAGACTTACGCAGTTTTCTGCTGACGCATGACCCAGAACTCGTTCAACAGCCGAGCAACTACGAAGTAGTGCATCATACGGATCCATTTTGGAAGAGAGGCGGACTCCATGAATCTATTCATTGTTCCAGGCCGCTACGGTACTGGTCTGGGCGCCACAACGGCTCTTCCGAGCCACGCTGCGAAACTCGCCATGTGGCTAGCGAGGCTGGCCAGCCGGAGCATGTATTCCGCGTTTTCGGTGAGATTGCCAAATGTATTGAGTCTGGAATCACCTGCAGAAGGCGCAGCTCGACCCCTGCTCCAGGTTGCTGTGGGAGCAGTCGCTGGCTGGCTCGTAGGGGAACGAATTCGAGAGACCCAGCCCGAAACACTGCTCTGGTGTCGAAGTCACAGTCGCCTCAGCTCGTATATGTGATTGTCGCATCGTCGCATCCATATCCCTGTTCCTGCCTTGGGCCCAGACCCCCCGCTCGCGGCTGCTGTTCAAGCAGCTTCCCAGCCCCAATACCGAACTGCCCTTGACAATTGGTCAACGTCCGTTGGTTCAGTACCTAGGCTGACAACACTCGACTGCAGCAGGTGACCTTACTTCGACAAGCCAGCCAGACCAAAAGAAAAACAACGGCGAGGAGGATTGACGATAAAACCATAGCTGCCCAGGACAGAGGCAGCGATCGGTCAACTGCGTTATTCACAATCTCACATTTTGCGCTGAGAATAGCAACAATGATAGATTCATCGTCCTCTTTTGTCGCGTCATCGATCCCCCTCCTCCACAATGCGGTGAAATCCGTCATTTTTAAAGCGGCCGAGCTTCTCATGGCCCTTTTCGTTTTGAAGGGTCTTTCCTTCGTTGCATCACGCTCAAGCCAGTTCACGTCGTACCTCATGTTCAGCGAAGACTACATCCAACGCTTCTTGTTCTTTCGGTCAAGAGGCGTCTCACGGGCAGGCGTTATTGTCCTGCTCTTCACCATCCTTCACTTGCTTGCGTCTCTTTATGGTACCCTACTCTGGGCACTAGACTCACCGGGATATATCTTCAACAAGTCCAACACCACAGTGGCCGAGTACCAGCATTTGCGCAAGGCTGATCCTCCCTACATTGTTCAACTACACCTCGATCGCGAGAAATTGAAAAGTACGGAGCAATCGCTTGCACAGGTTGTGGGATCCGACCTGTTTAAGCCAGGTCTCAACTACACTTTGACCGGGGAAGTTCGGAGGGGCACTCCCCAAGCCTTGGCACCGACAAGGCAACATGAGGTCGGCGCTCGTATCTGGCTTGACAGCGATGGCTTCTCAGTCTCAGCAGACAGTGCAGTTATGATCCCAAATGTCACAGCTGGCGGCCCGGAGTTTCCTCTCTGTATCTACTACGGTCAACGCTCGATGAATTGGAACTGCACGTTCAACAACACGTTCTCGTTGACCATGTTTCAAAGAGTCGTCGGAAAGCCAGAGGTACACTGGGATGACCAATCGGACCTGAATTTAGGCTCGACATACGTTAACCCAAATAGAGTCGACAACATTTGGGCCTCTTTCGGTGGTGGTGGTGGTTCTGCAACAATGATGCAAGTCTTTACGGTAACCAAAGGGAAGCGCCGGCATACTTTTGTCGAGTTCGCCCTCAAGGCCACTATGCTCACAAGGGCGGGGGTCCCGTTTGCCTTGCAAGAGGTCCAAGACCTCGTACGACGAACCGCGGGCACAGAGGAGACAGAAAGGAATAATCCCATCCTGGGCAGGATCGTGGGAGGCATGATGAACGCGCAGTCGCAACACCTGAGCTACCAATTCGGATTCAACGCTGTCGACAATGCCAACCTCAGTGTAGTTCAGTCAAACTGGGCCTACTTCACCGCTACAAACACTAATAGCGGGGAAGACTTGTACTCGGTCATCAGTCTCACTTCGACGAACATTACCCTGATAAGATCGGAAACCGTGGACAGCTCGCCGACGCCTTTTGAAGGCTGCGACAACGGACAGTTCCAGAACGAGGGTTTCGGCGGTCGCGTCACGCAGACTGACTGTGCTACGCCAAAGATCGATACTAACAGTACAGGGTTTCTCGGGCAGGTGGACACTGCTGCAGTCTTGATAACCTACGGCCTTGGCAGTGGTCGTTCCAACGTCAGCTTCGAGTCTCTTGACGACACAATCCTGTCTTGGATCTGGAACACGTCGACAACGATCGAAAGCCTACTTATTGGGAGAGGCTATGCCGTCAGTGTCGACCCGGCTCTAGTCTCAATCACCGTCGACAAGTTGGTCGTCGCCATGTCCAGCCTGCAGCTTCTACTGAGCATACTCGCTGCTGTTCTCGGACTAGCTGCATGGGGCTTTCTGGCGACCTGGGTGCCTGCGCCGTGGTCCAACACGTTCTTGTCAAGCCTGTTACATAGCTTGTCAGAGCAACGTGGCTCCACGTCAAAGCCTGGGTACGTGGTCAAACCCCCGAATATCGAATGGTCGACGGGGGCGGAAAGGACGATTATCACAGTTTCTGGGGATGCAATTGTCCTCCAGGGCTCGGAGATGGTTCGCCTGGACCCTGGTAAAGGAGGCCGGGGATCCCAAGATGAGCGCAGCCATGAGCAGAATTCGGACGAGTAGCGAGAACAATTTTAGGAACTTCATGAAAGGCGAGGCGATGCCCTCTCAGCTCATTTTGTGGCCACTGTTCCATGCCTCGTACACAACCCCCGATCCATGTACTTGTAGTTCCGAACCCCCGAAGTCCGACAGGGAGTCAGTGGCCATCCATGATGCCGCACCACACTCACCAAGGCCTTTCAGCGTACGGCTGGCATGCGGCTGCAGCCTCGTAGAGGTAAAAAGCGTACTCCATCGATGAAGTTTATAGATCGTCGTCGGATTCTACGCCCCTTATTGTGCTCAGTACGCTACTGGCCTGCTGCAACCTAGCAGCCCGCAATGACTTCAATTCCAAGGTTGATGATATGCCCGGTAGCCCGCTATAGCGAGCGGCCTGTGAAGGCGTGCGCAAGTCGGCCCAGCAGTGGCACGGTAGCCCCGCGCAGGGCCCGCTATGATAGGGGCTCTTAGCGGCTATACGGGTCTCGGCGGTACGACGTGTGTGATAATAGGACTACTCAACTGCGATGAGAAACGGTGCGAGTGAGTGGGGGTTCGTGCGGCCAACCTGCACTAGTAGTCCAACTCACACCTCGGAAGCACGCCCCAATCTTATCAGATCCTGCCATTTCCTCCCCATCATCTAATCAGATGGCTCAGAGTTCCTCCACGGATACGGCCATCGATCGCCTCTCCAAGAACTTGAGAGCATCAGACGAGAACCCTGATGCCCGATGCTAACACGGCCGTCGGCCTTGAGACCGTTATGTTGCTTGGCCCCATCCAAAAACGGTGCCAAGGTTGGTCCCCTTCCTAGCCGACCCTCGCGTGCCTGTCGTGCTCCACAGTCAGACTGTCCGCACGAGGTGGGCCCGAAACAATATTTCGTGGTGTTGATTGCGCCGTTCCCAAGCGCCGCGGCTGCGGCTATTTGCTTGACGAAGCTAGTCTTCTGCAAAACTCACGTTGTCCACTTTGCCCTCGGTCCCGTCTGGTCGCGATCGTGAAGTGAGACATCCCGCTCAGCTTCACGACCTCCAAGAACCGTCCGTCTTGCCAGGCCTCCTCCAGCGCGGCTTTGCCTTACTCCCTCCGCGCACATTGATCCTCCGCGGGTAAAAATGTACTCCAAGTTCTGGCCCAAGGGCGGCCTTCCCGGGATCCTCCATCACTATGTACGTTTGCCACGCGACATTCGTGCTTGCCTTTCCTCGCGGGGGAGCCAGAGATTGACCATGTCTTGAATTGCTTCCCATAGACGGAGACTCTGGTGACCTTTGAGTACACCACCAGCGCCGTCTCGCAGCCTCACAGCATCCTCTTCGTCGGCGGTCTCAGCGACGGCCCCGCCTCGACGTCGTATCTCGCCGACGTCGTCAAGGGGCTGCAGCCGACACAATGGTCCCTCTTCACGCTCGCCCTCACCTCTTCATACCAGTCGTGGGGCCTGGGCCATCTAGACAGAGACACGGATGAGATTGCGCAATGCGTGCGCTACATCCAGGACTACAAGACGTCCAAGTACGGCGCTGCCGGCAAGATTGTCCTCATGGGCCACTCGAGCGGCAGCCAGTGCGTGCTTCACTACCTATCGCGGCCGAACCCGCACACGAGTAAGCCGTCATTTGACGCAGACCTGGAGCACGTCGAGCGGCCCGTCCTCGACGGCGCCATCATGCAGGCGCCCGTGTCGGACCGTGAGGCTCTCCTCTGGGTGCTCAAGACCGGGTTTGGGGACAAGTCGCCACAGGATATGCGTGTGGTTTACGACAATATGTTGGCGGCCGCCAACGAAGCCGTGAAGGGCGGCTCCGAACTCGACGCCATCCTTCCCTTGTCGCTCACTGCCTGCATCTACGGCTACAACACACCGTTGAGCGCGCGACGATTCCTGAGCCTCGCCAGCCCCGACAGTCCGCAATCGCCGAGCGAAGACGACCTGTTCAGCTCCGACCTCGGGCCTGCTCAGCTACAGCAGACCTTCGGAAGAATAAGACCCATGGGCTTGCTGCGAAACAAGCTCATGGCCCTGATCTCGGGCGCCGACCAGTCCATGCCCGACTGGGTAGACAAGGAGGGACAGTTGGTGAAGTGGAAGAGCGCGACGAATGGCGCGGGCGGACCGGAGATTTGGGATTCGGAGCACAGCGCGGTCATTCCAGGGGCGTCGCATGCTCTGAGCGATGACGACCAGGAGGAGCCGCGGAGGTTTCTTGTAGGTAAAGTGCTGGGCTACTTACAGACGTTGCAATAAACACGCCACACCTACGAAGGAACGGGTGGCATAGTCGTGCCTCAGACTCAATGCCTTCTAGTGCTCTTCTTTACTACCGTCGGTGGATTGACTAGCGACAAGACACACCACTCAAGCGAGCGAGACATCCAGGGCGAACTTGACGAAGAAATAGGGTTCCGCCCCGATAGCTCGAGCTCACGCTGGATCGTCCACTCACCCACACTTCCTGAAGGGGAGCTCTCTTTCAGCTCAGCTCCTTTTGGCAGCTCTCACGACGGAATCGCAATTACTCATCGCGCCCAATCGCCATCCGTGGCGGCCCATCCCTCGCTCAGCGCAAACCCTCGCGAAGCCAATGTCATTCTCACGTCATGAGGGGTCGACACCACCACTTTGCCTCCCCCAACTCTCTTCGCCCGGTCACACACACCAAGACGGAGTGAGGCGAACGAAACCAAAGCCCACCAAGCGAAGCGGAAACCATCAAATCCACCGCACCGAGCGCATCGCTTCTATCAGGAAGACAAGTAGGCCTCATCGGGCGCGCGAAAGCAAATGTCTTCGGCGTCTGCCAAAGCAAAGGCGAAGCTGGAGGAGGTCCTCGCGGCCGCCAAGGGCGACACCTCTACCTGTGCGCACAGCCACTCGTTTCTCTCTGCTTCGCATCGCTGTTTTCCATTTCATTGAAGAGCGACCTGCTGTTGAAAAGTACTACGATCAAAGGATAGGTGAGATTGACTTGTAAACGCTTCCCAGACCCTTCGAACCGCGTGTGCGTCACGCGACACCCCTCGGCCGGGCCCTGTGACATGACGAATGCCATGTCGCGCCGCCGTTCGAGCACCTCGAGCCAGGGCTCCTCCGATGGCCGCCTCAAGACTTTTCTCAAGAGCATGGTCTCGCCGCCTGCGTACTAACGCGTGGGTCGCCGTGGTGCTGGTGTCTACGTACGGGGTGCTGTTTATGCGTCGGGGCGTCGCCGGCGGCAGCTGCAGTGGTGCCGGTGACGGGAGCATCCAGCTCGTCGCCGGGGCGAGGCAAATTGGCACCGGGAATGAGAGGACGGGCTCGTCGCAGCTGCGGAAGAATGACTGAATAATGTCTTTGATGGAGAGAGGGGAAATAAGGTTGCCCATGCATGGGAAAGGAGAGGCTGGCTTACACCACCGCAGACCCAGTCACCGCGTATCCATCCTCTTGAGCTTGACACATCTCTGGACACATGTACATGTGAAACGGAACTTGACCTCAATCTGCCGCATTGCTGTCGTATGCTAGATGTGTGGAACCCTGTGGACTCCAACTGTATGTGGACGGACTGTCCTGACATGTTGTCGAGGGAACATCCATCCCTCGGCAACAGCACATCACACGTACAGCGCCGCTTCAGGAGCTCGACTGGCTGAAATGCATCATTTGCGCCTAGACTCCCTAAAGCCATCACAAGGCTCGCCAAATATCTTAATAAAACACACAGCAATAGTCCCGCTCTATCTGCACTACGAACACCCCTTGTCCTTGGCAATCTTGTCCGAGCGACTGTCCTGGCACCATATAAACACCCGCGCCACGGACTCCGACGCATCGGTTTGGTTCGTCGCCGGGCACCTGTACCCGATGTACCCCTGCTTGGTGCTGTTGGCGCAAAAGTTGACGCAGCAGTTGTTGATGTTGGGGATCCAGATGTAGCTGTGGATGTCAAAGGAAAAGTCGGTGCCCCCCTCGGTGGTGACGACCTTGGTCGGCTGGCCGGTGTAGTTGTTTCTTGAGAATCCTTGGAAGGCGTGGATTGGGCCGGCTGGCCAAGTTTGGTTGGTCAACAGGGTGGGCAGGGGCTCGGAGGTGCTCGTGGCGGTTGCTGATGATGAAGTCGTGGATGGTGTAGGGGTTGAGGACGGCACCGCTGATGATGAGCTGGCAGCTGGTAAGTGAATGTCGCAAATCAAGCGCATTAGGCCATCGGAGCCTTACCTGGATGTCGTGGCGGCGTCCGACTTGGACTTGTTAGAGGATGCTACCGCGCCGCCGACACCGCCTCCCACGGCCGCAGCAATAATGATGATGAGCACCACGATCAGAATCAGGAATGCCTTGCGACTCATTCCCAGAATCTTGCCCTTCGCCTTGGGCTCCTCCTTCTCAGCGTCCGAGCCAGGAGGCGGCGGGTCCGGCGCCACGCCCCGGGCCTCGTGCGGCGTGTTGGGCGAGATCACGTCCGAGTTGACGTGTTGCATGTGCTCCGAGTCGGGCGTCCACGGCACCGACATTTGCGGGCTTGTCGCCGTCGCCGTCGCAGTCTCCGGGTACTCGGCCTTGACCTCCATCGGCACAACGTACTTGTCGTCGGTGTTGATGACGGCTTCCTTGGCCGTGTCGCCGGTCGGCAGCGGGGGGTGTTCGGCCGCGCGCGTCTGCTGGTACTGCGACTGCCATTCTCTCTCCAGGCTGGGGACATTGGTCGCGGGCGACGAGAGCTGCATCACCTCGGGGGCGTTGGCGTCGCGGTCATGGTTCGGGCCACCCTCGTGCTGGGGCTGATGGGACGCCATTGTCGCTCCGGAAATATCAGCGCATATGCGCAAACGAATGACTGAACCGGCTGGGAGGAAATGTGAGAGCAGAGAGAAGTGACAGCGAGGCTCTCACTCCGCAGATTTTCTTGATCTGGCCCTGGCGGGCGCGACGCCAGGAACCCCGAACATTAAAGTGCGGCGCCCTCCGCGCGGGAAACGGGACGGGTCACAGGGCTGATGGCTGACTCCATTCGAATGCCTGACATCTTGCTCTGCTTGGATGCTTGGCTCGTCGGGACCCATCGTACCAAACAATTGAGACGGTTCAAGAGTCCCTGAACTTTTGTGTGTGTAAGACGGGTGAATTGGGTCCAGAGATCGCCAACTGTTCTGGTGCAAGATCGTCGACCTAGCGGGCCCAAGTCATTTCTCTGCTTGGCAACGGTGCGCCAGCAATGTCACCGAAATGGGGCAGCGAGCGGAGTTGTCCCGTGGTGGGCCTTTAAACGTCGCTTTTGCCGCAGTTCCAGTTCAAAGTCTTTTAGACAACGTAGTGGTGAAGACGACTTAAACCCGTGGCCAACGAGCAGAGAGCCTTTGGTTAATTCTGAGACCGCTCTCTCGCCTCCCCTGACAGAGGAACCCGTTCAAGTGTGCATTTAACGAGGTCTCGCTCTCACTCAGAGGTTGTGCCGCCGCCGATCTATGTCCTGCGGGCTCGTTTACTCCATGCGGAAGCAGGCCCGAGAAACGCTCCAAATGCGGACGCCATGCCTTGACAGAATGGCACGCGTACTCTTTGTTCTTTGTGTTCCTGGGTTTCGAAACACGGGCGGACTTCAGTCTTCCTTCATGATCTAGAGCAGGTACCCCGAGAGCGACTCGGCATTTTTGTTGCCGCAGGGTTTGCGCCGTGTTGCTCATGGGAGTTGTGCTTTGCTTCAAGGCTCGGTCTCGAGAGACAGCGTGTAGACGACATGACAATTGCGTTACGGCAAATGCTCTCCCCGACGGTAGAGTCTCGTGCTCCTCTCTGGTTCTGGCATCGTGCTAGTGTTGCGTCTATGCACATTCAAGTAACAAGTTACAAGAGAACATGAATGAGTCGTCAGCGGCCGCTGCTCTGGGGTTGCAGCGTGGGGTATTCGGTGACGATTCAACGTGGCCAGGAGCGAAAGGGCCGTCTCGAATATGTGCACTGTCGCGAATTTTATGTTACAAATGGTCTGAAGTACGCGCACGAGGCACGCGAGCCTCCTTACAGAACCACCCGCCCCGTTTTCTGCGTCAGTCATCGCTTCCTCACGAATTGCAGCGTCAGGTGTCAGTCGGACGTGGTGCACGGTTTCTCTCGCTGTCCATGCCGCCTTACCAAGGCGCCTGCTGTCCCACATCTCGGCCCCAGCTCGCCTGGCTCAAGAAGCCCTTCCCACATTACCAAATGAAACGCTTCCCCTCCGTATTGCGTACGCGCACCGCGGCTATATAGATCTCTTTCTCTGCGGAACTCTGTAGGCGAAAACAAAAGCTTCAACCCTTTGTCACCCACGACCGGAAAACGCCAAACAGTTTTCCAAGATGAACACCAAGCTCTTCGTGCACTTGGCGCTGCTGTTTGGGAGCAGCTTGGCCGGCTTGACGAAGGAGGAACAGGCCATTGACGATGACTGCCTGGCGGAGAATGAAGTGATAAACGGAGTGAGTACTCTTGAGTCGCAGTTCCGTCGGAAAAGCGGCGCTCTGACAGCTCAAGCAGAAATGCGACGTGCGATCCAATGAATGCACCTTTCTGTGGAAAAACTGGCAGACTAAGAAAGGTCGGACGGATTCCTGGTATGAGCCGACGACAAGACCATGCCGCGATTCCAGGGTAAGTAGTCGAGACGGCAAAAGAATGAAGGCGCGTCCGAGTTGGACACGTACTGACGTATTCTCTATGCAGTGCAGAGAGGGGACTTGTGCCGTCATCAACTCCAGGAGGGGCAGGCTTATTACGTGCTATTGAACGGCTTGCGAGTACAGTGCCTGGCGCGAGTTGCAGTCGGGAGGATATTGCGCGCATCACGCCGAAGGATCCGCCATCTACAGTTGGGTACTGCGTCACAGGGCCTTTTTGGATGAGCATAGCCCGGGCATCAACGTAACGCGAGTAGCAAAGTTTGGCCATGGAGAAAATGACATTTGGAACCTTCATAAACGAGGGGAGCTTGGTGAATATCGAGGGACGCCTTGTATCTTACACTACTTTGCATACAGCTTTGGTCGTGTATTCTCCGGCTCACAGCACTGACGTGAGACAGTCTTGTCTTCACGAGGGTCTCAGTCGCTTCGCTTCTAGAATTGAGTCGACTTGCCGTTTGGCGATACTTCTACTCTTCTACACGCTGCTTGATCCACAAAGTATCGCGTTCAATCCTGTCAGAACTTGATACCCCGCCCTCATACGCTGCCTCCCGGACCAAGCGCTGGGGCCCAGCTTGGGGAGTAGTCTGCAGCTTTGGAGGATGCAGAGCGCCACGAGCTTGGTGTCGAATGTCAGCCGGGAGTTGTGCACGGCTTCTCTAGCCACCCCTGCCGCCTCCCTGTGCTGTTTCGCTTGTCAACAAAGCTTTGCGTCTTGTAAATTTAGCCCGGTCACGTCGAGATGCGAAACACGCAATCCTCAAGTTACGTACCCACCAGGCGCAATGGCTATATAGCTGGTCTTAGCAACCCTTGCCAGCCACGGCTGGTTGGCCGGAGCAAAGTCAGCTTGTCAGTCTTCATCATGGCGAGTAAGTTTGTATTTTTGGGTCTACTGGCCAACGGCGCCATCGCCAATCCAACCCTCTATCGCTCCATGTGGGAGGCTACGGAAAAATGTGCCGTGGCCAACGCTCAGGTAGTAGGAGTAAGTGCACGCGGTCCCGGTTCCACAGCTCCCGAAGGGTGGCGCTTTGACCATGAAAACAGAGGTGCGACGACGGATATTGTACCTTTCCGAGGAAGTCATGGATGGTTGCGACTGATGGCATCCGGTTTTTTAACGAATACGAGCACGCGTGCTGCCAGGACTCTACGGTAAGACGTTTACTGCAGGTAGGCGCGATGCTACATGTGTACTGATATTTTCCAATGTGCAGTGTACCAATGGGGTTTGCATCGCGAGGCAAATACGGGGACAGACGGTAGCCCAGTGTTGGTGAATGGCTTGATGCTTTTTGCACGGGGCAGCGGTGTACGAAGGCAGTGAATTGGGGTTGCAAGAGTTGATATGGCGCTTGACGAGTGCGCCTAGGCTTGGGCTCTCCGGTTGCAAGTGGGCATATGGGAAAACAATTTGGCGTGAATCGCCCGACGCATTGTATTCCCAAGCCGTGGTGGCGAGCCGCAAAAAGAGAAACCTGTTGTTCCAGCGTTGCATACTTCAAACGTAGGCGCACTCCTGGTGCAGAACAGTCGATTGCATGGATGCGGAGGCAGGATCGGGACCGCATCACTTCGCGGCGTCAGAGACACGGCGTCATTGGAAGCTGCTTCAATCCCGCCCTGGCCTCGCGGTACTGGCTCCATTTCAATCATGCAATGGGATTGAAAGCGCGTGGCAGGATTCCAGCCATTGAGCGTGACATTTACTCGATGATGGCTCGTGACAAGCGCCGACAGCCGCAGTACGGCATATCGATGAGCCGGCGCGGGCATCCCGAGGCCGAACACCAGATACGCCCATAGCCGCAGTCAGTAGCTAGTCCGACACCGACAGGACGAATCTCGAGAATCGAGATGGCACACGCGAGACACATCCCCACCTTGAACTTGACCATTCTTGGACATGCGCAGCCCTACTGCCAGCCATCAGCTTACTGTTCTTCCCGAGAACCAACTCAAAACTCCAATCGGGGCCGAGCGACGGAAACAAAGTTCAGAGTTTCGGCCACGGCCGTCTCGGTCGGCGCCTCAACGAGGCAGTCCCCGGTGCGGCCACGGCACGTCGCAGTTCGGCAGGTGATCGATCCGGAGGAATGGACGAATCTGTTTGGGCGTGTGAAGAGACATGAAAGCATATGTCTCGGTCTGACGCAGTGTGCTGACCTCCATGTACTATTTGGGCATGCAAGCAAGACCAGATCGGTGGCTGGTTTGATGTTGCCGTCCACTTTGCAAGGTTATAATACCCCATGGTCACCACCTGCGAGCGAACCTGCGGCCCGCCTCATCGACACCCCTTCGACATTGCCTACAAACATTTTATATCAGCCAAGCACCTTTCCTCGTTGTCTTCTACTTACTTGTGACCTTTTAGCAATATGAAGATCATCTACCTTGCTTTGGCTGCCTTTGCCGGGCTTGCGGTGGCGAATCCGATGGGAGACAGGTCGCTGGATCTGGCGCTGGACAAGCGAGTGAGTATTTTAAGAAGCCGGGATCAGGTTACGTATTCTAACTTGTACGCAGGCTGTAGGTTTGAGAAAGCGATGATGCCAATGTGTAACGCTGACAGACGCGATCACAGTGTGTAAGTTCTCGTCTTCTCCGCCGAGTGTGCCTAAGGTCTGTCATTGTACTGACTAAGCAATGAACCGCAGGATGTGAGTCTCTCACAGCAATCAGCAGTGGATTATTTCATATTACAGAGGCTAATGGTGCTCTATTGGCGATTTAGCCGGTATGTGTCTCATCCACCTCATCGAGGAGCGAGGTCTTTCAGGAGCTGACAGAGCCATCACAATAGAGTGTAAGTCTACAGTAGATCTTCTCGAGCAAGATGCCACGCTACTGCCAAACCAAATCTGATCATCATCTAGTGTGTAAGTTGCGCCAGATTCTACCGCACGGGGTTGTAGCTAACACAACAGGACGTACGTCTACCCCTCATCGGTCCAGGCCTTACTATGCCGTCATGCTCACAAGTCGCACACTCTAGTGCGTAAGTACATGTCTTCCATGGCAGTTACAGGTCGCCAATACTAAGCCGTCTGGCACCTTCAGTGTGTACGTATCCCACCCCTAGACACGATCGACAGCCACATGCAGCTTCATGCACGTGTTTCGGGTGTGTCGCGTTGCTGACTCCCCGAATCTGCAGATTGTACGTCTCTACCCAATTTTGTATATCCTTGATGAACGCTGGATAGACGCTGATTCGGGAAACGATCCCAGTGTGTGAGTTTTCCCCTTGGCCCACTACTTCATGTTGTGCCCGCGGCCATAGAATGCTGACAGACTCGCCCAGGCTGTAAGTGAGACCAAGCGCCGTTTAATACCAATCTGGCCATCTCGTGGATTAACTTCTTTGCCAACTCTAGCCGGTAAGTCCTCCGCACCCGAAGCAAGCACCTCGCGACGATGAACATGACTGACGTTGGGCGGTGTCACAGCCGGTAAGTTTCTCCGAGCGTCAAGTACGCACGTGCTCCCTGTTGTCAAATGACTTACGTGTCGATCGACGCAGCCGGTAAGTTTCCAACCGTGTATAGGACATAACATCCTGCTGGCCCATGGCATAACTGACGGCGAGTAGTGCGTAAGTAACTCTTCTTCAACGCCAACGACGAAGCGTTGCGGTTTACATGTATCTAACCACATCTCTTCACTTTCTTCATCTAGCGAGTAAGTCCCTGCCCCTTTTCTTCCGATACATGCATACAAGCCACCCACGTTGCGAGCAGTATACTAACAGAACGCTCTCTCCTTGCCTAGTGCGTAAGTCTCCTCCTGCAGCTAACCACAAGTCTCACGTCTACCACACGCAAGCCTACAACTCACAACACCACATCAGTGCGTAAGTGTTCCTCCCCTCCCGCCTCCTTTTCTACTCCTCTCCGCTTGCCCAGCCCCTCACCCCCTACCTACCCCCTTGGCCACCCGGCCTCTGTGTGCTCACCTACGTACGGCAACTGACTGACCACAAACACGCAGTGAGATCAACCCAACAACGCCCACGAAAGGCAGGGCAGGTACAGGAAAAGATTGGAACTCTCAGAGGCAATTGGGAAGCCGAGCCGCTGCAGAAGGGTGGAGGGCTCAGAGCTTCCGATCGTTGTATGGAGTTCTCCTTCGTGCACGCACACAGCGTTGAAGGAGTTTAAGCTCGGCCGGTCGGAAGCAGGAAGGGGGCTGTGCTGGGACCTGTCTGTCACTACTTACCTACCGCCGCCTATTGAATTGAAGACGAACTATCAATGTCAGTGGCACGTAAGACTTGCGCGCCTGCTGATTTTGTATGCCCTCGTCGACCTCACGAGGTTCATACATTCACGGTAGTAATTCTCGCCCATGATATCCGTGCTCGTTCCGGGTCAACATTTCTATAGACAGGCCGCAATTGAACTCTAGTGAGAACATGAACGCACCATATTGCATCAGTAATTCTTCGTGCCCAGGTCCTCTTCAAGTTCCAGTCCGGTAAGCGCCCCATCAAAAGACACACACCATGATTACACACACACTCATCTCTATCAAGAACAAATAACAACAAGCCAGCGAGCAAAGTCGAACCAGAATCCGGGTATATCTTCACCCCCCATCCAACAACCGCCCTTCAATCAACCCCTTTTCCCCACGTGCATCCAAACAGTCTCAGCACGCCCCTTTCACCTCATCCTGCGATGCCCAGCGAGGCGCCAGATGGACGACGCATGCCAATCACTGATCGTCCACCTCCTCCCACCGCTTCGCGGCCAGCCTCCGCACCTTCTTGATCGGGCTGCCGCTCACGTCCCTCGCGCGCTGCTGCAGCTGCAGCTGCGAGTCCGCCGCGGGGCTCCCGACCCTCATCCTCTCCAGCCTGCGGCCCAGGCTGCCCACCGGCGAGTTCGAGGCGCTGTTTGTACTCGCACCCGCGCCGTTGCCGTTACCATGCAGCGGCGGCGGCGGGTGGCCCGACGCAGAGATGTCCTCCCTCTCAGCCAGGGGCGCGCGCCTGCACGGCGTCCTCCCCGCGAGCTCCCTCTTCAGCACAGCATTCTCCCTGCGCAGCCGCTCCACCTCCTGCGCCAGGTCCTCGACCAGCACATTCTCCTTGTCGGCGTCGCCGCCGGCGTCCGCGTCAAGGCCGCCGGCGTCGAGGCCGCGCTCCAGCACGTCCACCTTGCGGTCCCAGTGCTCCTCGCTGCGCTCCTGCTCGAGCGCGAGCGAGGCCTTGAAGCGCGCCAGCTCGAGCGCCAGGCGCTGCTCGAACTCGGTCGCGCACTCGTCGCGGATGGCGGCCTCGAGGTCCAGCAGGCGGTCCTCCATGCTGAGGAGGTGCGCCTCGGCGACGTTGCGCGCGTCCGTCTGCGTCTCGACCTCGTCGCGCAGCTGGTCGATCTCGTCGCTCATGCGCGCGATTTCCAGCGCCGCGATTTCCATGGTCGCGCGCTCGTCGGCGTTCATCGGCGGGGTGTGGTTGCGGTACGAGCTGGAGCCGCCGGGGGGCATGAAGGGTCGCGGGTGGTGGTGCGGCTGCTGCTGCGCCGTGCTGCTCGGGGCGATGGGGTTGCCCAGGGGCGGCGACGTGGCGAGGATGGTGGCGGTGATGGATGGGATGCGCGGCACGGTCACTTCGCGGGCGAGCGCGCTGTATCGCAGGATCTGAGACGTGGCGTTGAAGTCGCCTCGCGGATCGGCCGTGACAATCATGACGCCGCGCTGGGGGTTTCGCCGCGGGCCTTGCGGATGAGTGGCCGACGACGACGAAGATGGGAATGAGTTGGAAAAGAGCAGCTCGGTCAGCTTGCACTGTCGGTAGGGAACAACATTCGGCTGTCAAGGTCAGCTAAGAGAACTGTGGTGAGACAGCATGTTGCGGACAGAGACATACCTTGGTAGATGTGCCCAACTCGCTCTGCGTCTGCAGGCACTGCCCCAGATACATCAGACTCTCGTTGATCTTGCCGGCCTCGACCAGCGTGGCGCCCTGTGTCTTGGCCTCCCTGGCCCGCTCGCTGCCCGCCAGGTCGACAATGGTGAGCCTGCTGCCGCCCCAGTGCCCGCCGGCTCTGCGACTGCGCGTGCGCTTCTTGACCTCGAAGCAGAAGAAGCCGTGGCTGCGGCTCGACACGCTGTTGCTGCCCGTACCCGTGACCCTGCGTTCCAGCAGACCGGCCTCGAGCACCAGTATGGCATCCCTGAGGCTCGTGCACACCACCTTGCGCAGGCCAGCCACCACCTTGCGGTCGGGCGACAGCTCCGTCGACTTGAAGAGCAGGGGCCGGCGGCGCATGTCCTTGGTGGCAGCCGACTTGATGGGCGGGGTGAGGAGGTCGTAGATGCGGTCGTTGTGGACTTCGTACATGGACACAACAATAACATACTCGGCCGAGGGATCGCACGAGATGTGCACGCCGCTCACGTCGGGGGACTGCGGCAGCGCCGAGGGGTGTTGGAGGTGCCGCTTCGGGGGCGGCGAGGAGACGCCGTATTCGCCCTTGGAGTCTTGTTTAGCAACGGTCTTGACGCGGCAGGCGGCAGTCAACGACATGAAATGTTTCTTGTCAGCAGCAGGGCCAGCAACCCGCTTGGGTATCTGTGTGCGGCTCGGGCGCGACACCGACGGGCCACCCTCGCGCATCACGAAGCTCTCCTAGCGCTTCTTGAGCTCGAGGTTGTGGTCCGTCTCGCTGACGAGCCTGACGCTCTTGGGGCTCGAGCGCGCCGAGTCGGGGTACGCGCCGGGGAGAGCATCCCGGGGGCGCGGCGTGAGCAGCACCGAGGACATCGCTGGAGAACCGAGGCTCTGCGGCACGAATTGCGAAACAGAAGAACAAGCAGGAGAAGCAGGAGCAGCGGCGGTGGGTGGGGAGCGTACAATCATGGGTGTGCCGGCGCGCGACCCCGTCCGGGAGTGGCCGAGGCTATCCGCAAACGTCGACTCGAGAAAGTGCGGTGCCGTGCTGAGGGCCGACTCGGACGGGTCGCAGGCCTGCAGCGACTCGAGCACCGTCGGCAGGTCGGCGGCGGCGAGCATGTTGGGGCCGATGGAGCGGAAGAGGACGTCGAGGGCGAGCTGCGTGAGGCCGCGCTGGTGTTTTGATCCGAGGATGGTGTGTGTCTGGAGTTTTGTCCTTTGGTCAGCACGGCATGTCTAAACAAACAGAAACGCAAACACCATTGCCATATATCTCACCTTTCCAGAGCCCGTAACGCCGAGCGTGGCGACCACCGCGTCAGTCCCCTCGCCGCCCTGCGGCGCGAGCACGCCCTCCGCCAGGGACGCAATCTCGGCGCAGTGAAAGACGTCGAGCTGCGTGGCATCCTCCTCAAACACGCGCGTGAAGGCAAACTTTTCGATGGCGCGCCTTCGGTCCGTCGGGGGGTTGAGCGTGATGTGTGAGGGCCGTCGCGCCGCATCGGCGTTTGTGTTGGTCTCGTCGTCGGGCTTCTCGACGGTCAGGATGGGGGCGTCGGTGGGCGCCGCGCCAACGGGAGGCGGGCGCAGGCGCAGGTAGACCTCGAAGAGGTTATGTGACGTGGATGGTGAGGACGACGACGTTGAGGTGGCCGACATGGTCGACTTGGCGTGCGCGTCCATGATGTGTGAGTGTGTGTATATATGGTAGCTGTATGTTGCAGCTTCGAAGGCCTGGTGGGAACTCGAGCGGGACCCCAGACGCGCAGCACGCGGTCGCAGCAGTCTCTCTCTCTCTCTCTCTCTGCCGCGGAGCGATGCAAACGCAGATGCAGGTCGCAGCAGCAGCAGACGTTTGGTCGGAAACGGTACGATGCAGCAGCGATGATGCACGCGCGGGCGATCGATGTGCAGCTGCAGAAAGGGGGAGTTTGGATGTAGAATATTGCGATGATGAGACACAATCAGGCGTCTGTGCAGGCGCAGGCAGGGTGGGAAATGCAATCAATGAATGGCCGTCAGTCAACACGGGCGGGCGGGGTGGAGCGGACCGTCGTCACCGGCTGGCTGGCCAGGGTGGGTGGGAAAAGCAATTGCGCTGCGTGAATGTCTGTGTGTCTGTGTGTCTTTGTCAAGGGAGCGAGAGCCGCCGCTGTGGAGGGAGAGAGGAGGCAGACCCGCCAGCCAGGGATGTTTACGCGCGCCCGATTGTTGACGGGGCAACGCGCGCCCGGCCGGCCAGCGGCTCCCGTCACTGCCATCGGGCGCCGGCGGCAGCAAAGATAAAACGAAAAAGCGGGTCCGAGCCGATTGTTCGGGCCCGGCTGACCCCAAGGGGTGTCATTGGCCAGAAAAAACAAGCAAGACGAAAAAGGAAGACACAATGGCCGAAGCAAAATAGGGGCATCGCGGGGGTGTGTTCCCGATGGATGGATGGCCGGCCATCAACGGGCCGAAGTGGGAAAAGAAAACGCTTCCAGGCTCATCATCCCGCACCGCCAGGAATCCATCGTCGCGTGGCATCGCGGCTGCGGGGGGTTCGGCGTTGAGCGCCCCGCGCGCCCGCGCCCGCCACCAGCGGGCCTGGGGTCCGAAGGAATGCCCTCGATTACTTTCACAGGGCTTCTGTACCGTAACACAGCACGCTGTCTGTCTGCTCGCACGAGTCGTAGCGCCGTGGGGGGGGGTGCCAGCCAGGCCCCTCTGGGCGGCGCCAACGGCCGGCCCCCCCTAGGCTGAGCGCGCGCGCGGGCGCATCTAGATTCGCGAGGCACCAACGCCCGCCGGCCAGGGGGGCGCCCCCATCGCGAACGGACCGATCGATCACGCGGCACTCCGAAGAATCAAGTCAACTTTGGATCCCCTTCCTGTTCCCAACGTCGAGTCGGCCGCGCAAACGAGTTCGCGACGGTACAGTCAGCGTCGGAGACTTTACAGCCGAGAATATTGGCCTTGTGTCCCGCTGAGTGTAGAGGCATGATGCTGCCTGTCTGCCTGAGACGCGCGCCTGACAAAGGATTGATGCAAAAAGTCCCCAAGTAAAGCGAGGCCATCGTCAATGTGGCGAGCACCAGCAGTCTTTTTCGCATCGTACGTAGTACGGATACTTCATGCCCTGTCCCTCTCCGAAGCCCCCGACTCGGACAATGGGCATCGAGTGGGCCCCCCTTTTCTCTCCTTGCGCCGGTCCGCCCGCCTTGTGGCTCCCGGCCGCGGACCCAGTCGCCCTTGCCGAGCCCGACGAGAAACTCTCCGAAGACATCGATGAACGTCAGCCAACACCGCTTACAACAAACGTCAGTATTGTCTTCAACGTCTGTTGTCTCTGCCCGGCCCCCGAGCCGCATTGATTCGGCAACGCCCGGCACAGGCCGCCGCCCGATCTGTCTCTACGCATCTTCTCATTGCGTGATGATGGACGGCAAAAGGCAGGTGATCTACGCCCTACCAACGCGCGTTTCAGCCATCCGGCAAACTGGGTCCGCACCTGAAACCGCCTTGCGAACTGCCACCACTTTTTTACCACTTGACTACGACTGTGCAGTGCTCGTATCTGCACTACGTACAGTTAATACCAAGTTCATGCCTGTACTCGGGCACGTACGGAGCCGCTCGGTACCTGGTGGTGCCTGGATCTGCACGCAATCTGGGCTGTGCCGCGGGCCTCTGCCCGTGGCGCCCTGCGGGATTCAGGGGTGCAGGTGCAGCAGCAGCAGCACCGTGGCATCTGGCAAGGCATTGGCAATATCTGACGTGAAGCAAGTTCAGCGCTGAAGTCGTCCGAATCCTCCGGGCTGCCTGGTTGCCCGCGACGGCTGACTGACTGACGTGACACGGCCCCCCTCTGGCCAAGCCAACGTGCAGACCGTCGGATCACTCGTGGCCGTGCCTTTCTGTATCGCCCCAGACTCCCAGACTCCCATCCAGCCCGCAAGGCAGCGATCGGGGATTCGGGGTCGTGTACGACGGTTAGAGGCGTTGGCTAGCTCGTTGGGTGGGAGCGAAGCCCTCGCCGCCGCCGCCGATGGATGGATGGATGGACGGATGGATCATGGTGCGCCTGGTTCCTGAGATGCGCCCGCCCGACGATCCTGGTGCCGGGGCGGCGGTTCCTGCGGTGGAGGACCGGGATTGGGGGGCGTCATGGATGGTGGATGGCAGATGGCGCGCTCGCTCGGTGCTGAGTCGTGGGCCGAGCCAGCCAGAAGCAAACCCGGCTGGCCGCCGCCTCCGCCGCCACGATGGCGATCGCATGAATGTTTCTTAAATAGAGAACAGGGGAACCTGCCAGGGATCTGCTCTGCCGGTCATTATTATATGCGACTGCAGGTCCTCGTGCCCCAGAACCGAGCATCCTCTCGCGACGCTGCCTCTCCAGCCGTCAACTCACTGTCGTTATCGCGCACTTGTTAGGTAGAACAGAACCGCTCTCGGGCTTTCGAGAGTCGTCAACCTGCTTCACTCATTCATTCATTCGTTCCTTTTACTGAGGCATTTTCTTCCGATTCACCAAGTCTTTCGTTGATATACACAGTTCGTTCTTACGCACTCCTGCTGCCCCTGAGCCGTCGCGATGAAGCTGCTCGGCACCGTGGCCGCCCTCGCCCTGTGCGATGCCGCGAGCCACACGTACGCCGTGGCCGTCAAGCCGCGGCCGCACACGGCGATGCCCAACCTGGCGGCGCGCGGAACGGAGATGAGCCTCATGGCGGCCAAGCCCATCGGCAACGCCATCAACCGCGCCGGGTGGAAGGTCACCTGCGACGGCGAGGAGGCGGGCAACGAGTGCGCCAAGGCCATCGACGGCGACAACAACACCATGTGGCACACGGCGTGGCAAAACGACAACCCGCCGCCGCCGCACACCATCACCGTGGACATGGGGTCCGCGCAGACCATCAACGGCATCTCGGTGCTGCCGCGGCAGGACGGCATCGAGCACGGCTGGATCGCGCGCCACGACGTGCTCGTCAGCGACGACGGGCAGACCTGGGGCGACCCCGTCGCCACGGGCACCTGGTACACGGACGCGACGGCAAAGTACGCCAACTTTGAGCCGCGCAGCGCCCGGTACGTGCGCCTCGTAGCCAGGAGCGAGGCCCAGGGCCGTCCCTGGACGAGCATCGCCGAGCTCAACGTCTACCGCGCCGATGGACCCCCCGTGCCCAAGAACGGCATCGGCAAATGGGGCCTCACGCTCGACTTTCCCGTGGTGCCGGTCGCAGGCGTCGTGGACCCCCTGACGGGCAAGGTGGTGGTCTGGTCGGCATACGAAAACGACCAGTACGAAGGGTCACCCGGCGGTTGGACGCTCACGTCCACATGGGACCCGGCGACGGGGGAGGTGACGGAGCGCAACGTGACCAACATCGGGCACGACATGTTCTGCCCGGGCGTGTCGCTCGACGCATCCGGCCGGGTCGTCGTCACGGGCGGCAGCAACGCGCAAAAGACGTCCTTTTACGACGCCGCGACCGAGGCGTGGGTGCCGGGCCCGGACATGAAGACGCCGCGCGGGTATCAAGCCTCGGCGACGTGCTCCGACGGGCGCGTCTTCACCATCGGCGGGTCGTGGAGCGGCGGCCAGTTTGAGAAGAACGGCGAGGTCTGGGACCCGAGCTCCAACTCGTGGCGCGCGCTGCCGGGGGCCGCCGTCAAGCCCATGCTCACCAAGGACCGCGGCGGCATCTACCGCGCCGACAACCACGCCTGGCTGTTCGGCTGGCGCAACGGCAGCGTCTTCCAGGCCGGGCCCAGCACCGCCATGAACTGGTACTACACGGCCGGCGACGGACGGGTGCGGTCCGCGGGCCAGCGCCGGGCCCCGCGCGGCGCCGACCCGGACGCCATGTGCGGCAACGCCGTCATGTTCGACGCCACCGCCGGCAAGATCCTGACGGTGGGCGGCGCGCCGCACTACGAGGACGCCGACGCGACGACCAACGCGCACGTCCTCACGCTGGGCGACGCCGGCGCGGCGCCCAAGGTCGTCTTCGCGGGCAACGGCATGGCGCACCCGCGCATCTTCGCCAACGCCGTCGTCCTCCCCGACGGCACCGTCTTCGTCACCGGCGGCCAGCAGCACGCCGAGCTGTTCAAGGACACGACGCCGCAGCTGACGCCCGAGCTGTACGACCCCGCGCTCGGCGCCTTCGTCGAGCAGGCCCCCAACTCGGTGGTGCGCGTCTACCACAGCATGGCGCTGCTGCTCCCCGACGCGACGGTCCTGAGCGGCGGCGGGGGGCTCTGCGGCGGCGCCTGCGACACGAACCACTTCGACGCGCAGGTCTTCTCGCCGCGGTACCTGTTTGACGGCGAGGGCCAGCCCGCGGCGCGGCCCAAGATCCGCGCCGTCGCGAGCAAGGAGGTGCACGCGGGGGATGCCATCAAGGTGACGACCGACGGGCCCGTCAAGAGCGCCGCGCTGGTGCGCTACGGCTCGGCCACGCACTCGGTCAACACGGACCAGCGGCGCGTGCCCCTGACGCTGCGGCAGGACGGCGGGAGCTACGCGTACAGCGCGGACCTGCCGCGGGATCTGGGCGTGCTGCTGCCGGGGTACTGGATGCTGTTTGTCATGAACGACAAGGGCGTGCCGAGCGTGGCGGCGACGGTCAAGGTGCTGCTGTGAGCGATGGGCTGCATGACGGGACGGCAGGACGATGATGGCATCTAGATGATCATGTAGAATTCTTGTAATGTTAGAGAAGCGCTCACCAAGGTCGTGGGTTTTGTACATATATGACACGCCTCTCTCCGTCCCCAGCTGGCCGGGTCTTTCACGGCTCTCTGCCCACCAAGCTCGGCTGGCGGGCGGTGTTGAGGGCTTTGCCAGCCTCCCAGTGTAGCCCTCTATGGCCTCGTCGCAGCATCCTGTGGCCTGGCTGGCCCGCCCCCCTATCGTCAGATTGTGCTCTGTTCTTGCCTCTCCTCACACTTGCATGGACCGCGCAGTCTTGCACAGCAGGTGCGAACCTCCGGCACACGCTCCATGCTCTGAGCCCTTGTCAATGCGGTGACATGGGCCGACTGTCAACGTGCGGAGAAGACGCGGCCTAGTCCTTCTAGTTTCTCACGAACCCACGTCTAGGACTCCAAGGGTGGTTCCACGATCGGCGGTATGCTGTCATGATGAAGTTGGCAACAGAAGTTCTCCGAACACGGGCCCGTAGCTGTCGCCCAATGCCAGCAGGCCTAGCATCTTCGATCAAGTCCATGAGTGCCCTGAGCAGAGGCAGCCGGTCGGCAAACCTCGTCGTCGGGGACTGTCGCGTCCGTCGTTGCTGCAGGTGGAGGGTGAAGGAGCGCGTCGCCGAAACGCGCCCCCTGCGATGGACTACCCTATACACAACTTGTCGTGCCAGATTTTGCAGACGACGAGCCGTTCCTGCCGTCAGAAATACAGGGGAATGATTCCCTGCTGTAGATCTGACTGGCCGATGACTGCACTGATTCCTTTTCTGCGATGACTCTGCGTGTGACTCAACTTTCAGCTCGCCATCTCGATCGCAACACGCGTGGGTGCCTGGTGGGAGCTGACCGTGTCATTGACGGCTGGAGACACACTGTATGCGAATGAGCAGTGTGGGCAGGAGGCCGGAGGGGCCATGTTCAGTGATGCCGACTGAAGCCAAGGCGTCTCGAGCAATTGCAAAGCAATTGTAAGTGACTCGAACTACGAAGAGTCATGATCAAGCAGCGTGGCCGGGGTTGAGAACCTGGACTAGAGGTTCGTCGACATGGACCGCAGGGTCTATAAGTCTCAAGTTGGCCCCCTTATCGGTACCAGCCTCTATGGCTCAGTGGTAGAGCGTCGCACTTGTACCAGTTACAGGGTAATGCGAAGGTCCATAGTTCGATCCTGTGTGGAGGCTCTTTTTTTTTTTTGGGGCGGGTGCCGAAGTGCAAGGCCCGCCCGGCTCGGGCCACTGACACCCACTGCATTTCCAGCGCAGTGCAGCGCAGAATGCATGCCTTATCCACTCGCTGTCTCGCCTCCCCGCTCAAGGTTTCCTTGATGTTGGATTGGACCGGGTCCGCTGGGAAATGATGTCGGCAGTTTCCAAATTTTTTTTGACAAGTGGCTTGGCCCCGACCTGTCGGATCAGATGGTGACTCACGGAGAGAAGCCTGGAATCAAGCCATGTGGTCTGGTCAAGCAATTGGCGGCTCTAATTCCCATGTGCTGCTGGTCATGAGCGACGACGACGAAGACGCACGTGTGTGCCCGATGACAGACGAGACAGACGGGGGCGGGCGGACAGACGGACAGGCATCGCATCGTTGTCTCGCAGCACCCTTCGACCTTGGCAGCAGCAGTAGCAGCAGAAGCGAGGGTCTCAGTCTCAGGGACCCCCTCCGATCATCATGGCATGGCGTGGATTCGATTCCCACCTGTGGGCCCACCACGCCCACGACAGCCGGCGCCACCGACCACTCTTGCGCTCCCTCTCGTCGTCCACCTCTGCTGGTCCCTTGCTTTTTTTTTTCTCTTGCGCTGCACTGCACGAGGGTCATCCGGGAGTGGGCCAAGCCCCCTGCCGTGGTCGACGATGGAGACGGTGACGCAGCCCGCCCGCCGGGAGCTGGGGGAGAGACGCGGCGGAGCATTGGCGGCCGCGGGTCACGCCACGAGCGTGCCGTGCGTCGTGCGTTGCTGGAGATTGATGGTTTTCGTCGTGTAGTGACTGATGGATGCTTCGACTCATAAGCTTGACGCTGCTCTGCTCTGCCCCTCACGCGGAAGCTTCCATCAAAAAGCTTGCGCCGTGGGCCGAATTGGGTTGACGAGTTTGAGCCGAGGGCGCCACCCGGGCTTCAGGGGGGGCGGGCGAGTTTGTTAGAGGGGAGGGGTCCTGTCCGGGCTGCGCGCCCACTGTATCAAGCACTGTACCTTGCCTTGCCTTGCCTCTGGGCTGCTTGCGAGCGGGGTCCAGTTGCAAAGTGTTGTGAGCCTGCGACGGGCATGTGTCGCCCGGGTGGACTCTTCACGTCAGGTCCCTTCCATTCCGTGACATCCAGACGGGACTACCTGATGGCACCGTGCAGCCCTGCAGCGCCCCAGCTTCAGGGGCCGCCCCAAAGAGCGGTGACGAAGAGCCCCAGCCCACGGCAGCCCGCGCGGCAGCGCCTCCTGCAGCAGCGCCTCCACTGGGGGATGCACAGCGCCCTGCAACTGCATCACCGCGCCGGCAGCACAGCGCAGCACCCGCCCAGCCCACGGAACCCACTGCAGGCCGCTAAAGGCACCTGGGCAATGACGCTGAGGCATGCCCCCCTCCCCCCCCGATGCAGCCTAGCGCCGCCCCCCCTCCCCTCCTCCCGACTCTGCGCTCTCTCGCCCAGGCGAATCAGGCGCAGGGGAACCCCACCGCTGGGAAAAGTTTGGGACAAAGTATTTCACTCCGTCTGCCTCTGCGAGTCTCCTCTCCTCCTTCTCCTTCCCTCTCCTCCTTTGTGCTGCACCAGCAGATTCAACCTCAACCCCCAAACAGACAACGAAGTCGCCCTGCCCAGAAGCCACAGCCAGAGAACACCCCCCTACCGAAACTTCGTCGATCCAAGATGCCTTCGGCCGTCGCTGAGCTGTAAACGCCCACTGCGGGCCGTGGCCGGGGGCTCTTCCCTCTCTCGCCCTCCTGGCCGCGGCCTGCAGTCCAGCAGTTCACCGAGTTCAACAATCACCGACGAACGTTTCGCACAGCCTCTCCCGCTCCCCGAGCTGGAACACGCTCCATCCGAGAGTCTGTCTCTGCAACGATCCATTCTGCCGCCAGCCCGTTCAACAACAGGGCGACTTCGCCATCCATCCATATACCAACTTCAATCTGCCGTTGTTGGCCGCCCTTATTTGCCTGTACGACCCCATTCCCAATTGCCCGGCACCTGTGCGCCTCCCAATGTCTGACCGCGAAATGTCCCCTCGGCCTTAGACGAACCTCAATTTCCCAAAACAGTGCCACTGCTGTAGCCATTTCCAGCAGCAATAATATCCCGCCTTGACTTTGCCCACCTTTGCCGGCAGCAATACACCACGAAAGCGCTCTCGCGAGCCTGCAACCAGCAACATTTGTCCCGCAGCAAGTCCTGCACACACAACTAGACAAAAGCCTAGACAGAAATGTCTCGCAACGTTCGACAAAAGCACCCCTCCACGCCCGTCAAGGCGTCCAAGCGCCGCGGCTCCGACTCGTCGTCTTCTCTTGACCTTTCCGATGACGATGGCTACTCCGCCGTCGAGGACATAAGCGATTCCGAGGACGACGATGAGGACGATGTCAATGCGGTCGAGGAGGAGAACATTCTGATCGAGGCTGTGCGCCCCGGCCACACTCCTCGACCGCAACCCGCCCCCGTTGCCGCTGCCGACGACGATGATGACGACGAGGAAGAGGACGAGGAGGAAGAAGAGGAAGAGGATGATGAAGAAGAAGAGGAAGACGAGGACGATGAGGACGACGGCGAGGCTCGCTTCGGCGACGGCGACGAGAGTGCCAGCTGGGCTGGCATCGTGTCCGAGGCCGACGCCAGCCAAGTCTCCGACTTTTACCACGAGCCCAACACCTTTGCCGCCGATGCTGCCGTCGCGCGCCACGTGCGTTTCGACGTGCCCTCGAGCGAATCCGACTCCACCGACACCGACGAGGACGATCACGGCGATCTGTTCCCAGACATTTTCGTCTCCCAAAACTCTCTCGACCCTGCCTTTCGCCGTGAGATTGAGCACGACCCAGATGAGTCTTCTGGCTCTGGCTCGTTTTGGGACTTCAATGGCCAATATGAAGAGGATCCGCGCGATTCAGATGCCGAAGAGGTCGTCCGCGAGGTGTCGGATGACGAGACGCCCACCGCCACGCCTAGGCCTGCCCAGTCTGCGGTTTCTGCCCAGTTCACACCTTCATTTGAAGAGAATCTTGAACTGGACGGCTACGAAAGTGAGTTTAGGGTGCTGCGCTGGTGTTTTCATTGAATTTTGTGCTTACTTACCTTGCCTGCAGCCGACGGCGACACAACCGAGGAAGACATTCCGGATCCTCCCATCCGTCGCAAGACCCGGCGCCCGTCTAATCCCATGAGCGAGGTGTCCGACTCGGACACGGAGTCGGCGGTGCAGACGGAGCGCGGACAACCGCGCGTCGGCCGGTTCAAGCTTGACCGTTCGGACAAGAAGCCGATTGCCGTGCTAAACCCCCTGACGCGCAAGATGATGATCTTTACGCCGCACCGCCGGCGCCAGCTCGACCTGTCGCCCGAGCAGTTTAACTTCCCCTGGTGCATGGAAGAGCAGTCGTCGCCGCTGCTCAGCAACTCTGCCAACATGATGCTGAGCGCCATGTTCTCCACAAACACCTTTGCCGACCTGGTCAACCCGCAGACCATGGGTCCGGCCGAGGCCTTCTTCCCCTTTCCGTCCGAGGCCAACACGGCCGATGAGAGCTCGACGGCGCCGCCCAGCCTGCAGGGCGACGGCGACGAGGCGGAGAAGAAGCTGGACATAAGCGACTTCATCACCTGGGACGGCGACTCGTCAGGCGACGAGGCCGACGCCGACTGGGAGCCCTCGTCAACGCCGCTGCGGCCGAGCACCGCCGGCGAGCGCGACGTCCTGTCGCACCTCAACTCGGACACGGTGGGCGCCTTCCGCCGCAACCAGATCAACCAGCAGTTGATCCTGAGCAACCAGGCGACGCAGGACTCGCTGGCGTTTAGCGGGCCGTACAACTACACGGCGCTCAAGGGCCTCAAGTCGGACAGGTTCGACACGGCCGGCATCCCGCTGACGCCCGTGCGCCGGCAGAAAAAGCACCTCAGCGAGGTGGCGCGCAGCCCGCTCGAGCAAGTCTCGGCGAAGCGCAAGGCTTCGGGCGACGCCGGCGGCGGCCACAAGAAGCACAGGAGCATCTCTGACGTCAATTTCTTGAGGATATGAATCTAACGGCCGGTAGGCGCGACGTCGAGAGACGGACAGGACGGTGACAATACGAGCGGGGACGGCGTGATGCTCATGGCAGCACACCCCTGGCCTTGCTATATGAGCGTGCCTATGTAAGCTTGCATGAAATTTATTCACATTTGATTCAATATGGTGCCGCCGTGTAGCCTGAAACTGCGTAGCCTGTGATGAGTCGGAGCGCGTCGGACGTAGAGGCGCGTCGACAGCCGTCGCACAATGACGTAGCATTTCACACTGGTTTGCTTCACACGTAGTGCGACATCATGCGCACCATGTCGTGGGCATACGTGGGCAATGCTGCTTGCTCATCAAATTGTCACACATATTACCCAACTAGCTAGCTAGCTACGCTACCGCAACGACTCCCTCCCCCCCTCGGTCGAACATGCGCTGTCCACCGCGTGCTCTCAATGGTACCTTGACCTTGCCTTTGCCCCTACCGTGCCGAGTCAGCCAGCAAGTCGCAATTAGTTACTTCGCAGTACCAGAATCCGTTGTACAGTACAATCCCATGTGAGGCCAAGCACAAATAAAACTCCGATCCTGCGCCCGTTGAACCAGGTCCTCATGCGATCGATCAAACAACGCCAGTGGCACTTTTCTTTGCTTTGTGTGGTTGGTTGTTTTGGCTGTTTTGTATTGGAGTGGGTGAATGAGTGAATGAGGGGGTGAGTGCGAAGAACTAGGTTGAGGATTGTCCTTGACTGAGTATGGACTACCTTAGAGAGAATCGCGTTCGGGTGGCTCTGGGGGGCTGTGATGGGTAGGTAGATAGGTAGGTGGGTGGGCAGGTAGACGAGCGTGTACGTGCGTGAGGAGGAGCGGCGTGCACTGTGGTCATATCAGTAGTCGATGGTTGAATGGACGACGTTGATGTTGATGGCGATGTCGATGGTGATGTTGGTGGTGGTGATGGTTACGATGAGTGGCGATTTGCCGCGAGCCTCAGACGTGCCAAATACTGTGTACGAGGGAGGGAAGAGGAGACGTTCAAGCGGCGGGCTCGAAGAAGGCGACGGGTACGCCGTGCCCGGGGCAGCCGACGATCTCGGCCTTGTGGAACTGCGCGGCCCAGTCGCCGCGGTACTCGACGCGTTCGTACTTTTGGAGGAGGCGGACGACTGCGATCATTTCCCAGTTGTCAGCTACATGCCCTCTCATGATCTCACCCACCAGCCCATCGGTCCAGCCGCCGCCCACACGAATGACATAGAACAACAAGATACGCTGGAGACGATACAAGCCGGTGCAGGGAAGTGAACAAACGTACGCGTAAAGGCCATCTCGGTGAGGGCAAAGTTCTGCCCGATGCAGATGCGCGGCCCGCCGTTGAAGGGCACAAAGTGCCAGGGCTTGGGGGTCCAGTGGTCCCAGCGGTCGGGGCTGAAGAGGGCCGGGTCGGGGAAGGTGTCGGAGGCGGGCGGGTAGAGGTCGGCGCGGCGCTGCATGGAGAGGGTGCTGTAGATGATGATGTCGCCGGGGAGGGCGGCGATGTCGGGCTGGCCGGGCTGGCCGGGGAGGGTGGAGGACTCGACTGAGAAACAATCACACACATATCAGTAAATTGAACTGCCTGTCGGAAACACTCAGGGGGATGACGGGGGCATGGGAGCGAGGGCACAAGAGGGAAGGCATGGGAGTGGCCTCAGGGGTCAATCGCTAGCTGCCTAGCCAGCAAGCCGGGAAACTGAGGGGAAAAGAACAAAGGAGCGAAGCCAAAGGAGCAGACTCACTGCAGGACCGCAGGTTATACGGCACCGCCGGATACAGCCGCAGCGTCTCATTAAGCGTATGCGTCAGGTACGTCAACCCCTTGAGGTCCTCATACGTGGGCGCGCGCTCGCCGCCAACGCGCCCGAGCACGTCGGCGCGGAGGCGCGCCCACACGGCCGGCGCGTTGGCGAGCTCGTACAGGCACCACGAGAGGGTCGCGGCGGTGGTGTCGCGGCCGGCGAGCAGGACGGCCATGATCTGGTCGCGCAGAACCTTGGGGTCGCGGCTGAAGAGCGCGATGTGGTGCAGGAACGTGAAGTCGAAGTCGCGGTCCGACTTGGATAGCGTCTCCAGCTCCGAGGGCGTGAGGCGCAGGGTCGCGGCGATGTAGGGGTCCATGAAGGACTCGATGAGCTTGATGCCCGACTTGTACTTGTGCTGGGGGACGAGCCACCGAAAGGGGCTTTTCACCTTGATCAGCATGGTGGCACCCATGGAGAAGCATCTCTTCTCGTGTATGAGGAAACGATCGGAGGCAGGGAAGAAAGGGGGGATGGGGCGATGGGCAGAAGAGGACGTACTAGAGAATGGTCAGAATCATCTGCATGCGCTGCACCTCCATAAACGCCCTCGAAAAGTCGCTCCGCGGATTCTCCAACGCGCCCACACTCTGCCCCAGCAAGAAATCCGTCGTCACATCCAGCGTCATCCTGTAAAACAAGTCACACATGTCGACCGTCTCGCCCGCGGGCGGCATCTCGCGCAGCATCGCGCCCGCCCAGCGGTCAAAGATGTGCAGGTCGCGCACGCGGTCGCGCGTGAACATGGGCCGGATCAGCGCGCGGCTCTTGTGCCAGCGGTCGCCGTCGGTCGTGAAGATGCTGTCGCCCAGGAACGGGCTCCACGCGTCGTGGAACATGTCGCCCTTGCCAAAGTCGGCGAACTTGGACGTCAGCACCGTCTTGACGTGCTCGGGCTCGCGCGTCAGCAGGATGCGCCGGCTGGCGAACGTCATTTCCACGATGTTGGGCGCCGTGGGCGTGGCGTAGCGGTAGATGGAGTTGAAGTAGTCGAGGAGGCGGTTGTTGGCCTGCATGTAGGCCGCCTCGAGGAACCAGTAGATGGCTGTATAAGCACAACATCCGGTCGTTAGCTTTGGCATTAGATCGCGAAGCCACTCAACCGACGACCAGTGTGCAAACACGCACTGAGAGACGGGGCACGCAGAGAGTCGGCAGGGGACGCACCAGAGAATGGGTTGTTGGCGAGGGCCGGGGCGCGTACACCCGGGTTCTTGCTCAGGCGGTATTCGATGCGCAGGTGCTGCGCGGTCCAAAGCACGATGAGCACGACGGGGATGGCCACGGCCACGGTGACCGGGCTGGGCGCGACGACGGCGAGCATCTTGGGTAGACGGGCGGTCGGACGATTGTGAAGGGTGATGGAGTGCCGATGAGCCCTTAATACTAGCTGAGCTTCAAGCTCGGGTGAGCTTCGCGAGTGGTCTAGCTTCCGTAGACGGATGCTGAATACGACGAGTCTTGACTCTTGAGTAGCATCAACAGCTTCAGCTCTTGCTATGATGGCAGTTGAAACGGCGCAGAGACGGCAATCATCTCAAGGGCGGACGTGCCGGGAGCTGGTGGAGTATCGAGCTGAAGCTCCAAGCCATGACTGATGCGCACCAGCAGCTCCAAGACACCTTATACACCCCACGGGACAAGCCCGCCTCCTACCTCACGCCTCACATGTTCCCGAGGACCGTGCGCCGCAGCCATGGCGCACGCAAAACTCTCGATACGGATGGGGGAGAGCTCCAGCACAGTGGTGGCTTGTCCTCTTCCCGCACCTTTCCCAAACAGCCAGCATCCTTGATTCCTGGGTAGGTGGGAAGCAGCAGCCATGAGGAGACTCCCGCGCCCAGGCATCGTCAGCAGGGGAGCGCCGCGCGGTGGACCCTGCTGGGGTCCTGGAGACCTGGCCGTGCGTGCGGGGGAACCAGTGACGATCCACACCCTTTCTTTGGCGGCGGCGACCGCGTCTGGGTAAGGGCGGGCTGGAGGGATGGAGGGATGGAGCGGGGGTACGTGAAGGACGAGGAGGAGCTGGAATGGGAAATGGGCTGGGAGGCACACATGCATGGATGCATGTTGGGAGCGGTGCTGGTCCCGGGCAGACGCAGGAGGTTGCCAATCGCATCTCGTAGGCGGAAGCGTGCTGGCAGATGTGAACGCTGATGGCAGTGATCAGGGGCAAGCAGTCAGGGCATGTTCTCGTCGACGCGCGCCTCATTCCGCCCACAGCGTTCACGGACTCTGCGCTGCCTGTCCCTGCATCGAGCTGCGGGCTGGCCCCATCGACATCTTCCCTTCTCCAATCCGCGACCCCTCAAAAGCAAGCTCTGGGCGCGTGCCCCATCCCTTCCCACCAGGCCGGAAGAGGTGGGGACTCGGATCATACCGCCCATCTGGAGTCGATAGCTCACGTCCCGAATCCATTTCCAATGCTCAATGCCGGAGTGACAGAATCCCCGAGCCTGGAGGACTGAAGAGAATTAAGACGGCATGGAAGTGGTGGCGAACGGCAGCGCGTGAAACCGTTGACATGCGCGCAATGCGTCGCTTCGCGGCTCGGCAAGCCACCGACGTACGCCTCGCCCAGCCGTCGCCGTTGTCACAGGTGGTGCAGGTGAGCGTCGCACAGCATGAGCGGGTCGTGATTGATCTGGGGGGAGGGCGGGCCCGTTGACGGGGTGTCTTGCCTCTGACGCGGGGGCAGGCCACGGCGTTGCCTCTGTGCGACTGTCGAGGGCTGTCTCAAAATATACCAGCACGCTCTGACCGAGGAACACGGCGTGATTGTAGGATGGCGACAAGGGAATACCTCACACTTCCAGATGGGGCCAACGGCGTAATTATTGCAGCAGACAAGCGCCAAATACATGTAAAGATCACAACCATGGTCAGAGTAGGAGCCGCAAGGCACAAATGACAGAAGCCATATAGATACTAACGTTACTTCGGTTCATTTTGGCTACTACCGCTATTGTCGCTAACACTTTTGCTCACGTCTTATCAAGACAAGCGGTGTCTGGTTCAAGTGGTGCGCGGCTTCCCGATGTTCAGGGTGCTCGTGGTGACAGACAGCGCATTGACAGCCGTGCATGGCCCCGAAGACCTTTTCGACTTGAGGGTAGACAACTTCCCGAACAGGATCCCTGGCGCTAGAGCGCCTTGAGGGATGTTGTGCTGAGATATGAACTACTGCGGCTGATGTCTGTTCATGTTCCTCCAACATGCAACGCGGCTGCCCTCTGATGCTAGATCAAGAGACGAAGATGGATCAGAGACTGGGTACGGCGTTTGCGGGCACGAAGGTTCGGGTTATGGTAGACGAGGACAGCGGCGGCCCCTGTGTGGAGTCTGGACTGGATGCTGGTGAAGATGTTGCTCGTGTTGATGGGTGGGGAGTGGAGACTGGGCCGCGAGGGGTTAGAGTGGAACGCTGCAAGCTGTCGAGAGGTCTATAGTACACTTTAAGTCGCTTCTCCATCACAATTGGTCTAGTGGCGCAATGGCCGCGCGTTGCTTTCCGGTGGCAAAGGTTCCAGGTTCGAGTCCTGGCTAGATCGATTTTTTTGCCCTCTCTTGCCTCTACCTGTCCAGCAAGATCACTTTCTTTTTGTCTTTGGGGAGAAAAGTATTTGGCCATCAGCCCCTTCTCATCTGGCCGCTATCGCTACATTTCCTGCTCCCATTGGTCCCTTTGCTCACGTTTCTGGCGTTGTTCAAATGCTGCCGTTGCCGCTTGACGATGCCCTTTCCCTTGGTGGCCAGACATTCCAGTGGCACACGGGTATCCCAGCCCTAGTCTTCATCGTCTTCAGATTCGGAACTGGAAGGCTGGCTTCCTTCTTCATCCGAGTCGAAATCTTCGTCGTTGTCTAAACAACTATCCCACTCATCCCAACCGCACTGAACCTTGAGGAATTTCGCTGCGGACATGTGCCCGTTGATCTCCGCAAGCCTGACTGCTCTGACGTACTCTCTCCTGTAGGAGTACCCCTCAACCCGAGCTCCGCTGTTCAGAAGCAAACTAATCATGTCAAGTCGGCCATGTTCTGCGGCACCTTGGAGGGCAGTCCTGCCGCCAATCTCTGCTCGCTGTGCGTTCACGTCTGCTCCGGCGTCCAGCAGTCGCCGCGCGATGCCCAGATAGCCACGGATGGCGGCGAACTGCAGTGCCGTGGCACCGCTGATTTCGGCTGCCATAGCGTTGACATTCGCCCCCGCGCCGAGGAGTATGTTGACTAACTCTATGTGACGTACCACTACCGCTTCTTGTAGGGCCGTTCGCGCGCGCGAGCGTGCAGACGGTGGGGCGAGGTCTTGGGCACCCAAACTGAGGAGTCTCTTCACAAGAGCAACGTCCTTGTTGCACACAGCCAGACCGAGTGCCGTTGCTCGTCCATCCTCTGTTGTGCAGTTCACATCTGCGCCTGCGTCCAGAAGGTCGTCTACCAGGTAGGCCTTCCCCGCTGATATAGCTTCGCAAAGTGCGCCGCCCAGATGAGTACGGCTCCACAGGGCACCTCGGAGAAGCGTGCAGAGGATGGACCGATCACCCACTTGAACACCTGCCTCCAAGACAGATCTGAGTTGCGGTCGCTGTAGGTCTTGCGCGGACGGGCGCCACCAGTGAGGTTCCCATTGAACACAGTGACATGCGCGCGTCTCTCGTCTTGCTTCGCAACACTCAAAGTTCAACCCTGCGAAGTCGATAGCATTGTTCTTAAATCTGAAGGAATTTCCACCCGGATCGATACCGGCGTTGAAGAGCATTTGCAATATTGCACCGCTCCGCCCCAAAACGGCCATGTAATACGCGGTACAACATGGTACCTGCAAGAAAGAGTATTTGGTGGAGCGAGCCGCGTAGTCAAGCAGGGCTTGGAGAATGCTGGTATCGCTGGCTCGCAAGGACTCCCATACAGCAGAGTACAGTGCGTTTTCTGATATGGCAGCACCGCGTTGAATAATTAGCTGAGCGAGTTCAAGATTGGAGCAAGAGATTGCAGAGTCCAGAGGTGCCACGGATTCCCCCAATTCGTGGTATCTGAACTTGATGTTGAGAGCAAGCAAGCGGCGTACTAGGTCTTCTCGATTGTCTCGAATCGCCCATGATAGGATTGACTCGGCAAGCGCGCCGTCACTTTGCAGCAGCCCGATCTCTTCTAGGGTGTCAAGCATCTTGACATCAGACACCCTGGCGGGCATCGAGGACAAGTGTTGGCCCAGGGGTACATTCTCGAGGTGCATCTTGAGGATAATCTCCGTCTTTCCTGCCTCCAGTGCATACCTAAGGGTGTCGCCGCAGGAATCCCGTCTGTCGTTTTTCACACGTGCTAGCATTATAGAGAACACGTCCAGATTGTGTTTTTGGGCTGCTTGCAGCAAATGCGAAGCGCCGACAGAAGCCCCCTGGTCTATGAGACTCTTGCATAGCCACGGCCCGAGGCCCTGGAAGTCGATGAGGTCAAAAAGACGACCGTACTCGTCCAGGCTTGCGGCGTTGGCCTCCGCAGCACAAACGTCAGCACCAGCTCGTAGAAGCATCGCAGCGCCGTCCTGGTTTCCGCGGCGGCTCAAGGCCAGTAGTAAAGGGCATACCCATGGGCTGTGAGGCATATCGATCTTCGCACCTGATCTGAGAAGGCGGGCAATCATGCCGACATTTCCTGAATTTGCGGCGAGACCTAGCGGGGTCGTCACCTTCCAAGCTGTCCCGGGCCAGTACATGCAGACTTCCGTATCGTCCCAATTGATGGGCTCCCTCGAGTTGATGTCAACCCCACTGGAAAGTATTTTCTCCGCCTGTTGAAGGTCTCCTAGTTCGACAGCACGACCAAGGGGAGTACGTTCCGCAAAATATTCTGGCCGTCCTGTTGCCTTGATGATGCTATCCACCATTTCAGAGTCCCCCCTTATCTTGGTGTAGTCGATAAACGAAATTGGAATCCGCGCACCAGCACCGATAAGTTTGAAGATCAGGTTTCTGTGATCCTCATCGATCGCGGCGGACAATGCAGAGCTCATTCCCGTCTTTTCGTTGATTGAGGCACCATAGCGAAGCAGAATGTCAGATAAGGCAAGCGCTGACGGCTCGTCCTTCAGACCTGCTGCATATACCAGGGGAGACCTCTTTTGGCAAACCAACCATGGGGCTATGTCGATGGGAAGATCTGGACTGACCCCGGCATCTAGCATCATGCGCAGCGTGGCCAGGCTCTGTGTCCTCACAACGCTTGCGAAAAGCTGCTCAACAATGGCCGCAGAAGTGTGAGAATCTTGCAAGTAGAACTTTCGAAATTGATGTGGGTTGCATAGTTCCATCGACTGCATTATGCCAATCACATCTTCATCATGGCGTCGTGCTCGCCCTGTCAGCGGTGTGTCGTCATCGATGTCCCAGAAGTCAAACTTGTTGGACAAGAGAAAGAGCTTGACTAAGAGCCAATCTGGGACATTTGTAGTCGTTTGCGAGGCGCAAAGTCTTTGAGCCGTCTCAGCGAGTTGCCCGTCGTACTCTTCCGGCATGATGGTGGACAGCATTGCAGATACTTTCGAGACACAATCGGTATGCGCCATGGCGGAAGGAACTCTGGCGGAAGGAACGCTTCGCTCAAAGACCAGCCGCAGCTGGTTGGCCATGTGCCTGCCCGTCGTAGGCGACACATCCGACATGAGTAACCGCGCATTCGAAAAGTAGGTCTGTGGTCCATCTTGCGTGCATGTGACCGATGCTGTACACGTCGCTGTTAGGCAGGCTCGAACCAAGTCTCAGCTAAGAGATCTCTTGCCTTGCGCAATGCCCGAGTGGATAGTTTGCAAGAATTTGAACCAGGGCCATTCAGATTGCCATTGTTTGGCGGCGGCGCACGATGCAGGCGAAAGGATCGTAACTATACCAGGTGTTGCTGGGGAAGGTGCATCTGACGAGGATTAGCGTACTGCTAATATACTAGCAGTCGGAAGCAGGGATGGCGATGAATACCTTCTGGGGGACGGAGCTTTTCGATGGTCGAAACGTAACCGTGGCGGGCTGTCTCTTTCCTAACCTTGGGCGATGGGCAACGGACCCCGTCAATATAGATCTCGTAGTCTTTGCCTGTCTCCCTTTTTCTTTTCGCGAGTTTCGCGCTGATGACTTTCCAATCGCCCTTCTTCATGCGATTCTTTCGAAGACCCCATTCCTTCAGCTTCCTTTCGAATTGCGCTTTACTATGGCCATTATTAGCGAAGAAAGTCAGGACTTCAGGACTTCAGCGGAAGCGCAAGAGATACCTTGCATGGAAGTCGTGCGACGAGGCCAAAATGCCAATCACTTCGTCGAGAGGACGGTTTTCCCGGATGAAGAGGCGCTCGACCTCGGCCTTGTGATTGTCCCAGTTGTGGCGCGCCATAGTAGCCCCACGCGTTCAAAGAGAACAGATGAGCGAGTAAACGTACAGAATCTGCGATGAAAGTCACAGCAAAGAGGAGGCCATGGAGAGACGACGAAATGAAGAAGGGCTGAAGGAGGATGGCGAACCATCAGGCGGCTCAGGCAGACCGACAAGGCAGCAATGGGCAGGGCGGCTCGGCTGTGAGCGCCCAGGGCCTGATTGGACTCATCCAAAACCCTCATATGGGGCCTGATTGGACTCATCCAGAACCCTCATATGCAGGTCGAATCCCTGGCGGCCCGCGCGTGTGTGCCTTCTGTGAGCTCAGCACCCAGTCAGATCATTGACGGACTGGGAAGTGCCGATACCCTCTGGCAAGGGGCAGTGGCCTGGGACCTGAAGACCGGTCATTCTAGACCGGATTTGCTGCCAGCGGGAGGGCATCGAAGGACGCCTGTCGATCGGTAATGGAGAGAGCGAACAAGCTGACAACTTGCAAGGGTAGGGCGGCCCACGACCACCGCCTCCTTGAGTGCCGACGCTCTCCAGCTCAATACACCTGAGGGGCCAATACCAAAACCATCATCCCAAGTACTGTCATACAGACGAGGAACGCTCATAACGCCAGATGTAAACCGTGCATAAGCCAGTCCCTTCCGCTCGCCAAACAGATTTGTTACGCCTGGTTGGCCAGTACCAAAGCCCTCATCGCCGGATGCCATTGATGTAGACGAGAGACGGTCGGTCATGATGCCTGATATAAATCGTGCATCGTCCCTTCCACTCGCCAAATATTAACCACTTCTCTATCCACTGCCTTCTTTTCCACGTCAGATCTAATCTATTACCACCATATCCGCTCAGCGAGTTCTTTCACACCGCAACATAGCCCAACATCCCCTTTCAAGTTGCCACGCCAGCATGGATAATGGCTCTGCCGTCTCATTGAACGTCAACCTTAGCGCGTGCACTGGGTACACAATTACCTGTCTTTCCAGTTCTATAATGTTTTATCTCATGCATTTCCAGGTCCAATGACTGTAATCCACCATCCGACAAGGAAGTTGAGATGCACAGGAGCCAAAGCATCCATCGATGGCTTTTAGATGTCGAGCCGAGGGTCATCATACTTGGCGCTCAGGGACCTACGCAAGGCGAGAACAACAGTGACGGAGCCACTGACGCGGGCCGCAGTGGTGTCAACTCGGCCTCCAATGCATAGTGGACTCAATTGCCTGACGCCATGAGGTCGGTCGTGGAATGGCTGCATGGGGAGATTGGAAGCGACGCAACGGGACGCGGACATCGCAAACGTGTAGCCGGAGTACAATGATGTCTATCGGGAAACATGCAGGTCCATAGAATACACACCGCCGTGGATAAGTCTGGTCCAGTCGACGGGGCAGCATTGAATGCCAATGCACGAGTTCGCTCTGGTCTACGTGCAGCACTGCAGATGCATTTTCCGTCGCCAGGTACTCACGTTGCCATCCGTGTTATCGACGAACGACTACAACGCACGTTGCAACCATTGCGATTTCAGACGCGTCATGCTACAAGATATACTGTGTTTTGTGACATTTTTGGCGGTAAGTCAGAGGGCAACAATGTTCCGGTACACGAACCAATCCAGCCGGCCAAATTCCTAGCAGCGCCAAGGCCGGACACTTCGCGTTCAGTCGGCCAATTGACGGCAATCCGGGTTCCTGATGCGGCAGTCACCCCGTTGTTTCCCGGATCTTGGGCGAATCTTCATAATTGACAAGATGTGCAGGATGACTTGGTCCACTGTGAAGAACCCTGCCATCTCCGGGCCCTGGGAAGGTCGAAGCCGCCCTGGTGGTGAAACGCGAGCAGTAAGGCCCCGACAAAACATGCGATCTAGGATGGGCATCCCATCTTCCCAAGCAGCCTGCGCACTTCATGGAACTCCTCGGGCCCGTGCTTAGTGATTCTAGATGTGGCTGTTTTCATGGCCGGATTGAACGCGTCTATGCGCGTGCGATCATGTTTTATGTGCACCATCGGTGGCATGTTTGTCGTACGAACGGAGTGAACCGCGGCTCCGTCTACCGTGAGCGCTGAGTAGTGGTATTAGCACGGATGAGCCACGCTGCCGATACACGTCACACCACCGGCATTCGATGTGCCCTTCTCCGCGCGAAAGATTGGTGACGAAGCGCTCGAACCATGACGGGTTCTCCACAGTCCACGACGAGGCCAGAGCTGTTAACTTTCACTGCTCGAACCTCAAGTTCTTGTGCCTACTCTCAGGACTCCGGGGGGGAAAGCCCGGCCCCACCCAACACTGCAACTCAACCACGGCACTATCACTGTATCCGAGCGCGCGGGATTCTGTTAGATTCACGCTGCGGCGCTCGAATCATGATGCAGTTTCAGACGCTCTCCTCTCAGTCCTCTGGCGTACCTCTGCCGAGGCCCCGAATGCAGGAAGCATGGCGATTCCATCATCGGCCTCAATAGAGAAGCTGCCTGCTGAGCTTTTACTTCTCATAACGAATGAATTGTCGAACCGTGAACTTAAGAATTTACGATTGACAAGCCGTTTTTTCAGCACGGTGTCTTTGCGCATCCATCGAGTTTTCCTCTCCCCAAACCCGCGCAATGTCGACGTCTTCCTCGCCATCGCGAATCATGACGCTTATCGGTCAAAAGTTGTCGAGATCATCTACGATGACGCACGTCTGCCGCGATCCGCAGCTGAAGCTGGAAGTGCTTCAGACCCAGGATACTACCATGGTTGGGACCTTCCCACGGCCGAAGAGGACAATTTGACATGGTTCGCGAAGTGCTGCGAGGAAAACATCTTCACGCTTAATGGCCGCAGGGGTCAAGATGTAGCTCGGCCGGATCATACTGCAAGACTGCGCCAATGTGATGCAGAGATGCCGCTCATCGAGTTATGGTCCTATTATCAGCAACTTGTACGCCAACAAGACGAGATACTGCAATCGGGAGCCGACATAGCTGCTTTGGCCTATGCTTTATCGCGCTTTCCTTCATTACGCAGAGTAACAATCACACCGGCGGCGCACGGATTTCTTTTCAATCCACTTTATGCGGCACCGATGATACGGGAGTTCCCTGTCGGCTTCAACTACCCCATCCCGCGTGGATGGCCCACGCCGGAATATACCGAAGCATCCGAGGTTGAGGCTCTACCCTGGGTTGAAGCTGGCCCCAGCAGTGGCTTTGACTTTGCTAAAGAGAGAGCAAAGTGGCGCGGTTTCTCGGAAGTCACTCGTGTTCTCTCAGAGCAGCAGCAAAGTCACAATGTAGTCGAGCTCATCGTCGATGCACATACGGTACCCACCGGGTTGAACTGCCGTGTTTTCGAGCAATGGTGTGAAGACTACAGTCATTTGGTCTCCATTATTCGTCGGCCCGGGTTCAGTTGCCTCAGTCTCTCTTTGCTTGTGGGTGGGCAGAAGAGCTTGAACTGGCCAGCATTTCGCAGTGGACTCTTACGTGACGCTCTCATGGGCGCCACCGACTTGAAGAGTCTCACTCTGGCTACAAACCTCGAGAGCGATCCATGGCTCGATGATGAAGTTGAGCTCCTACCACTGCACACAATTTTCCCAATCGGCCACCTCAGTCGGTTGGAACACTTTGGGCTCTGGAATTTTCTCGTCCAGCAATCCGATCTGATGCGCCTTCTCGCGGCGCTAACAGGGACTATCAGGTCCGTGGAACTTGAGTTCCTACACTTCTTGCATGAACGTGGGAATCATCATGATCTCCTCGAGGATATGCGTGAAACGCTGGGATGGCAGTCAAGGGAGAACCCGCCGAAGGTGAGGATCGCAACCTACGATATGTCAGGGCTTCCCGTCTTGGCGAGAGCCCACTGGCTCGAATCGGAAATCACGGATTTCCTATACGGCTGGGGCGAAAACCCGTTTAGTCGCAACGCCGACTCAGCCGATACGGTGCGTTTGGGCTACGGAACGCTTCGTGATGTCTTCGAGCCAGCGTATGAACGACCATGGGTATCTCCCGAAGAGTATCGCCGCTTGGGGATTCATAGGGGCCTCCACGACTATCCTGCGCCAGATTTTCCTCGGAGTGACATCAGCTTTGCGGCCGAATCACCCGCACAGTTTCAACCCTCTGCTGAGGGAAGCTACGACACCACACAGTCGACCCAAGTTCTGTCCGTTTCAACTTCTGTTTTCGCCGTTTTAATCCTGGGTTGTCTGCTAGCCCACTGGCTCGGCTAGCCATTAGCAGTCTCATGGTATACCGCAGGAATAGCCTCTCACCCTTTACTCAGGGGAATAAATCTGGTAGGTACGGACGGATATCACCGGTGGTATGATAAATGCATGGTAACTGCCGCTGATTGGACGGTCGCGGACGGCGTGGGCCGAATGATAATGAAGATGAGAAGATGAACTGTTGTTGAAAGTTGCGACTGGCAAGGTTGTCGGGCTGTCAATGGCGGTAGACAATACTGAGAAGCCCAGACCATGCCCAGAGCTCTAGAGAGCCCCAGGAATAGGGCCCAAGTGTCGTGGCCGGTGTGGGTTTCAAGGGAGTCTAAGGGACGGCGCTGAGACGCCAACAAGTCTACTGCGGGCCTGCAGGGATTGTCAGCTCCAGACGGTAGCCCATTGTGGTTTCGTCAGTCTTGGGCACCATCGTCCAGCCTATGAAGCAACGATGCTCAATCTGGTCAGTTGGAGACCTTTGACCGCTTCATCCATCCTGTCTCTCAAGTGGCCGAGAACTCCAGTGCACTCTACTCGCGAAAGGGACTTTGACTCTCAGGACTCTCCCTGCCACCGCATTATCGCCAACTACAGGCTCCGGAGCGGCGGTTTCACCGAGGGCTACGAAGAGAGTCTTGAATGAAACAAGACGGCGCGCCGCTCAATTGGGTCACCAATGACGTTCGCAACTGCCAGGGCATGGGCAGAAGGTCAATCGGGGGCAATGCTCGACGACAGCAACTTGTCGAAACAGCAGTTCCGGTCGGAGTTGCCGCCCATGACCAATGCTGGTCCTCAACATGGGCGGTTTCGTTTCCTTGGTAGTACATTCACTGGGACTATTGATTGACTCGAGCGCGGGCATTAATGGCTCGCAGTTCTGGATACAGCCGCCGCTACGGCGTGAATCGATGGCGGGCACGTCTTCTTCGGCGAAGTCGCCGATAACGGCTCGTCGATAGACACGGTTAGGGCACTCGAGGCGACGGGGTCCAAGTCTGGGAAAATGAAGCAAAACAAGGCGCACGCGACTGTGGATTGCGGAGTGTCTTCATAAGCGACGCAGGCGATGGAGCGCCGTCGACTTATTAGTACAAATGGGCCTGGGAACTCGGAACGGTGGTGGACTTGGCAAGCCAATAGCTAGACATAGACAAAATGGTCAACATTTCAAGCTGCCGGCTTTCACCAGTTTCGGCCGTGGCCAGCGAAGCGAGAGCACTCACATGTGAAGAGACTCCTCGGCTCAGGGCGCCCGTCTTATATAGGAGGGCGCATTTCCGACAGCGCAATTTCCGGCGCGGCCGTGCCGGCGGCAAACATTCGCAGGCAAACACTCTCGTGAGGAATCATGGCCTGCAAAAGGGGCCAAGGCAGCACCCCGACAAGGAAGGGGGACTATTGTCTGTGCCCCTGCCAATGCCCCAGCTTAGCGCTCACCTTACCCATGCTCACCCCGTGGTGATTCACGGAAATCGGTTCCGTCTCACCCCCGCAAACTCCACCCCCGGGGCCATCCGAGCCTGACAGCGCCAATCCGGCCCCTCCTGCGTGGTGGTGCGTGGAGGTCACGAGTGATGGCGGCTCGTGTCTGGCCTCCTTTCGCGATGCGGCCGTGGGTGAAGCGCGCCCCCATGGTTCAGGCTAAACGGCGGGAATAGTCAAAGTTCCTGGGGAAGCCTGTTCCTCCGCACGATTCTGGCGACGTTGAGGTGTCTGCCGTGGGATGCGATTGGCTGGGCCAAGACTCACTTACACGATGAGGCCATCAGGAGATGCAGGTGCAAGCAAGGCTCTTCGTGTTGCGAAGGCATCCATGTCGTCGACGTCGCTGCTGAGCATCGGGACTGTGCCTGCGATAGGAATGGCGCCCGCACTTACATGAAATCGCTGGCGACCCTGTTTTCACCAGGCACAAGGGCGAAGGAGTGTGTTTATTTAGAAGTGATCATCGCGCCGTCCCCACGGATCTCCCGCGAAGCATCTCCAGTCGTTCCAAGAACCCCCAGTCCACTCGTTACAACGCAAATCTTTGCCTTGCCTGCCAGTTCAACCATGAAGTTCCTCACTGCCACGTGCCTCGTGGCCGGCGTCTCGGCCGGCATCGTCCACCCGCCCACGCGGGTGTACGAGCGCGACTTTGCGACCATCACCGGCGTCATGGCCGACGCCGGCGCCAGCATCGAGAAGCTGACGGCCGCCGTCAACGCCTACGCTGGCGATGTCCAGCCCATCACCGACGCGTCGGAGGCGCTCGTGAAGACGCTCCAGGACGGCAAGGTCACGGTCGGCACCTCGGACCAGCTCGACCTGCTCGACACGGCCAACCTGTACACGCCGGTGCTCACGCTCCAGGGCCAGAGCCAGTCTCTGCTCGACGCTCTTGTGGCCAAGCGCGATGTGATTGAGAAGGACAACCTGTGCGACATTACGCGCGAGCAGGTCAACGCGATCAGCGTCAACTCCAACGCTCTCATCGACGCCGTTGTGGCCAAGGCCTTTGAGGAGGCTCAGGAGGTTGCCAAGGAGCTCGCGCAGCCCCTCGTTGACATCCTCAACAACTCGACCGTGCAGTTCAACACGGAGAACTGCGTCAACGCCGGCGGCGTCTCCAGCTCCACCACTGCTACCCCCACGGTCTCTCCCACGGACTCGACGACGTCGAAGCCTACCGATACGATCACGCCCACCCAGACCGGCACCTCTGAGACTGGCTCTGTCACGCCCACTGGTTCCGCTACTCAGACCGGCACTGTTTCCGAGACTGGCTCTGGCACCGCCACCGGTACTGGCTCTGCCACCGGCACTGGCACTACTTCCCAGCCTGGCGGCACCGAGACCGTCACTGCCACGGCTACCTCCACCGAGACCGTCCCCTGCACGACCGAGACCGGCTCTGGCACTGAGACTGCCTCGGCTACTCAGACGGGCTCTGAGCCCTGCACTACCGAGACTGCCACGGCTACTGCCACCGAGACGGCGCCCTGCCCCTCCGGCTCCGGCTCGGCTCCTGGCGGGGAGTCGTCCACCTTCGTCACCGTTCCCACCGGCGGCGGCAGCCAGCCCACTGGTGGTGAGGAGCCTACCGGCTCCCAGCCGCAGCCCACGGGTGGTGACGAGGAGCCCACGGGCTCGCAGCCGCAGCCTACTGGCGGCGAGGTGCCCACTGGCGGTGAGCAGCCCACTGGTGCGTCGCCGACGACGGCTCCTCCCGTCGTCACCGCCGGTGCCGCGCTTGTCGCCCCCGCTGGCGCCCTTGCAGTCGCCGTTGCTGCCCTCCTGATGTAAGTGGATGGAGTTAAACGCATTGAGGAATGTCCCCGAGAGGCTGTTGGCCAAGGCCCTGACTGGTGTGGGTGTGTTTTGCGCCCAACCTGGTGTTGTATGCTGGTACCCCCTATTCTGTGCCCCTTTCATGTAACTTGTTCTGGGGTGCGGGCCGGAGTGTCGATGTCGTCGTCTGGGTCGGGCCGCGCGCGCTTCACTGGCCGTCTTTTTCTCTGCTCACGAGCCTGCGCTCTCGGATAATGCTTGGCGGAAGATTTCACTGTAAATATATACCTATTTGTTTCGTCTTCACATCACGTCATGATAATGGGACTCTGAGACATGGCCGCGAGCCGATGGCCCGGACCCCTGGTAACGAGGTGAATGTTGGGTGTGGTCCAGCCCACGCCAACAGCGACCAACATGAACGCCGTATGGAACCCGGTTCTGCACGGAGTGACTAATGGCATGCCAAGGCTCGCCGAAGACTTGCGTGTTTGCCAAGTTACCTGTGTTCCCCGGGGTTGCGACACGCCCGACGCCAAGGCTTGGGCAACAGGAAAGGAGTGCCAATTCTACGGAGTACCCATGTCAGACCTGATGAGCAACTCGGTAGACTGTGAGACCTATCGCGCGAGCAGGCCATGTGTCTTCCCGAGGTCTCATATATTAAGCTCCATGTCGGTTCGGATACATCCGCCCTGGCTCAGGTTCCAGCTTTTGAATCGTCTCGCAACTGCAGATCGGTGGCCGCTCGCCTGATCCGCGCCACTGGGCACGGCCGATTCTCACCTGCCGGATTCGACACAGGCAAACAAGATTATGGATGGACCTTGGAACGACGTTGGGACGCTGTGTGCACCGCCCCTACCATGTTGGTCCCACCCGGCTCGCCGTTCGAGCTCGGATCAGCGTGCGGCCCTGAACATCGACGTCTAGGACCTCGCGCTGCAGGGGACATATGATGGACGCACATCATAGGAAATGAAATGCAAAGGGGCCGGAGGGATGCTCCTTGATTGGGGTTTAAAGCCCACCGACGCTTCCGTTCGTGCGGATAACACCCTCCGGCCCCTGGAAGACCGGTGATGCATGCTCGGCTCACTCAGCAACCACATGCAGTATATATGGCGAGCATGAGATCCCGACAGTAACATGAACAGAGACGACGAGATCGGTTGATCCAGCAAAGGCAGACTTGACGGCCGCTTCGACAACGCTCTCCTTTTTTTTCCCGATATTTTGTTCCCCCGCTCTCCTTCACCGGACCCTCCAGCGCGAAGATGAGGTCCTTGTTCTTTACCCTAGCGGCGCCATTCTTGCCCTTGGCCGCCAGCATCCCTCATCGTATCCAGGACGATGCCGACCCTTTCTGCCCCAGGCCAGTTGAGACGCGGCCCATCTACCAGTTCCCCAATGGCACCTGGGCGGAGAACATCGCCGTGCGCACCAACGGCAATATCCTCGTCACGGTGCTCAGCGAGCCCGCCATCTACGAGGTCAACCCGTACAAGAAGCCCGTCACGTCCAGGCTCGTGCACCGGTTCCCCGAGTACAGCAGCCTCTTTGGCATTGCCGAGGTCGCGACCGATGTCTTCGCCGTGGCCATGGGCAACTTCTCGCTGCGGTCGGCCCCGAAGCCGGGCTCCTGGGCCGTGTGGAAAGTGGACCTCAACGACGACGAGGCCTCTGTGTCAAAGGTCGCGAGCATTGCAGAGGCGGAGCTTCTCAACGGCATGACGGTGCTCGACAGGCACACGCAGACCATTCTGTGCGCAGACAGCGTCCTGGGCGTCGTGTTCCACGTCAACACGGTGACGGGCGCGTACCACGTTGCGATGCAGGACGACGCCTTCAAGCCCCCGAGCGGCACCATCTTCCCTCTCGGAATCAACGGCATCCGTTACCAGCGCCCGTATATGTACTTTACCAACACCTTCGCGCAAGACTTTGGTCGCGTGCCCGTCAACTGCATCGACGGCACGGCGACGGGACCGGTCGAGCTGGTTAACAGCGATGTCGGCTACGACCTCGACGACTTTGCCCGCGACAAGAGAGGCAACGCATACATTTCGGCCGGTTACACTAGTGACATCGTCTGCGTCGGCAACAACGGCACGGCGACCTCGGTGGCCGGAGGCCCCGACCAGAAGACCATCCTGGGCCCGACGTCCATGGCTTGGGGGCAGACGAAGGCGGACAAGAACATGCTTTACATATCGACCTCGGGAGATAAGTCTTCGAACACTGGTCTTGGTGGTCAGGTGGTTGCGCTGGTTATGCCGCAATAGTCGGTACAACGGTATAGTCCTCGGCTGTGCGGTGCGGCGACATGTATGGGAGGCAGCTGGCAGTGGACAAGATGGACATACCCAACAAGTAGTTATTTGTACATTCTTCTCGAATAAGCTTCTCACGTGTCGTACACGCCGCTTCACAACTGTAAAATGCCCCGATTGTTGACTATTTGCTCGTAGAGCCGCCAATCTGAAGAAAGACCATCAGAACAGCCGTGTACCTGGCGGTGGTCAGTTCTCATGCGACGTGGATGAGATCATAGTGGCAAGCACTTACGCGGCAGCAGCAGCCATGACTTCAAACGGTTTGGCCACAGTGGCACTCGCTAGCAGACCCGTAAACAGCAGGACGAAGCCCGTGATGATGCCCAACCGCTTGACCGGGTCTGCGACAAACTGCAGCCACCACATCGGACCCAGCAGAAGCATCAGTCCAGCGGCAATGACTGTAAAGGTCACAAAGGCGTCGAAGCGGGTGTTGCTAAAGTAGAGCGTCGTGCCGGACTGGGTCTGGTTCGACTTGGCCTTGACACGAAAAATCCGGCTGTGTAAGAGCGGCGCGCAGCGCTCCATGAGCACTCGCACGGACGGTTTCGGCTTGCTCGCCGGAGCGACAACGTCCCTGCCGGCCCGCACAAACTCTTGCTCTTTTGAGTCGATGGCGTACGGATGGTTGTAGAACCAGTTCTCGATGTTCTCGACCTGGCGATCTTGGGCGGACCGCCAGCCCTTGATCTGAGAGAAGGCGAGTATGTACTCGTCTGCGTGAGTGAGCTACCGGATACATGCTCTTTTTAAATAGGGGGCGTGCACAAGCCAAGGTACCTACTATATTCGTGAAGCATCGTCTTTAGTTCATCGAGAATAGCCTCTCGCTCTGGCAACGGCTCTTTCCGAAGCGAGCTGCTGTCTGCCTTCGAGTCGTCACCGTGTAATCGGCCATGAGCGTCAATATTGGCCAGTTCCTCTTCTTTTCTGACGATGCGATCCTGCATGAGCAGCAGGACGCGGACATTGAGCTGCCCAAACCGCCGCAGGACAAGGAAGTCGTCGGACGAGGCCATCCATTTCGAGAAGCCTGGATACCCCTCATCCCGCCAGAAGTCCTTTTGCGCCGCCATGTAGACAAGATCTAACCGAGCTGTGCAAGTAGAGATTGGCGCTCTGTTGGCTATGAGACTTTGCCGCCCACTTGTGCCAAATGGTCTGGAGTCAGCAGCCGATCGGCTTCGAGGCAAGGGCATTAAGGGTGCAGCGGACGCCCAATCCTGCAAGATTTGAATGGTGCCCGAGACGAACGGCCGTCTGGACTGGCGGCCACAATATGCGGCTGAAAGGTGAGACATCATCGAATCCCTGCCGCGCTGCCGAATGACAACGATCGAATATTATGCAGTTCCGCCTTGTCGCCTTTCGCTGCCAGCTCACGAGGCGCATCCTGCGCGCATGCACTGCCCGATTCATGATTTGCGCCGCGCCCACCCACTGCATATGAGTGCCGCTGTCTGACTCCATCTCTCTGTCACCGGTTTCTCCTGCAACTGTCAAGCAGCACCATTCTTCTTCTCGCCATCGAACATTTCTCCACGCCGCGCGGCCAAGAGTCAAGTGCCTTGCGTATATTCTGCCGTTCTCTCGAAATGCGCGCCCTCGCTCCCTCTGGCCCCAAGGACGATGTTCTTCTCGGCGATCCAACCGCTCGTGGATCGGATGCCCCTATGATATCGGACGTTGGCATTCAAGTTGACTTCACTCTTGCAGACGACGTCGACTCTCAGGGCAACGTGATCGGTCCGAGGATTGTTCGTGCCTGCGGGGGGTACGAAGCGAGGAGCATCACGTCTGTGCGCGCATCGATGCCCCCACGACTCGTTCCGCAGAGACGGACGGTGCCTGAGAGGGAAGTCCAGTTGGGGTGGGAACAATGCCAGATATGTGGCAATTTCTTTGACCCCAATGCGGTTGGCGTATACTTCGCACAATCTGGACGCTCAATCTGTCAGAATTGCGAAGGTCCTTCCAGCCCCGACGTTTACGGATCCGGGTACGGCATGTCCCAGCGTGGCGGCATTGCTCGCAATAGCGTCTACGGCCAGTCAAGCGGCGCCTCGTCGCAGAACGCCAACTCCAATACACACACAGTCAGCTGGGCATCGACTAACAGCACCGCAACTTCGCACAACCCGTCCATGTACATCAGCGAGGGCAGCGCTTACCCCATCGACTACTATACGGCAATCGAGAATGGACCAGAAATGCATACCAGTAGCAGTGGCAGCTTGACCCGCAATCAGGATGTGTACGTCGCCACGCGTGGCGGCCTCGGCATTTCTTCACTCTCGACGAGCGGCGCAACGAGGCAGCGGCGAAGCGGCAACCGCCGAAATCGCCAATAGCTGGGTGGAGAATATGCCACAATTGAGTATCGAGGCGTGTAGCGAGCGTGCGTTCAGCGTTGCTTTATCCTTTGCACTTACGGCATCGTTCCGAGAGCTGCGTTCTCTGGTTGTTGAGATCTCTCTTATGTATCTCCAGACTGTGGCCGACATGAGCCAGGAAGTGTAAGTTTGCCTGCGCGTTGCAATATTTACAGTCTCAGTCATCCTATCGAGTTCAAGTTGCTCATGCTCATCAACCAAGAACCCCTCGGGCAGGTCATCTTCGAGTTGCGTACTTGTATCACGACGCTCGAGCTCCGCTACCAACAGAGCAGTTTGCCCGTGGCATTGACTCCCTCAGCAATCTCACCAGCTCATCCTTCCACAGAGCTGCGTACGTGTGCGTGCCATGTCCCCTCGTCGCCTCGCTGATGGGAAGCACCACGGCCCTTCCTCTGCGCACTTCCTTGATACCCACTTCCAAGATACCTAGCTCTGGTGGATTGACCTGATCATCCGCCGAGTTTATCGCAAGCAGCGCCGCCGTGATATTCTTCAGCAACGGTCGAGGATCATAGTCCGAAGATGAGGCGACTTGATACAGCAAGTCGTTGGCATCTGTCGTCCGCAGCGACGCCTCCAATCGCTTGTCGAGAAATGCGTCCGCAGTGTCCCTATCTGGGGCTTCATGCTGCCAAAGGAGCGGCACGGAGCTCATCCACGTGAGGACGTTAAGCGCCGCCTTGAGCCCATGCACCGGCTTCTCCGTGTACTCGCCACCCTGGTACCGTGGGTCCTCCCGTATCGCATCCAGGATCATCTTGCGCGACATGCGGTTCCGCCCGGCAATCTGGGTCGGCAGCGAAGCAAGCGGCATGGCCGCGTCGACAAAGTCGGGATACATGCCCGCCCAGAGCCAGGACTGCATGCCGCCCATAGACGTGCCCATGACGAGGCGCAGGTGGCTGACGCCCAGTCCCTCCGTGAGCAGCCGGTGGTCCGCATGTACCATGTCGCGATAGCCGTAGCGCGGGAACCGGGCGCGCAGTCCGTCGCTCGGCTTGCTGGAGCGGCCGTGCCCGATGCCGTCGCGAAAGATGACGAAGAACTTGGTCGCGTCGAGGGGCTGGCCCGGGTTGAAGAGCTCGCCTGCAAAGATGTCCCGGAAGAACTGGTCGCTGGAGCCGCCCGTGCCGTGCATGATCAGGACGGCGTTGGTTGCGCGGCCGTCACCGTCGGCTTGGAGCTTGCCCACGGTCTGGTAGTGAAGCCGCAGGTTCTCTAACCGCTCGCCGCTTTCGAACTCGAAGCTGGGAATCACGAACGTGCCCCTTGAGGGTGCTGGCCAGCTGGCCCCTGACGGGTCGGCAACGAGACGTAGCGTGACCATCCTGAACCTCGATGCATGTGGGTTTGTGCGCACTAAGCCAGGTTATTGCAATTGGAGTCCGTTGCCCTACCTATATGATGGCGGCCTTTTTATCATTGCCCGCGGAAACGGGTGTCAGTGAGGCGGTTCTCCGCACCGCTTACACGAGTTTAGCCTATGTAGGAAGGCGGGGGACCGTGAGATCAAGTCCTCGACCGTCTCGACATTGGTGATCCGAGCTTGACAGGTTGGGTTGACTTGTAGCTCTAACAGCAGCTACGCGACCCATGGAAGATCTTCGCATATGGTGTAAGTAAGACTTTTTCGTAATATACCTTGATAGGAGCTGTTTCGTGCGGCGTTCCCGGTCCACGATGAGTTTTAAGCATCTGCTGGCGCACCGACCATAACTGCTCCACTACGAGAACAGTGTCAATCGACCTAGTCAACACGGGCCAGCGCCCAGCTCGCCACGGCACGTAAGCAAAGACTCCATACATGAGTCTTCCCAGTTTCATGTCTCAATAGTTGAAATTGGTGGAAGGCCTTTTCGGTGTCTTTCTTGTCCCGGACTTCCTTGAACGTGGGGCCGAGGGCGCCTTGTGATGCATGCGGTAGGCTTTTTCCAGTCCTCTACCAAGCAGGGCGCTTCCATGTCATTTGCTACATACATATAACATCAATAGCTTCAAAAGTTGTTGACAAAGTTCCCCCATTCAAATGGCTATAATAAGACAGATAAGGAGCATCTAATTCTAGGTTTATATCAAGATAGATATAGAGCAGAAGTATAAAGCCTGGCCTCGTCGCTCTGGACCTCAAATCGAGGTGTCCACAGAAACATAACAGCAACAAGTTCCGCAGCCAACACCCTTCCAGAGAACAGGAAAGCCTTCATGATGTTTAATTTTGTCGTCGTTCCCTTTCTTCTTAGCCTCGCCGGCAGCGCATGGGCGGAGGTCGAGGTAGTCGAGGGTGTAAGTTAAAAACACACGGACCTGTCTCCCAACCAAATTACAAAGGGGTCAGTCAGCACTGGCTGAGCCGCTAATATTTGGCTTCCAAATAGAAATGTCGTCCAGACACAAACAGTTGCTATTTTTCCGGTCCAGTGACCACCCGTATACCACTAGGGTTCGGGTATTCGGTAACTCACAACAGCGTGGTGTCCCTCTCATACGAATGCGGGCCCTACAGTCCGGTGAGTCAGTCTGATATTTTCGTTTGGCATTTTTGCTTCGGGTGTTGGGTGCGCCGGGCGATGATGAATCGATGCACTAACATAAACCAGTGCACTGCAGAGAACAACAAGTGCTACTTCATGGACTGCGACACTATCATGTGCACGTAAGGAAGTCGGCGGGCGAGTAACTTCCTGGTGCTGTCACAGAGGTCAGGGTTGGGTAAATGAGCAGAGCCATAGAACGTCGGGGCAAGGCCTTGTCCAATACACTCGCTAGTTTCATCAAGATGTTTGCCACTTCAGTCTGGTTTCACCGTCACCTGTAGATTCAAATCAAGGCTCCCAGGCGGCCGATATTGGCTCGACGTAAGCATGGCATGGATAAAGAGGATATATGGTGACCGGAGTAATAAAGATCTGCGGCGTGAGTTGAAGGGATGTCGCAGTAGGGGAATGGTCTAATGAAAGGGGTGAAACGATGCTCATCGATGGGATCTACTCTATCGCGGTTTTTGAAGGGTCTGAGTCTATGAACGTGCCGGAATCGTCGATCCATTATCAAGGAATATAAGCTTGTACCCGCATCACCTTGCTCTGCCATGCCCCTTGACTATGGACGCCTCGTCGTCATCTCTCGATGAGGTTTCGTACTCGATATGCGTCTCAAACATCTTTTGCACATAGATGCCCCCATCCTGCTGCTGGCTCCTGTGCACGTTGTCAAGTGGAATCGACTCGGAAACCATGACCGACCTCGCCGACGATCCCAACCCTCCGTATCCCTCCCTCGCCGTGTTGCCCCTCCCACTCGCGCTCTTGCCTCCACCGTAGCGCTGACTTGATTTCATATTCGAGCTGTACTTGCGCACGCCGCGGGACAGCAGCGCCTTGAGCGGCGGCAGGCACCCCACGACGACGGCCGTGGTGGTTTCAACCGCGCCCCAGATGGCGAGTCCGACGAGATCCACGCGATCGGCGACGATGACTTGCGTCATGCGCACTATGGCAACGCAGATGATGAGCAAGGCGAGGCTGAAGGCGATGCCGAGGCCAATCTTCTTGCGCATGTCGAGTTGTAGCGAGGGGAGAAGCGCGATGGGTAGCGCCATGATCATCAGGTCCGTGGCGATGTCGACGCTGGTGGAGAAGAGTACGTTGAAGCTCTGTCGCCAAACCTCGTAATCGGAGTTGCATTTCCCTGAATTTATTAGTGAAGGTCCGCTGGCCAAGAAGAAATCGCGATAGTTACCTGCTACAAAGTAATCCGAAGGCGGAGAGCACGTCAAGGCGCTGGCGATAACACATCCAACATAGGCCAGAAACGTAAATACGGCGACGCCGTACCACACCTTCCGATGGAGAGGGAACGGCTTGACGAGCCGAAAGAAGACAGCCATGAAACTGGCCTTGACTGACCACAGCGTCGTCCAGAAGAGCTTAATGATGGGGAACTGCCAGCGCGTGAGCTGTTCCGTGATGGGCCCCGTCTCTGCCGAAGGGGCGACGCGCCCGGCAACAAGATACGTGGTGTAAAAGAGCGGTCCGATCTGCTCCGTCTGTAGTATGGACATGGTGAGCAGGCACAGCCAGGCGAGGAGGATGCACCAGTCGTCAGCGAGAAGTGCTCTGTTCTGGCGCAGGCGCACCACGAGGCGCAGGGCGACGAAGCTCGTCCCGATGGAGAAGCATGTCCAGACAACGGCGAGGAGCTCCTGGCGGCCGACGTGCTTGGCCATTCCCGTAAGGGGGGCGTTGGGGTCGGCCTGCGGTAGCGACATGGCGATGCTTGTTGAGTGCAACGAGTGAAACGGTCTTCGATTCAACCATCCATCAATGAAAGACTCGGTAAACAAACGTCGGCTCGAGAACGATATTTCGTCTGGGAAGGAAAGCGAGTGGCAGAGCGCTCACACGCTTGGCGCTGCGACCTGGATGGGCCTCGAAAGCCTGAAAGCCATTCAAGGGGGCCATCAAGAGAATCATATCAATGTGCATGTGCGGACGAGCCGCTATGTATAAATCTGCTTCGCCACATGCACAGCGAGCGATATTACACCAAACCTCTTCCTCCTCGGTCTGTACCCGTGCTGAGAGAGAGCGCAGCACCACGGCAAGTCTCTCGCGCAAGACACTTTCTACGCCCGACGTGAAACCGAAAACCCAACCAGCGAGGGTCGCGGCGCATGCTGCAAGCCTCTCAGGGGCTTGACCCTTTCCATCGCCCAACCCAGCGGACCTTGCATCCTTTGGTGGCGCGATTCCCTGTCCATATCCCGCGTCCGGTCTGGGCCCTGCTTGCGACGAACTTGGCTCTGGCTTGCGCCCTGGGCATCGGATGGACGCAGTGCGAGCACGCCTACGGGATGTGGAGGAGGTTCCAGGACTGCAGGAGTTGTCCGCCGGACAGGGCATTGCCCCGCTGATGATTTACCCATGCAGGATTGGCGCTGACGAGGTGCCATCGGGTGGAGACGTGGAGGGCATCCCCAAGCGAACCTGTCAGAGGGACAGCCGCTGGCACACACTGGGGTCGAGCAGCACAGACGTTGTGATCCGGATCTGTCCGCGATGGCAGGCAGGGGGGGGGGGGCCGAGATGGAATCTCAGGCACCAGATCGCTTGGGCTGTGCGGCGCAGAAGCAAAATGGTTTCCCACAATTGCTCAGAGCCCACCTGCTCATAGCTGTGCATGATTTTTTTTCCCTTTGGAAAGGCTGGGGTTCCTGAGCCGCACTCGTGTCAGAAGATCCTTCAATCAATTGATGTTGGGAGCCACGAGGTGACATACCTTATGCACGGCGTTACCTTCCTGCTGAGGTGACACTGCCTGACGATCATGTTCGCCTCGCAGGGAGCCAACACTAACACAACAGCGCTCAGGGATCACGATCAGGGATGAAATTTTTGACTCGGTGATTTTCCCCAGGCAGCGCGACCAGGCATCATCCCGCGAATGCACACGTCCACCTATAGGATGGGCCCAATGGATGCTCCTGCAGGGCTCAGCGGAAACGCTGGGCCTCCCGCTGGCCGCTCCCTGGCCCAAAATCCAGATGTGGGAGCGAGGACCGGAGGGTTGGGGGCCTGCCTTGCCTGCATTTCCGGCCTGCTGGGGAGGCTTCTCATGCACCGGATCCTTCGAGTGGCCCGCGGGATCTTGGTTCGACCGGTGAGGTCGCACATTGTGCATGACCGCATGTGCTCGGCAATCTCACTGGGGGCCGGCGAACCACAGCCGCGGGTCTGTATTGCTGCTCGGCTTCAATCCAGTCCCGTCCAGTTCCTAGCGTTGTCATTTCGCTCCAGTCTCTGTTGTTCGCCTGTTGATTCCATACTTGTTAGGGCGGCCGCGCCGCTCGACTTTCCGCCAGACAAGAACGGCGTGCGAGAATTGTTGCCAAATCATGCCATACGATTGTTACAAGCGCGAGCAACTAGAGCCGACAGCAACTAACTTGTAAACTGGCCGGGATGAGCCCGCGGGGCCTAAGTGTACCCCATGCGTTGAAGTCCAGAAAGCCCGCAAACAAGGGTTGCGGGAGCGCGTCAGCGACAAGATAACCTTGTTTGCCTCGAGTGCTTGGCTCGACGTCGTCCTGTCGTCGGCGCCAGGTGGAGGCCAAAGTACCAGGGTCCAAGGGCCCTGGGCGAGTCTCTGACAAGCTACCAGCATCCCTTCCCTTGCCAGGGACCGCAACTGTGAGGTGAACGTGACAGCACTGACGGGGGTTGTGGACCGGCGGCTCGTAGCGTCGCGCCAAGTCTGTGTGCCGCATCTCCCCGGGAGGCCGGATGGGACTGGCGTCGAGGACTGACGAGGTTGACGTCTGGACTCCTCCAGGACCCTCGGGCACCGGGCGGAGTTTGTAGCCGACGAGGAGATGACTTTATGCACAGCAAATGAAGTGCTCCTCCGGACGGAGCGTATTCGGGAGCGACTGCTCATGCTCGTACCGGCCTGTCAGTGACAGAGGCGCCGGGGGCATCCCCTCTTGCGGGCATAGAGTGGCGGAGAGACATGCAGAGTTGTGCATCGGAGGATGATCCCAGCCGCTAACTGCATTGCAGTCCAATGCACCGTCAGCACGTGTGAGGTGACATGGAGGATTTGGATATAAGCGAGATGGCGTACGTCAAATTGCGCGGGCGCACACGACTGTCACCATTGTTGAGGCCATCGTCATCGTCAAGTCGTCACGATGCGTCCCCAATTGCTCGTGTCTCTGCTCGCCACCACGTTGGCGGGCACGGCCTATGGCCAGGAGAGCGATGATACAACTACCGCCTCCTCTGTAGCCAAATGCAAATGCGTAAGTCCAAGCTAGCGGTGAAGCATCGCGTCGCTTACCCTTCCACGGCGGTGTCCGCAATGTCTCCTGAACGTGGTCACTAACACGATCCGCATCAGGTCCCCGGCGACAAGTGCTGGCCCTCGTCCAGTGACTGGGACGCTTTCAACCGCACCATCGGCGGCCGTCTCATCAAGAACGACCCCGTGGCCAAGTCGTGCTACGACCCGAGCAAGGACCTTGCCCAGTGCGCGCGCGTCACCAAGCTCTGGACAGACCAGGACTTCCAGACGACCAACCCCGTCGGACGGCCGTACCCGTACAACATCACCTGCGCGCCCGTCGACTATGCGCAGGGCCAGACGCCCATCGGCGGCTGCTCGCTTGGCCAGCTGCCGACTTACGCCGTCAACGCCACGGACCGACTGACCATCGTGCTGGCGCTGCGCTTCGCCAAGTCGCGCAACCTGCGCGTCGCCGTCTCGAGCACCGGCCACGACCTGCTCGGCCGAGCCGACGGCTACGGAAGCCTGGGCATCTGGCTGCGGCACTTCCGCAATGGCATCAACTTCCAGAAGACGCTGCAGGCGGGCAGGGGCTGCACCAAGTCGGGCTGGACGGGCAGTGCGGTGCACATCGACGGCGCGTGGCAGTGGCGCGACGTCCACAAGGTGGCCAAGGCCAACGGCGTCATCGTCGTGGGCGGCGGCTCCGTCTCGCCGGGCGCCACGGGCGGGTGGCCTTCAGGAGGCGGACACGGCCCAGCGACGCGCAACTACGGGCTCGGCGCGGACCAGATCCTCGAGGTGGAAGTCATGCTCGCCGACGGGTGCATCGTGACGGCCAACCACTGCTCCAACACGGACCTGATGCGTGCCATCCGCGGCGGCGGGCCCGGCTACGGCATCGTCCTCAGCACCAAGATCAAGGCGCACCCCAACGTCAAGGTCATCACGGCGCACCGCCTCGCCATCGCGCCGCTCGAGCACACGCCCGAGAACAAGGACCTGCTCGACGCCGTGTCCGTGCTGCTGCAGGCGTACCCGGGCCTCAACACCAAGGGCTACGCGGGTTACGCGTTCTGGTTCCGCAACTTCCCGACCGTCTTCATCGGCAACGCCACCTCGGGCTACACACACGGCTTCTGGACCATCGGCAAGAACAAGGACGAGGCGGACAAGGCGTTTGCCCCTGTTCGTGCTGCCCTGGATAAGTTCCGAGACAAGCTGTTCATCCAAGAGACGTTTGCAACTTACACCGACTACTGGTCCTTCTACGAGGCCGAGTCTGGGCTGTACGACCCGGTGGGCGACACTTCGATCCTCACCTCCCGCATGATAGACTCTGCTGCCGTCAGCAACTACACCAAGGTGCGCGAGACGGTCGAGGTCGTCAGTGGGTCGGGAGACGAGGTCGTCTCCAACGTTGTCCTCCTCGTCTCGGGCGGACAAGTGTTCAAGGACGCAGCTGACAAGACGTCGGGTCTGCATCCCGCGTGGCGCACCTCGCCGTTCGTGCTGGTCTCTGGCCGCGGTATCCCGCGCGCGGACCCCAACTTGGCGGCCATCCGCGAGTACATTTCCCACGACGTGACGTACGTCAAGGGCGGCGCGACCAAGAAGCTCGCTCCCTCGACGGGTGGATACATGAATGAGGGCGACCGCAACGACCCGGACTACATCAAGTCGTTTTACGGCGCCAACTACAAGAGCCACTTGGCGGCAAAGAAGAAGTACGACCCGGAGGGCATGTTTTATTGTCCGACGTGTGTGGGCGCCGAGGCGTTTGTCGACCGTCCCGACGGGGCTCTGTGTCGCGTGTAGGCGGCCTCTGCATGTTCGCGTACGGTTTCAGGGGTGAGGGGAAGCGCGGTGGATATGTTCGTTTTGGGCTTCCATGTATAAATCATTGATCTAAATCCGGCTTCCGTTGAGCAGTAGATTCTTGGACAGCCAGCGATGGTGGCACTCGTTAATACCTCTAATTTGTCGAGCATCATATACATGATAGCATCACTCTCATTCTTATTACCACGCTTCCGTTCTTGCTCTGCCATTTACATATCCTCATGACACATGATCTCGACTTCCAACTCACTCCGTATTGGGCACGAAAGACGTCGACTTGCCCGGGCCGGCCTCCTTTGACGCCGCCTTGAACGCCGCCTCCCAGTCCCCGAGCGTATACTTGCCCGTCGCCTCCACGCCGGCCTTTTCTCCCAGAGCCAGCATGCCCGTCTCGACCAGACGAATCAGCGAATCCATCTGCTCCCGCGTGTACATGAAGGTCCCTCGCAGCGTTAGTCCCTTGCCCATGATGAGCGAGTACGGCACCTGGATGTCACCGAGTACGCCGCCCATCATGCTCATCCTGCCGCCGGGTCGCAGCGCCGCAATGCCCGACTTGATGTGCGAGAAGGTATCCGGGCCGGCGGACGCCACCTGCGGAGAGATGTCAAAGTAGATGTCGATGGGGCCGTGAGCACCCAGCGCCGCTGCATCGGCTTCGACATCACCGCTGATGACGACGCCGACGGCTCGCGCGCCGGCTGCCTGCACTACCTTGTTGAGCTTCTCCTGGCTGCGGCCCATGACAATCACCTTGCCCGCGCCCATCGCCAGCGCGACCTGCACCGCCGCGCTGCCAAAGCTGCCCGTCGCAGGCGCAATCAGCACGGTCTCACCGGTCCGCAGGCCCGCGTCGCTCAGCCCGCCGTGCGGCACGGCCAACGTGCTCAGGTACGCAAGGTCCTCGACGCGGTACCCAAGCTTCTTGACCAGGATATCCTCGTTGAGGACGTGCACATTCTCGGCAGGCAGCTTGACGAGCTCGGCCCACGTGCCGTTGCGCCACTCGCCCTGCATGAGCGCCTGGCCTTCCGGCGCGAAGCCCATGAAGAGGCCGTGCAGCACGGGGGTCGAGTTGACGCTCGTGCCGTCTCGTCCGCGCAGAACGCCACTGGTGTAGACGAGCGTTCCTGGCTTCAGGCGCGGCGTGTCTGGGGCGGTTGCGGCGATGCGGCCCACGGCGTTGGTGCCCGGTACCATTGGCGATGGGTACGGATACCCGCGCAGGTTGCCATTGGCAAAGATTTCGTCGGCGTAGGCGATGATGGGGGAGAAGAGCGGGCGAAGGAGGACGGTGCCAGCAGTGGGGACCGGCGTGGGCAGGTCCGCAACGGTAAGAGGAACATCCGCAGATGTGACTTGCAGACCCTTGAAGGTGGGAGGTAGGTTGTGAGCGGTGAAATCACCCATGATTGCTGCAAGTGTCAGATAATGATGCAGTTGGCGATGCTGAGTGAAGACTTTGAGCTTGAGAAGTGCAAGTCTCACTGTAGTTTTTCACGGAGAGCGAGCTGGATATTTTTGGTTTCAATCCCACAACTCCTGTCCGTCAATTATATACTCAATCCTCATCGTGGTTCGCCTCTGTATAATGCTGCAAATACGAAGTACGACGGGCCGTGGTAAGGGTCACAGAATGTGGCTGCGGACTTACACGGACATATTGATCGTGAGTGGCCAGGCGTCACCCTCCCGCACCAAGCCCCGGGACCACGGAGATGTGAATAGCCTAAACCAGCAATGCCAAAGTCCTTGCTCCGCGCGTTCGGGTTAGATACGGTGGGAGACCCTTGCCCGGCGTCATAGTCAAGTCGACGGCCGGAGAAAGGAGATACGATGCCGCGTGCAGGGCGTGCAGTTACTGCTGCGCCGTCCGTCGGGCAAGGTCGGCCTTTTTTTTGCGCAGCTGCGCTCTCTGGCTTCTACTGCAACGACGTGGATTTCGGAGAATGTTGCGAGGATACCTGCCGAGTGGGAGGCAATCGTGCTGTCGGGCTGGGTCGGGACGAGACGTTTGTTCGCCAACGCGTGTGCTTCCACGGGTGGCGACAAAGTCACGACGCTGGCAGACAGTACTTTCGAGTCAGGCTCTGTCATTGATCAAAACGCAAAGCAGCACCCCACGATGTTGCAATAAAGGACGGGAGATGTTCAATCTTGCGTCGCAGTCGCAACGCCGTATCGAGCGATCTCATCTCGCCAAGACGGGCGCCGGTTCGGGCAGGGACCACCGGCTGTCAGCTAGTCTCGGGCAATGCACAGGCACCACAGAACTCCCCCAAAATGTAACGTGGCGGGGTACGCGAAGGGCTGGGGATAGGGCTGAAGGCCCGGACGGCCGCTTCTGGGCTGGTGTGCGCTAATAGTCTGCGCTGATATGCAACTAAGCCGCGGCCGACTCATGCTTGCAGGCCTCTCCCCGCCAGCTGCTCGCTCTCCTTTCCCTTGTAAGAACTGTGCCCTGATGTCGGCGATTGGGGATCTCGGCATATCAGGGCAACCTGCAGCGTCGTCAGGCAAAGGGCGCGGGCGCATACCTCGCTTGTTACCGAAAGGACAACATTGAACGCTCAATCCATAGTTGAATATACTGCCGGAGCCAATGCGGATTGTTACCGAATCGATTACTCATTCTCTTTTGCATACCCTTTTATTTAGCTCGAGTCGAGACTGGACTCGAGAGGGCCTGTCGGTGGCGACGGCGAAGCGCTTGGGCCGGCGGTGGGCTTTGGACTGGAGCGACGTCTGGTGACAAACTACCACCTGGTACTGGGAACATACGTAGTGCATTGGACTCACAGCCGGAGACTGTCGGCACACATAACGAATGGTGGGGCTGAAGGTATAGTGTGGTAGTTGAGATTTGAGAACTTAGTTGAACTATTTACAACTAAAAAGTAAAGCAGGTAGAATCGATTGACTCGACTGAACTGCAAAACAGTTGAGACCATCCCCGCGCCATCATTGATCATAACCCTGAGCACCCGTTGTCGATCGAAACTGGCGCTCTATATCTTCTGACCACATCTTGATTCCTGGCAACTACATGTAGCTTGTCAGCAACTGCATTGCAATTAAAAGGGCCTGGCCCAGTCCCTTCCGCCAACATGAAATGGCCTAGAAACATGAAGACTCTCAGGCACATACCACTCCCTAAAACTTCACGCACGCGCACTTGGTGAAGCACTCGGCGCCGTGCGGCGGGTTAACGTCCAGCTGGATAAAGTAGTTTCCATCCTGGCAGTACCCGTTGGGCGGCATGCAGATGGGGGTGTACTGGTCCTCAAAGCACATGACGCGCACGGGGGCCAGCGGCTTGCCGTTTCTATACGGGGGAATGAGCCCCGAGTTCGTCGGCAGGGCGGTCGCAGAGGTCTCCGTTTTGGACTGGGTCTTCGAGGCTTTCGCGTGGGGCTTGGACTTCTTTGAGGCTGCGCCGGTGGGCTTGGGATTGCTGGACACGGACTGTAGCTTCGAGTTTTTGGCAGTGGGCTTGGGATTGCTAGACACGGGCTGTAGCTTCGAGTTTTTGGCAGTGGGCTTGGGATTGCTGGACACGGGCTGCAAATCCGAGTCTTTGCCGGTGCCCTTGGACCTCTTCGAGGCAGAGCCGGGGGGCTTGGAGTTTATCAGGGCAGCGCCTGTGGGCGTGGGCTCGTATTGCGTGGGCAGCTTGTAGCCTATGGCGGTGGGATCCGTGACCTCGGCCGTCTTCGACTCTTCTGTGGCGGTTGGCATGAGGTTGCTAAGAAAGCCGTCTCGGGCGTCGAGCTCGGCCCGGTCGCTGGGGGGCGCGGCCAGGGTGAGGGGGGCCAGCAGGGCGGCAGCGGCGGCGAAGAGCTGGAGATGCATCTCGGATGTAGTGTATTGCACGATACGGCGAAGATGTATGAGATGACAGGGCGAGATAACGGGAAATGCGCGGGAGTGCAGCACTACTAGAACGGAGTCTCCGAGCTATAAGTACATAGTCGAGGAGCTTTGGGCCATCTTCATGGAGACGGGACTGTTGTTCTTCGCCTTCCAAGAGGGTCCAGAGCCGCAACGACAGTGGCCACGAGAACATACTATCCGCAAGGCTCATGAAACAGCCACAGTCGAGTTGCGCGGAGCAACACACTTCGCGATGATGCCTGTGCTCCTTCTCCGCCCGTAGCCGTCTCTCGCGTGACCGACCCAGACCACGCCGCGGGACGTGCATCATGGCGAAATTATCAGAAACCCACCTCAGCCGCCAGATCCGAAGATGCAAAAGTGGTGCAGCTGGGTGTGATGTGCTGTGCTCAGGACAGGAACGCGGCGCGCCACCGTGTGGGGGGGAGGTGCACCGTGCAGCATCTCATAAAGATAGAACCACACAGTGTGCGGCTCCATCCTCCCAGCCTCGCTGGGAGAGAGCTTGTTGGGAACTTTATGAGTGAGTGGTGTGTGCCTGGCTGGGATGGGCCCATGGCCACGGCGTCGGGAGTGATCAGTGCCACGCGCCACCGTCAAACGCCTCGAGCTGATGCTGGTCTGTGCCATCCCCCACATGTATTCCGCGTGGATAGTAGTAGACCTCGCAGCCCGTGAAATGCTCGTCCGGCAGAGTCATTCGCGTGGCTACGCAGTACGAAGATAGAAGTGCGATGTACATACGTACTGCCAAGGCGAGACAATAGCCCGTGGAATAGCTGGGCTGCTGGGCATGTCTCCATCGCGTGGTGCAGTGCGTGAGGCAAATGGAGAACGGCTTACACCAGACGAGCCGGCGGTTTAGGTCTGGCGTGGTCTCGTGGGACAGCATGGGCGAACCGCACTGGACTCGCTCGACGGAGAGTTTGTTGCGTTGTGAACGGTTTCCCGGTAGACTCTCCGCACATTGACACGCATTCTTCCACGATGGGGGAATATAGGCGTGTCCCTTGCCATTGCGATCGATGATCGACTCCAGCAACGGGCGACGACAGCCACCACCCTCCTTGCAAATGCAAGCACTATGTGAACTCGGCCGCCTGCAGGCCAAAGCAGGCCTGTCATCCAGCAAAGTAACATTCAATGCCACTTGACGCGCACGTGGCGCGCCCGACCAAGTTCCCACGCCCGACAGTCGCCACCGTCCATACAGAGCCCCATCAGTGATCACTACAGCATTGTCTTGTCTGGTCTCGTCTTATCACCATGTGCAACCAGGTAACGAGAGCCAAGTGTAATTACTCTATCAAACAAGCGTACGTGCCATGATTTCTTAAAAACTTAGCGTACCGCCATCGTTGCCTTCATGGTCGCATTTCCCCTCTGCCGTGGAGGCGAGGCTCCTCCCCCGCATGCACGCATGCCACCTCTCTCGCGGGATAGTTCGTCCGCTTACGATCCAGGGTCTTGTGAAGCTCCCAACTTGTCACCCAACCAACAACACCTTAACCCCCAGACGGGCAAGCTCCCCGGCCGCCGGTGCTGTAGTCTATCTCAACCCGCGCTGCAGGCCATCCGGTCCTTCAGCCCCAATGCAAGGCCTTGTTCTAGGCTCAGCCAATCCCGCGCCATCGGGGCCACGCCTGTCCTTGGAAGCGGGCTGCTACTAATACATCAAGGGCGCCTCTGCCGGTGTTCGTGGACGCGGACGAGGGCGGACCGGCGTTGGGACATGCAATGTTACATTGCCAGGCGTGGACTTGGCGCGCAGGATGGACGGCCTCACGTTGCGAGATGGCGTCGACGAGGCAGCGCTCGCGTGGGCTATAAGAGCAGCCGGGCGAGGACGATCTGAAGAGGTCGAGCAGCTCACAGGCGGCAGAAACTCCCCAGCAATTGCATCATGAGATCGACACTCTTCAGCGCCCTCGCCCTGGGCCTCCTCGGCGCCAGCAATGCCACCCCGCGTCACCCGACGTCGCCCTCGGAGCTCGACCTCATCGCGGGCCAGCACGTCATCTACTCGTACAACACGAGCGACCCGCCCGAGGAGCTGCTGAAGCTCACGCGCGCGGGCCTCGTCGGCGGCGTGCTGCTCTACGACCTGCACATCAACGCGGGCACGCCGGCCAAGATGGGCGAGCTGCTGGCGGCGTACAGGGCGTCGCCCGCGCGGCGGCTGCTGCGCTCCAAGTACGGGCGCGACACGTCGCTGCTCATCATGACCAACCAGGAGGGCGGCACCATCTTCAAGCCCATCAAGGAGTACGGGCCGGACCAGACGGCGCGCGAGGTCGGCGCGTCGGCGAACCCACGCGCGGTGGGCACGCAGGCCGGCAAGGAGGCCAGCCAGGCGCTCAAGGCGTACAACATCAACGTCAACCTGGCGCCCGTCATGGGCGTGTACCGCAAGCCGGGCAACTTTCTCGACTTTTACGGGCGCTCGTACGGCACCACGGCCAAGCAGGTCATCGACGCGGCGGTGCCCTTCATCAAGGCGCAGCGGGAGCGCGACATCCTCGTCACCATCAAGCACTTTCCGGGGCTCGGAGCGGCCGAGGTCGAGCAGAACACAGATCTCGCACCCGTGACCCTCAACGTGCCGCTCAAGGAGCTCAAGACGGTAGACACGGCCACGTTCGCGGCGGCGATCCGGTCGGGCGTCGACATGGTGATGCCGTCGTGGGCCATCTACCCGGCCGTGGACAGCTTGCCGGCGGGCCTGAGCGAAAAGTGGATGAAGCGGGAGCTGCGTGGTCGGTTCGGATTCCGAGGCGTGACCATCACCGAGGCCATGGAAGCGGGCTCCATCGTGCCGTTCGGGGACATCAAGGCGCGTGCCAAGCTGGCCTTCAAGGCGGGCAACGACCTGATCCTGGCGAGCCAGCTCAACGTGACCGAGGGCGTGGAGATTCGGCAGACGCTGGTCGACGCCGTCAAGTCGGGCGAGATCAATCGCCGGGACTTTGACGAGGCGACGCGGAGGATCGTAGAGCTGAGGAGCCGGGCGTGGAACTAGACGTCTCTACCTGATACACGGCCTTGAGGCAATAGATGCGATGTGCCTGTTATGCCGTGTGTGCTTGATGCCCTGTCGTGATTCGTTTTGTGGGCTGGCATACCATAGAGGTACGTCGCCGAGCCGGAACCCGGCCTTGTGCGACGTCAGCGGTGGAGGCACGCTTGAGGATAATCCATGCATATGCATTGCGACGACCGTGTCCAGAGCCCGACCTCGATGGTGCTGACGTGAGTTTCACGAGCGGTTCTTCGCACGATTGCTGGCTTCGGCTCGTATTCCCAGTAAACAAGGGGGATCGACTCGATTTAAAAGGCCGTTTGAAATGTTTGAAATGATTGGAATGATGGACGCAGCCTGGAGAGTGAGACAGACGGATCCGAGGCCATGTGGAGATGGAAACGGACAGGATGGCCCGAGAGGGGTGGTGGTGGCGGGAGGATTTTTGGTCGGCTGTGCCACTCAATCAATGCGCTCGCTACCCATCTGGGGACCATCTCCACCCACTGAAGCGCTGTAGCAGCGCGCATGCACGGGCAGGCAGCCCGTTGTCTCGCAAGCTACAGCGCAACGGTGAGGTGGCCCAACCGCCGGCACTGCAGCCGCTCAGGCGCCGGGAACAGCGGCCGCAGCCACTGAAAGCACGCAAAAGAAACGCCCGAGACCCCCCAAGCCGCCCGCTCAGCCTCCCGCCGATCGCAGTGCAACCGTGCCGTCCACCTCGCATGCGACCGTCGTCTCCGCAGTCCCCCTTCTCCATCCCTCTCCGCTCGGCCACCCCGTCCGCCCTCTTTCCTCCCATCCTTTTCTTCATGCCCGTCGCCCGGAATTTGTTCTCCTCGATCGCCCATCTGCCACGTCCCAGTCCGCCGTCCGCCTCCCATCGCAGGGCGTCCCCAGAAACCTGCCGTCGAGCCGCATCGACCCTGGCACCGACGCCGGACCCCTAACAACGAAACAACGCCTCACCGCACCGCTCTGGGGTGTCGTCATCGATCGATCGAGCGACGAAGCGACCAGCAAGCCACCCTTATCTGCCGGACCCGAGGGGCCACGCGATCCCTCCCCCCAGCCCGCTCCATTCCAGCGTCACCGACGTCCCTGCCCGGCTCGCGCACCCTGCCGCCAACATGCCCTGGGAACTCTCGAGGCGGCGCATCTCCCGTGCCGTCAATAGCAAATTCATCTTTGGACGCATTGTACGTTGCCGCCCCGTCTCCATCTCTGCCCGTGATGGCGTCGCTGCCTTGACTCGCCGCTGCGCGGATCCGCTCCACCGGCGGGCCACCGTCACCCAGCACGAGCCCGCATTCAAAAGCAGTCCCGTCGCCTCAAGGCCCGCAGGATAACTGACTGTCGACAGCCGTTGCTCCATACCGTCATCTTCTTCATCGAGATGGCTCTCGTCGCGCGCCTCATGGCGCGTTTCAACAGCTACTACGAGGAGCGACCACGTACGTCACATCACTCGTCCCCACGGCGGACCATCAGCAGAGGACAGACAACTGACCATGCGCAGTCATGACCATGATGGTCACCAACGCCATCCTCGGTGGCATCGCCGACACCGTCGCCCAGACCATCACGTCGGTCCGCGAGCGCGCCGTGCGCAAGCCCGGGGGCGTCTCCAAGGACGACCGCTTCGCCATCGAGATCCACGAGCTCGACCACAAGAACCCCTTCTACGACCGCGACCTGATCCCGGACTCTAAGATGGGTCTGCCGCCGCCATTCGACTTTGAGCGCCTCACGCGCTTCATGGCCTACGGCTTCTGTGTCGCGCCGCTGCAGTTCAAGTGGTTCCGCTTCCTCGAGCGCGCCTTTCCCATGACCAAGACGAGCGCCTTTGGGCCCGCCATGAAGCGCGTCGTCTTTGACCAGCTCATCTACGCGCCGTTTGGTGTCGGGCTCTTCTTCGTCGCCATGACGGTGGCCGAGGGCGGCGGCCGCCGGGCCGTGACACACAAGCTGCGCGACATGTACGTGCCGACGCTCAAGGCCAACTACATGGTGTGGCCGGCGGTGCAGATTGTCAACTTTCGCCTCATGCCGGTGCAGTTCCAGCTGGTAAGCGCATCTTGAAGCTGTTTCGTCGCGGATGTTCAACTGACTCGACGCAGCCCTTTGTGTCGACCATTGGTATCGCCTGGACGGCCTACCTGTCCCTGACCAACGCCTCGGACTAAATGTAGCGAGCGACCGATACACTGTTGACGAACGAACGAGCGGGCGAGCGTGCCGGCGAGAGCGGCTGCCACAACGCGAGCGCTGGATGGGTGGCACTGGCAGCAGATGATGCGTCCGTGTCGCGCAACTGTATCAAGTATACTCTTCGAAGGTCTCTGCAATCTGCTTGGGTATTGTTTGGGACGGCTTGGGCTGCACCGTATGGCGTTTGGAGAAGGGGTTTCCTTTGATGCGTCGAGACGTTTCTTTGCGATCCCGGGTTTCATGTGCCTTGCATTGGTAGATGGGTTTGAATTTTGAATTTACTTGGCGGCATCTGCACGCCTCCGTCCTCTGACGCTGCACCGTGTATCCCGCGTGTCCCGAGTCGTGCCACAGGTCGCATCGCATCTCGGAAGTGCTGCGCGCAGTGTAGTCGTAGCAACGCCCGATCACCGGAGGTCTCTGCGAGTATTAAGCCAATTGACTAACGTTCGGCCCGCAGACAACGGTCGCTATCAGCAGATGGCCCGACTCCCTTATCGGCATTACGTCGCAGGGTCAAGCAAGGGACGGCGCAACACTGAGTGATTTTTCGTGGGTCCCTCCCGAGCCAGCGCCCCGTGTGGTGGTGGTGCTGGCCGGTGGGCTGAGGGCGGACCGCAAACGGCAGCCCAGCATCTGATTTCCTTCACGTCACCAGCAGCCCCGCCAGAGCTTGCGCTTCCTCAACAGCACAGCACAGAGGAGGAACGGAACCCCACCACCCCTCCTTCTGCAACATCCCACCACCACCACAGCATCCCATCTTCTCCCTCTCTCATCCACCCACGAAGACGAATTCATTTCGGGTTTCGTGCCTGCTGCAGCTTCGCTTCCTACACACGCCGTCGTCGAGAGCTCACGCCGCAACAGCCGCCAACATGTCTCTCTCCAACAAGCTCAACATTACCGATGTCGACCTCAAGGGCAAGAGGGTCCTGATTCGGGTGAGTCCGGGTGCCAACCACCACCCCCCTCGGCAGCACATGGAGTGGTTGCCGACGCCCTCAATGGGTGAAGCAACTAAGGGTATCCGGCGACGGCAGCTCGTCGCTTAGAGACGTCGGATTGCCCAGCAGCCATCTTGTGTGAGCGTAACAGAAACAATGCTGACCTCATCGGTCCCCAGGTCGACTTCAACGTGCCCCTCGACGAGAACAAAAAGGTCACCAACCCGCAGCGCATCGTCGGCGCCGTCCCCACCATCAAGTACGCCCTCGAGCACGGCGCCAAGTCGGTCGTGCTCATGTCGCACCTGGGCCGCCCCAACGGCGAGGCCAACCCCAAGTACTCGCTCAAGCCCGTCGTCCCCGAGCTCGAGAAGCTGCTCGGCAAGAGCGTCACCTTTGCGCCCGACTGCGTCGGCCCCGAGGTCGAGGCCATCGTCAACAAGGCTGACGGCGGCGCCGTCGTCCTGCTCGAGAACCTGCGCTTCCACATCGAGGAGGAGGGCAGCGCCAAGGACAAGGCCGGCAACAAGACCAAGGCCGACAAGGCCAAGGTGGAGGAGTTCCGCAAGGGCCTGACTGCCCTCGGTGACGTCTACATCAGTGCGTGATGCCCGTTGAAGCTTTACTTCCCCGCCCCTTAGAGGGGGAACGTGAGAGGATTGGAATAGAGCAAGCTGACTGACTGCCACCCCCACCAGACGATGCTTTCGGCACCGCCCACCGCGCCCACTCCTCCATGGTCGGCGTCGACCTCCCCCAAAAGGCCGCCGGCTTCCTCATGAAGAAGGAGCTCGACTACTTCGCCAAGGCGCTCGAGTCGCCGCAGCGCCCCTTCCTGGCCATCCTGGGCGGCGCCAAGGTCTCGGACAAGATCCAGCTCATCGACAACCTGCTCGACAAGGTCAACACGCTCATCATCTGCGGCGGCATGGCCTTTACCTTCAAGAAGGAGCTCGACGGCATGGCCATTGGCAACTCGCTCTTCGACGAGGCCGGCGCCAAGACGGTGCCCGCCCTGATGAAGAAGGCCAAGGACAAGGGCGTCAAGGTGGTCCTCCCCGTCGACTACATCACGGCCGACAAGTTCGCCAAGGACGCCAAGACGGGCAAGGCGTCGGACGAGGACGGCATCCCCGAGGGCTGGATGGGCCTCGACTGCGGCGACAAGTCGGTCGAGCTGTACAAGGAGGCCATCGCCGAGGCCAAGACGATCCTGTGGAACGGCCCCGCCGGCGTCTTCGAGTTCCCCAACTTTGCCCACGGCACAAAGGCCACGCTCGACGCCGTCGTCGACGGCTGCCAGAAGGACGGCAAGATTGTCATCATCGGCGGCGGCGACACCGCCACCGTCGCCGCCAACTACGGCGTCGAGGACAAGCTCAGCCACGTCTCGACGGGCGGCGGCGCCAGCCTCGAGCTGCTCGAGGGCAAGGCCCTGCCCGGCGTGGTCGCCCTGTCGAGTAAGTAAATGGCGGTGTTTTGCTCGATGAAAAAAACGCAAACGCGCAAGACGCGCGGGCTTGTTCACCGTGGAGGGGCTAGTTTGACTCGTGTACAGGTCGGCAAGGCATGTCTCTGCTGTAGGGAGGGTCACAGATGAGTTATATATGAAACAAAAATGGCGAATGTTTGAACAAGCAGCTCGTGCGGGTGTGAACCAGTGAGACTACTTGGTAGCTGGCGGTCGTGTTGTGACGTGATGGTGTAGTTGCTTTGTAGTTCGTCTCAGAGATGCACTCTTGTCACTGGGCTTCAATTTCATGCCATTCCAAGTCTATGTCCATGCAGGCCACCCATCTTGTCGTCTTGTCCGCAAAGCCAGCTAGCAGCCGTGCTCTCGCAGCAACACCATCCTATTCATCCACTCCACTCAGACCTATTCCTCACCTCCGCTTCGCAGCATCCACCTTTTTGAGCTCCTCCCTGTAAAATCGCAACAATGTCAGCATCATCCATACATCCTCGGTAGGGAGTCGCTGCGTTGGAACAAGAGTAGGGGAACCACAGAGTGGCCGGGGTTCGAAGGGGAGTGTGTGTGTGTGTGTGCATACTTGAGCTGCTGCGAAAAGTCGTCGCTCGTGTCGTCGTCGTCCCAGCTCTCTTCCCAGAGGTGCTTGGCCTCGCCGCTGCCGCCCTGCTGCTGCTGCGCCGCCTCGGTCTGCTCCTCGGGCCAGTCTGCGTGCACGTCACGTAGTCACTCGGTCAGCGTTTCAGTTTCACACTCGATGTTGCGCATGGTGGTTCAGTGCCTGCCCTGGTGCTGCTATCAACGGCAGCACTCGCAGCCGGGCAGCAGCTCCTCTTGTCCCTCTCCGCTGGCAAAGATGCCATGAAGAAGACGATGGAACTCTGTCCCGGGGGAGTGTGTGTGTGCTGTAAGGCAAGCCAGGCTGCGACAGGCGGGTTGAGGAGAGGGGTAGGGCAGAGGGGGATTGAGGTGCGCAAGGGGCAGAGGAGAAACGCACCGTCAACGGGAAAGTCCTCAAACTCGTCGTCCTCGCCGAGGGCGGTGCTCGTGGGCTTCTGCTGCTCGGCCGGGGGCTGGGCCTGCGTCTCGGACTGCGCCTTGGCGGCGTCTGCGGGCTTGGCGTCCGTGGAAGCCATTGCTGTGTGCGTAGAAGGATACGCGTATATTGATTTTCCGCGGGCGTCTACTAAAGACGAAGGGGGGAGGTCTTTTGCCGTCGGTTGCTGCGCGATGCGGCGTTTGGGGTCGAGTCGCAGAGGGAGGTTCGCCTCAACGTATCGACGTCGGACGGACGTGCTCGGAAGGGCGGCCGGGAGGAGGATGTGTGCACGTCGGGGAGGGACACGCCGGTGGGTGAGATGGTGGCTCGACGTGTGCGTGTATGTGGACGGCGGGTGGGCGGTTGCGCGTCGCGGCGGTGGTGTGTGGTTGTGGAGGTTGGATGGTGGTGGGTGGATGAGGTGAGGTGAGGCGATGATGCTGGAGGTGCTCGTAGCTTCCACGCCCATGCCGGCAGCCTGAGGTGCGGTGGGCTGGCTGGCGGGCGGGCTGGTAGGTTAGGCTAGCGGCAGGGAGCTCCAACGCCGGGGCGGAAGAAATGCCGGGCCGGGACTTGGAGCTGTTGTCTGACTAGGTGCAGGGTAGGCTATGATTAGGCGCGAGAATCGGGTTGGGAGGACTTTTATTCACGGCTGGACATAACCATGCGAGTGTGTGACTGTCTTGTACATATTTTGCGTTCCTTATAACTGAGTATAGGTGATATGTGCCTATACAATTGGATAGTTCGTGCTCGCTTGTTTGGCTGATCCTGTTAGGGCATCACTGCATCTCAAAGCCACTATGTTCAGGGTTTAAGCACGCGACCAAGCACAATCACGAGAGCCCGCAACATACCCCGAAAGACATTGTCCGTAGCGAGTCAATTGCACAAAAAATCGCAAATAATCCCCCTTCCATGGGAGGAAGGTGAAAATTGAAAAGCAGTAATATGACATGTCGTGCCGCCTCAAGGTCCGCGATGGAATTTGAAGCGACGCCAACAGCAAAAGGCCCGTCAGCAGTGCTGTGTCGCGTTGCGCGGCATGAGCGTCGGCGACGTCAGCGGTGCGACTAGGGCCTACGTAAGTGCCTGCAGGCCAGCATTAAAATGGGATCCATTCTGCGAGGGACCTGGATTCAGGGCTTGCAAGGCGTACGCACTCCGTACTACTACCACATTTTATGGTGGGTTCTGATGTAGTAGACCGAGAGCCGGCGGTACGGACAAAACTACAGAGCAGAGCGGCGGAGATGGACCGGTCAGTACCTTAGCATGTGGTGGCTGGCGGTCATGATGATGAGGTGTGGTTGATGCGCTCCGTCGTCATGCATCTTTGTGGATTGGCACGTCAGGCGTCAACTCTTAATCTCGACGCAGCTGGTCTACAACTTTCGGTACCCCAGCTGGGCGCACATTGTCAGATCGCAGCCGACAGCCTGCAGGTCCGCAGCGGGCATCGTCATCGTTCACGCATGCCCCAAGGCTGAGCCATCAACCTCGATGTCATGCCTTGCCAGCGCGTCCACGGAACGAAGAGCCAGGGCAGGCCAACCAACGCCACAGCGTGCAACTACGGCCCCGAACTCCGTCCTTCGGGCCCCCGGAGTCCCGGCACGTCCAGGTCGAAGCTGCCCCTCCAGGGCCCCAGGATGCACAAACGTCGGTGGTAATGGGGACCCTTAAGTCCGCGGGATGACGGGCTCAGTTGGACTTTGTTCCACCGCACCGCGCTGGGTCCCCTCCTATCTCGCCCCAACATCCGCCAACAAGTTCGTTAGTCCGCCCGTCCCTAATAACCCTCGATGAGCCCTCGATGATGCTGGGAGAGCCTACTTTACTCCACCACTGTTACTGTTGCGGCCCGCCGACACGGGGCTTGGTGGGTAGGAAGGAATTGGCCCGGCGCCGAAGCGGTCGAAGCGGTCCATCCATCCACGCGCCGCCGCGACCCTTGGTGCGTGCGTGCGTGCGTGCGTGTGCGTGTGTGTCCTTGCGTGTGTGCGCCGCCCGCGCGTGAGAAAATAGTTTCCCGCAGCGGCCGTTTTTGTTGCAGAGTTTAAAAACCCGCGGGGCCGCCACCAGACCAGACCCCGGGGACCCGGCCGCTTTCGCGAGACCACCCCCCCGGACTTTTTGAACGATCCAATTGATGCGACGTGCGCGCGTGGGAGGGTGCCTGAGAGAAAACCTTGGATTTTGGACCTAGGTGTAACCTGAAAGGACCAGAGGCAAAAGGCAAAACAAAAGGTACAGTACAACTGCGAGTGTGCCTCGACTGCCGCTCCGAGTGCGACGTCGCTCACGACCTCAGCCGCAGTCTGCTGGTGTGCAGCATCCCGAGCACCGCACACGCACAGGCACGCGACCGGCTTTCAACCTACCCAACTCTCGCTGTCCGCGCCCACGAAAAACGGAACAGATCGCGGGAACCGGCGCATGCAGCTTCCCCCACGGCCATGCCTCTCGGCGGCTGGTTCCGCTCCTCTTCTGGCGGCGGCGATGGCGGCAGCACAGTCACCAGCAGCAACAACAGCAGCACCAGCAACATTGCCGCCGCCGCCGCAGCAGCAGCAGAAGATGCGCAGGCCGCGGCGGCGCGCGAGCGCGAGAACCTGCGCGACGCCCTCGCGTGGACGAGCCTCATCATGAACGACGACATCGACGGCGCCTGGGCGGGGCTCAAGCGCGGCGACTCGTCCTTCCACGACCTGGGCGAGGCCGTCACCTTCTTCATGCGCTCCGTCCTGGGCTTCGAGAAGGACGTCATGGCCGAGGCGGCCGCCAAGCTGGCCGACTGCGAGACGCGCGCCGCGGCCGACCACCGCCGCGCCCTGCGCCACCACCAGGGCCAACAGCAGCAGCAACAGCAGAAGACTACGACCGCATCGAGGGTGTACGCCCCGGGCACCGAGTACGACCTCGTCCGCGCCGAGACGCAGCTCATGGGCGCCGTCGTGGGCGTCCTGCACGAGAGCCTCGTCGAGGCCATGCGCAGCTTCTACAAGCTGCGCAAGGCGTACCTGATTCTCGAGGGCATCATCGCCATGGAGGCCAAGGCGGTGCGCGACGGGCTGACGGACGAGCTGGCGCTCGAGAGCGACGGGAGCAGTAGCGGCTCGGAGGAGGAGTTTGTCGACGCCAAGGAGAAGCCTTCGGGGCAGCAGACGCCCATCACGGCGACGACGGCGACGACAGCAACGACAGCAACGGCACCATCTCCCGCGACGATACCCGAACCGCTCCCGACGTCGAATGGGACGCTCGAGTCCAAGACGGAGGCCCTACAGCTCAAGGACGAGTCGTCATCGCCAACGACGACACAGGAGCAGAAACCCAACGGCAACACACCCAGCGGCACCAACACCACCGCCACCACCACTTCCTCCTCTTCGTCCTCCTCCTTGTCCAAGCCGCAGCCCAGCAAGGGCGCCCTGCACGCCAAAACCAGCACCCACGACCCCATCGACGTCTTCATCCACTCGGGCGCCAACATGTGCTTCGGCATCATCCTCCTCATCCTGAGCCTCACCCCGCCGTCCTTCTCGCGCGTCCTCTCCATCGTCGGCTTCCACGGCGACCGCGCGCGCGGCGTGCGCATGCTCTGGCGCTCCGCCGCGCACCACAACGTCAACGGCGCCCTCGCCGGCATGGTCCTGCTGGGCTACTACAACGGCCTGCTGGGCTCCGTCGACATCATCCCCGACGCGCGCGACCACGACGCCGCCGCCGAGGCCGTCGGCCCGCCCACCGCCCGCTGCGAGGCCCTCCTCGCCGACCTACGCGCACGCTACCCGGACTCGCAACTGTGGCGCGTCGAGGAGGCCCGCCTGCTCGCCAACGAGCGCCGTCTCGCAGACGCTATTGCCCTGCTGCGTCGCGGGCCAGAGTCCAAGATGAAGCAGGTCGCGGCCCTCAACAACTTTGAGCTCGCTGTCGATGCCATGATTGCGCAGGACTGGCCCCTCATGCGCGACACGTTCCTGCGCTGCCTCGAGGTCAACGACTGGAGCCCCGCCATGTACTACTACATGGCGGGCTGCGCGTCCATTGAGCTGTACCGCGACGCCGTGCACGCCGCTGCCGGTCAAGGTGGTGACAGCGCCGGCGCCGAAGTCAACAAGGCCGAGGCGCGCCGGCAAAAGACCAAGGCCGAAGAGTTCCTGCGCAAGGCCCCGCAGGTGGGCGGCAAGAAGCGCCTCATGGCGCGGCAGCTGCCCATCGAGACCTTCATCCAGCGCAAGCTGGCCAAGTGGGAGGCGCGGGCCAAGGCGCTGGGCGTGGACCTGGCCGACGCCGTGGGCGCGAGCCCGGCCATGGAGATGTGCTACATGTGGAGCGGCCACAAGCGCATGGGCCCCGACGAGATGGCCCGCGGCCTGGCGAACCTCTCGTGGGCGCGGTGCACCGCCGCGGGAGGCGAGGACGGGGCGCTGCTGGCGCGCGTGCGTGCGGAAAAGGACGAGATGGCCGTGTGGGCGGTGAGCTCGGCGGCGCTGCTGCGCTCGCAGGGCAAGCTGGACGAGGCGCGGGCGCTGCTCGAGGCGCACGTCGTTGCGCATGACCGGTGCGTAGTTGCCTCCCTCCCTTTTGTCTTTGTCTTATTGTATCCTTTGTATCCTTTGTCACCTTGGGCTCGCGGGCCCCTTGCATGTACTCTCGCGGGCCCTTTGACGATCATGTTCACGTTGAAACGAGCCGACACGCTAACGCCCAAGCCGCAGGTCCGCCTTCAAGGGCTCCAACAGGGACGACTACGTGCTCCCGTCGGCGACGCACGAGCTCGCCGTCATAGCGTGGACGGAATGCCGCGAGGGGCGGCCCCAGCGGCAGACAAACGGCGACGCGACAAAGGAAGCAAACGGCGACGACGCGACAAAGGAAGGGGACGCCAAGAGCCAGCAGGGAGAGGACTCGGACGACGCGTCGTGGCGGCGGCGCAAGCTCGACGAGTGCCAGGCGCAGCTGGACAAGGCCAAGGCGTGGGAGGCGTACACGCTGGACGCGCGGATCGGGATGCGCGTGCAGAGCGGGCTGGAGACGGTGGCGTGGTATCGCGCCAAGATGGGGTGGTGAATGCGTGCGCGTGTGTGAGGTGAGTGGGAGGGGCGTCTCTTTGGAAAGGAGAGATGGAATTTTGGACCATCTAAGGGACATCAAAAGGGACCTTGAGGGAAGGCTGCATACGGGATACACGGGGTCTGATCTAGGGCGCATAGATGGACATCATGAAGGCAAGGCATGCATATAGAGAGCCATACATACACATACATAGACCGGCCGCGGGCCTGCACCGAACTGCACATGCAAGAAAAGGACGGCATTTCACAAACGTACCGGCATCGTGACAAAAAAGCTCAAACTTCCTATGGTAAGGTACGCACGGGGAACAATAAACGAGCCGTATATTCCAACTCCAAGGCAATACCCAACTCCGATTCTAACGCTTTTGATCCCGACCAAACGTCGACAGCTCAAACACACGCGCCTCATGACTTGCGTAGACCAGCAACGCCTCTTCTGGGGTATTAGTTGCCAAAACAAACCAAAGCAAAGATGGAAAAGCCCAAGGAAAGCAGAGATGCCATTCCAGATTGCGCCCGTCACAGCTGAGAAAACCTCATAAACAAAACTACTGCTACTTTGATGCGTTGCAGCAGCATCCCGGCCCCGTTTCTGGGCGGGGCCTACTGGGCAATCTCCTCGAGGACGTGAGCGCCGCCGCCCGTCTCGTTGATCCAGTCAAGCACACCGCAGGCGCCAAAGTTGGCGCCGCCGCCGGATGCGTAATGCACGGCCATGCGCTGGGCGATGCCGTTCATGAGGAAGCCCGGGATAGCGATGTAGCCCGACATGGTGACCGTCTCCTCGATGGTGACGAGGATGAGGAAGAGGAAGTAGGTGAGCAGGTGCGGGCGCAGCAGCACGGCGGGAAAGTAGACGGGGATGACGCGCAGCATCAGCGACGGCAACGGGTGGTCGGCGAATACGAGCAGCGAGTACGGCGCACCCCCGAGGCAGTGCGCCCAGTTGCGGTGCGGGCCCGCCAGCCACTCGAACACGATGCTCATGTTGGTCCCGCCGTAGGACTGCTGATGCAGGACATAGCGATGCGTATAGTAGACGATGACCTCGCGCGCGACGTACAAGATGACGAGGTGCGTAAACACCGTCATGGGCATGGGCAGCGTGGTGCTCGTCTTGATGTCCGTGCGGCCAAAGAAGCCCAGGTACGCTTTCGCAGCGAGGCCCTCAAACGCCGTCGAGATGACGAGGTTGGCCACGGCGACGGCAAACTGCTGGGCGATGAAGCGCGAGTTGCGCGGCGGCAGGGAGGCCCAGCCGCCGTGCTTGAGGCTCGCGGCGAGGCTGGGCAGGGCGCTGTCGAAGGCGAGGGTCAGGACCGAGGGCACGAGCCAGAAGATGACGCGGATGACGAGGATGCCGGCGATGTGCACGTTGACGGGCGGGTGCGTGATGATGAGCGTCGTCCACGTCATGTAGAAGAAGATGATGTTGATCGAGGTGGACCACGAGGCGACGTGCGGCGAGAGGAAGTAGGAGAGGAGCGGGAGCGATATGAGGAGATCCATGGCGGCGGGGGGGCGGATTGAGCAGGCACGGCTGCCGCGACGACTGTGGGTGGGGGGAGGTCGATTGTATGGCGGTGGGCGGTGGTGGTGGTGATGTTACGCGCTGGTGTTGAGGGCGAGGTTGGCGGCTGTCGTTGAAGATGGGAGGTACCTGTTTACACGCGCGGGGGCTGGTGCAAGCCGAGGTCCAGAGGGGCCTGAGCTGAGCCTGTAAGCCTGTAAGGTAAGCTACCGTTGACGGACAAGTCGTCGAGCCAGTCGCAACTTGAACGTGTGAGACAGACCCAAAGGTGTACTTTTCCGTGGCAGACAGACAGACAGACAGACAGGCCAGGAACATAGAAGACAAAACCCCAGGTGAAGGGATCGCCACCGGATTTAAATGCTGCGACGCGACAACAACGTCAATGGCGCCTCGTTTTTTTGTTCGTTGGTGGTCGCGGCTGCGGCAGCGCGCGTGCCAGGGAAGGGAACGGGCCCGGGGGGGTATGACGTCGCGGGGGGGGCCGCCGGAGCGGGAGGATTTTGGGGAACAAACGGCGGGCGGGCTGGGGGAGGACGGGGGCCTTGCAGCTTGGGCGTTGTTCGTGGGTAAGGTGTTGGGAGCTGTGGTACGCGACGCTACGGCGAAGGATGCAGCTACGGGGATGTACATCTTGCAACAGGTCTTTCAGATCGGATCGCTTTGAATCCATTATGAGGCGCGGCAAAGAGGGAGGGCGGGTGAGTTTGCGGTGGCTGCTTGGTGAGATGGTGGGTGTGGAGAAACGCCCATCCATTCAGATCCCACGGATCGCAGGGTCAGCCGCCTGGCTTTGAGGCTTTCCGGCCGTGTAAATCGCGTGCTTGCCAGACAAGGCAATTAAGTGCTGCGGCAACGTCCCGGCGTGGACAAAGCGATTCAGCATGCCGACTTTGTTTTCCTTGTGTTTTGTTCGACAAATGTCTCATATACTGGCGTCTCTTTTGACCGACTTGTCCATGTTCCCGTTGTCTGCAAGGGCGGCGCGGGGAGACAGCAGCAGGGCCGACGTATGAAAGCATGTACACACATACACAGCCACCAAAGTACGGTTAGCCAGCGCACGCTGGGCCTGTGAGTCGCCAACGACAACGACGACGACGACGACGACGACGACACAGCACTCGAAGCAGGGACGCAGACTCTCCCGACAACGTTGAATCGCATCAAATCATCTCCTTTACTTGCACCTCCACAACATCATCGCCGTCCAACATCAACGGCGGGACCACCGTCTTAAACGTCTCCCGGGGCACACGCTCCTCACCCCGCGTCTCAAAGTCTTCAACATCACCAAAACACCACCACATACCCCGCGGCTCCATCCGTAGGCCGTACTTCCCATCTGGCAGCCGCGAGAGCAAGCCGCTCACATCGACATGTCTGACGAGTGGCCTCGCCCGGACGAAGCGTAGTCAAAACCTCCAGCTTCGGACGCGGGTCATGCTTTTGGTATAGACCACGGACGCCTAGCTTTGTTGCTTCGCGCACGACGGTTTCTGTGGCCATGTCGATGACTTGGAGTGTCGCGGCGGGTGCGGGTGTTTTGGTGTCGATGATGCGAGGGCGGGGGTCTTCTGTAGGCTGTTCTTCGGGTTTTATGGGACCCCGTGGGACGAGGAAACGCTGCCGGCTGCGGGTTTGGACGGCGATGGCTTGAGTGCCCGTGTTGATGACTGTGATGTCAAGCTTTGTAGCATTTCCTCCCTTGTGATCGGCGTTGTCGTCCGCTTCGCTCTGGTGTCTTTGCATCCGTGTTTGTATCCTTGGGGGCCAGGGTACGGACGATACTACTCGGAAGCTTGCCCGGCCATCCGCTCTGCTGCTACGCACACGCAGCTTCTGCTCCTCGTCTACTGTTGATAAAATTCCTGTTCATCGACGCTCGCATACGCCCCCGCCCCCACGTCTCCCCCCGATTTATCCTGAAGCGAATACCTTTTCCCCGGCTTAAGCAACGACCCAAGCTCGCCGTCAGGATCAATCCGGTATCGGTATATCGACATGGACTTTTTCCAAGTCTCTGCCCTGCCAGCCGGTGAGAGAAGCGTCAAATGAAGCCACTCCTCATTTCTGGTGAGATCACTCAGTTTGACCGACATCAACTTCTACCTGGCGCTTGCTCCCCGGATCGTGTTCATGTGGCGTGAGTAGCTTATGAGGGAGGGCATACGGAACATTGAGGATTGAGTTTGTTGTGCTTAAGCGAAACGGTCGAGGATCCGCGTCTTGTGCTGAACGGCGGCATATGCCAAACACAATGCTAAAGGGTAATGCGCCTGACTGGTCAAAGACTTGGTATCTACTGTTGATGACCGTATGGACGCTCAGATCGGCCATTGTTGCTTGGTTGCGGCGGGCTTGCCGTTGAAGTGCTGAGGCAACGGCGGGACCGACGAGAGGAGCTGATGCTCGATCGCCCCAGGCGTTGCTCTAAGGCAGCGCTCTGTGGCAAGGCAGGGGAAGGGGCCCTTTACGTCACAGTGGCAATGCACAGTCTGTGGTGAGATTTCGGTTTTAGATAGCGCCTGGATGCGTTGAACACGGCAAAATCGCGGAACTTGCTTCTACCAACCCCATCTTGCCGATGGTACATGCATGGATGCCCTCGGGATATCTGGAACAGAGGCGCGCCCCCGTCGCCAATCGAACGACATCCCGGGGCCGCGATCCCAAACACCGCCCGCCCTTTTGTGGTTTCAGCAAAGGTTTGACACAACAACAAAAAAAAGAAGAAAAGACCAAAGACATGGTCCTCATCGGCCACTGGCTGGCTGACGATTAATTGCGCGGGAGTGTGCCGCGTCAATCCCCCCTGGTGCGCGATGCGACGCCCCCCAGGCCCAACAACACCAACTCAAGCGTGCGCGGGGGTGTTGCGACTCGTGACGACGGACCTCCCGCTGCGAGCACCGCCCCACGAGTCACGCTCACCAGTAGGCAGGTCCGTCCTCGTACGAAAGGGCATTGATTCATACATCTGCATGTATATAAGCCAAAGTGTGCGCGTGACCACAGGTGCGTGCCATTGAAGCGAGACCGCCGCTCCTTATTACACAATTTGCAGAGTAAAAAGTACGAGCCGCTCGCGCTGCATGACGGCATAAGAGCCCACTGCCCTCCCCCCCTTCTTGTGGGTAATACATCAATACTCTGTACTCGTACGTACTGCCGATGGAACCACTCTCGCAACGGCACAGGTGATTAGAGTTCGCCCTGCGTCGTCTTTTATTTGGCACTGCGCCTGAGCCTGTTTGGTGGGTACACGACATGAAACGTCATATAAATATAAGAGCAAGGTTTCTCGGGGAATTGAGGCGGTCGCTGTTCCTGCATTGTGCGGGACCTCGAGCCCTGCGAGGCGGCCGTTTGAGGTCACGACGTTTTGTCTGTTCGTCTTGCATGTACACAGTATGTGCATGCAGTACGCCATTTGTGCCGATATAAAATCGATTGATAGCTGCGGATACGGGCGACGAAAGCCGTTGCCGTAAGGTAGACACGCGGCGGGCACAAGCCACCCTCCGCGCCCGCCAGCTCGGGTCGTCCAGCCTGCAAGAGCCGGTGCGGACCCCTACCAAAACTGGCTGGTAGGCGACCCGGGAGCCTCCGTTTGGCCCAGGCCCCAAGCTCCATCCCCCCCTGAGACCAAACAAGCACCAGTGGCACGCCTGGCTCCACCCCGTCCACTCGGGCCACCGCCCAAACGGAGCCGCTGGGTCGGTCCGTACAGGGGATGAGGGGCCCCCATCAGCTGCCCGCCCGCCCCTGAGCATCCCGTCCAGTCCCTCCATCATCCACATCACGGCGTGTGACTGCACCAGCAGAGTCAATTCGACCACCCGCCGCCCATCCGCCTCCCCCCCGGACGTGCCCCAACGCCCGGGCCCGTTCCAATCGTGTGTGGCTGACCCGTTGACTGGATGGCTGGACACCCGTGGATGCAGCCAGTCAACATTACCGTTACCGCGGCCGTAACCGGACCCTGCAGAGCCCCATTGGCAGCGGCAGCCCAGACCCCCCTGGGTTCCCAAACCCGTGCCCCCCCCCCCGGGGAGCTGAGCTGCAAAGGCGAGGTAATGTCCATCACAGAACAAGGTACCAGCCTCTCGGCGAACAATTAGAGCAGCGACAAGTACCGGCCTAATGCCAATGCCGGCCACCTGAGCAAACTCCACAGCCGCCGGCCTGCGTTTCGCTTCCTCTCTCCTCCACCTCCTTTCTCGCCTCGCGCCTCTCCTTGTCCCTCCCTCGTCCATCGCCAAGCCGTCGCCGTCACCGACGCCGCCCTCCCTCCCTCACCACCACCACCGCCCATCGCCCGCCCCCCGACCGACTGCGCCGCGTGCATGGCGCCCGGCCACGCTCTCCATCGACCGCCCGACCGATTGACCGATCGTCCCTTGATCCATCCGTCCACCATCCAAGACACGGGCGTCCGGGCGCGCGCGAGCCGAGCACCCGCCCGTCGACGCCAGCCCCAGGAATGACTGAGACGCGCGCCACCCAGTAGCCCAGCCACTACTACGCCTCGACGACGACCGCGGCGACGACGAACTGCGGCCACGCCGCTTGCTTGATTGCTTGCTTGCTTCGCTCGCTCCACATCTGCGTTCGTGCGCGACCCGCCGTCGTCACCCCCGTCCACGATCTCGACGAGCCGGCGAGAAAAGGCCACTACCACCATGGACGCGTCCGCCGCTGCTCCCGACGCCGCTCCGCCCCCTATCCCGACCCGTCACCACCACGTCGCGCCCTCGTCTCCGCCCCAGCACGAACACCAACATCATCACCACCACCAGCAGCAGCAGACCCCCCATCGCAGCTCCCGCGGCGCTCGCTCCCCGCCCACCTCGTCCCGTCGCCCCGGCTCCAGCGCCGCCATCCCCCCGGCCAGCCCCGAGGTCATTTCCAACCTAATCACGAGCCTCAGCGTCATCTCGCAGCCCGCAAACTCCCACTTCGAGTCCCTCTCCCTTCCTTCGAGCCCGGCCCTCAGCGGCTCGGCCTCGGGCGGCAGCTTCGGCGTCGACTACGGCGCCTACAACCGCCCTGCGCGCGACAATGATGCCATCCACCGGCCCCTCTCACTCGACGAACTCGCCGCGAGCCCCCCCGTCGTCCGCACCTCCAAGCCCCCGAGCGGCTTCTCGCCCTTGACCGCCCCCAAGAGCCCCAGAGCCTCTGCCCACCGCTCCTCCAGCCACGAGAGCATCACCGGCGGCCTGCGCTCCTTCATCCGCTCCGGCAGCACCCACAACTCGCGGCCCTCCTCCCCAGGCTCCCTCGGCGGCGACTCGGCCGCTAGTATCGGCAACCTCTCCATCGAACGCGGCTCCGCCCTGTCCCCGGACCTCAAGCCGCGTCGCTCCCACGACAGCTGGGGCAAGAAGGCGAACCGCAACAGCAAGGGGCTCATGTACATGAGCTCCAAGGAGCGCCTTCGCGAGCGCGAGCTTGACCGGAAGCGCGCCTCGGGCAGCGCCCCCTCGACGTCGGGAACCAACGCTGGCATGGCCGAGCCGGGACCTGCTAGCCCCACCGGCGAGTCCAAGCTCGCCGCCGCCGGTGCGTCCCGCGCCGACCCTTTCCTCGCCGGCACACCCATCAGCGAGGAGGAGCCCGCCGGCGACCATGGGGGGGCAGAGCCCGATGTATCCCTCGGGAGCCCCAAGCCCATTCCCGTGCGCGATTCGAGCCTCAGGAAGACGGGCTCCAAGCACCGGAAGAGGACCAGCGCCAGGCGGTCCAAGCGGGACGGCGAACTGGTGCGCGACGATGCCATAATCGAGGCCGACGAGCCTGAGCGGAGTCGTGACAGCGCCCCCAAGGGCCACGCTCGTTCAGAGTCAGACCATGGCCTGGCCACGGCACGGTCCTTCCTTTTGGACGACGAAGAGACGGCGTCACCCCCGCGGGCGGCAGGTCAACGCGGCCTGGGCCTGGACCAAGGTGCTGCCGACGACGACGAAGACGGCGCGCCGTATCCCGCCATCTCGGGCGGCCGTCGCCGGAGCGAGCAACACGACGAGCGAAGCACCAGCCGCCTCTCTGGGCGGCTCAGCCCGGGCCCCAAGGAGGCGCTCAGGCTCACGCGCAGCAGCTCTCGACTCAAGCGCCTCTCCAACGGACCCCGCAGCCCCCGCGAGCCGCGAAGCGGCTTCACCTCTCCCGAACCGCGTGAATCGCAGCCGAACCCCACCCCGGCTGCCGCTTATGAGCGACCGGACTCGGCAGATTCCATCGACGACGCCGTCGAGTCGTACCTGTGCTCGCCGCGGCTGTCGCAACGCCTCCGCCACCCGCAGACGGGCCGCGTCATATCGTTTTCCGAGGTCGGCGATCCAAACGGCTCGGCCGTCTTTTGCTGTGTGGGCATGGGCCTCACGCGATACATCACGGCCTTTTACGACGAGCTCGCGCTCACGCTCAAGCTACGCCTCATCACCCCGGATCGTCCAGGCGTGGGAGACAGCGAGGCATACTCGGACGGCACGGCCACGCCCCTGAGCTGGCCTGGTGAGTTGCCTAACCAGCTTTGCTCACTTTGTCGCTAACAATCGCAGATGACGTGTACGCCATTTGCCAGGCGCTCAAGATTACGAAGTTCTCCATCCTTGCCCACTCGGCGGGCGCCATCTACGCGCTCGCTACGGCGCTGCGGATGCCTCAGCACATCCGCGGGCGCATCCACCTGCTCGCGCCCTGGATCCCGCCGTCCCAGATGAACGTCTTTGGCACGTCGGTGACGTCTCCGCCGACCAACGCGATACCGACCTCCCAGAAGATCCTGCGCGCCCTGCCTACACCGTTCCTCAAAGCGGCCAACTCGAGCTTCATGACGGCGACGAGCAGCTCCATCACCAGCTCGCTGCCAAAGAACGCCAGGCGAACGAAGAGAAAGGCAGGCACTGGGAAGGACGCGGGCAGCACGCCGACCCGCAACGTGACGCCGGTGATGGACAAGGAGAACGTGGCGTACGGCGCTCAAGGCAAGGACGTAGGCGTCCGGCCGGAGTCACTCGGGCCGGCGGAGAATATGGACCGCATGCAGGTGCCGAAGAACATGGGCGGCAACGGCAGTCCGTCCTTTAACGTCGCCACGCGGGATGCCGCCGTCGATAAGGAGCGGCAGGTGACGTACGACGTGCGACTCACGCATGCCATCTGGGCCCTGGCGACGACGGGGGCCAACCCGGCCGTGGACCTCCTCGTGTGCCTCGAGCGGCGGCACACCATTGGCTTCCGCTACGTCGACATCACACGACCGGTGGTGATTCACCACGGCAGCCGCGACACGCGCGTGCCCGTGGAAAACGTCAAGTGGCTGGGCAAGACGATGCGGCGGTGCGAGGTGCGCGTGCTCGAGGGCGAAGGCCACGGCCTGATGGCGAGCGCGACGGTCATGGGATCGGTGCTCATGGAGATGAGCAAGGAGTGGGAGGACTGGATGCGCGCGACGGGCGCCGACGGGCGCAAGGAGGCCCGGCCGCGAAAAGGCACGTTGGGGAGGTAAAGACGTCGCGCGGACATGTGTGTCTGTGTCTTTCTGTGCTCCATTGAGCCAGAGATGTCCACGGCGTATGCGCGAGGAGGGAGGAGAATGGGGATCAAGACAAGTGACATGCTGGATACCATTGCTGTTTGTTTCACTGCTGTATACCTTATACGTACGAGTCCCGGCGACGACGGCGGGTGCGTCGGAGATGAGATGGATGGGTGGATGACTGACCTGGATAGAGTAGCTGTATGGGTCTTAATAGAGGATGATGAGAATGCAGTGTCGTCTTGTCTTGGTGGTGGTGAGGGCGTTGCGATGATGGGGACTGATGACTCGCGGAGTGAGAGCGCTTGGGGTGTTGGGTAAGCTGGGATGGAAGGTTAGGCGGGAGTGTATGTCGTGTGCGTTGAGTGAGCGGAAGGCTGGGTCGTTGCTGGAAACGATGAGCAGGGATTTACTGGTGCTTCTGGTTCATGTGCTGGCTACCCAGAAGCTGCCTACGCGTGGTTGGATCTTCCTCAGATCCGCTACGACTCCAGCCCCTTCTCCCATCCGTCGGATCAACTGACACGCTGCCCACGTACACCCAGGCTTGGGGCATGACCATGGGTCTGAATCCTTATGCTTGTAAGCGAGCCCGCACCGAAGACGGGTATGTCGCATGTTCCAGTCGACGATAGTCGATCCTGGCCACATGTCTGGGGGGCGTGTGTAATAGCGAATGAACTGAGATTGGTGGGATATCTTCTGTGAATGGATGGACGATGAGCATCGCAGGAAGGAGGATCTGGATAGGGGGGCCTCAAGCTTGCCGACAGTCTGGTTGTCTCTTTTCTCGCGATAGGCTACCGCGTTTGGGTTCGGTGATGGTAGGGCTTCACGTAGGTGGTGCGGTATGGCATCCGCGTGCGCGTGCGAGATCCATAGATCTGCAGCGTCAGCCAAGGCCTAGACTACGAGGCATGTAGGCGCGTATGTCGCGTGCATGCATGCAGGTCCCCCGCCTCCTCCTCCGGCGTTGCCCCCTTTCGTCACTGCAGCGGTATCGCCAAGGGGTCGCGGCGCATGCATGGACAGGATGGGAGTGAGGTCGGCGTGCCGGTGGGCGGGCAGCTCCGCAGCTCGGCAAAGGTGCGAAGAGGGATGGATGGATGGATGGTGGGAGGCGCCGCTGTGGTAATCGGGGAGGGGGTACGGGTATGAAAGCCCGGGAGGAGGGTGGGCCAGCGGGTCGGCGCCGTGGTGCGCGCGGCGGCCCGGGGACTTGGGGGGTCCGACGACTGCCAGATCGGGCATCTTGGTAGCGCGGTTGCGGCATGTCGTTGGTGGGAGGGACGGGAGGGGGGAACGGGAGGTGGGAGGTGGGCTGGCTGTGGGTGGGTGGCGGTGTCGATTGGACCCCTGCCGGCGTGCCCCTCGCACCCAAGCTTGCCGTGCTCTGCTTACAAGGGATGTTGCAGGATGGGGCGGAGGAGGATTTCGAGGGGCTCGTGAAAGGAGGATGGAGCTTCGTTCGGTCTTCGGGGTTGGGACTTGGGAGTTTTCAGGGTTCCGTGGATGCCCCCGAATGAGTCCTCTCCATCCCTTACCTCCCGGAGGATCTTGATGTAAACAATCGATGTTGTTCATGTTCTCTCAGAGCTTCACGATGCGCAGCCCGACCGCCACGTCCAGCGACCAACACTCCATGTCCGGGGACGAGGAGGAAGAGAAGGCCTCCTTCCTCCGGAGCGAACAGCACGTCAACCGCCATCATAACGCCACCACCACCACCAGCACCACCACCGCAAGATTCTTCGACTCATACAACCTCCGGCTCTGGCAGTTCGCAACTACCGTGCTGACCGTCCTGCTCGTCGTGTCCGTGTACTTTAACCAGTGGCTGGGACCTGGCCCCAGCTACGAGACCGGCTTTGACACGGATCTTGGTTAGCAAACCAATTCCCCTTGATCAATCACAGTTGAGCCTTTTGGGGGTTTGTGTGCCAGCCAGGGCGAGTAATCAATGCTGATGAATGGTGAGAGTTGGATAGAACCGGCGGCGCGAAACTCTGCGATTCGCATGCAAAAGACAAAGTTCGCTGGGGCCATCATCGTCAACGAGAGTAGTCAGTTCGAGCTCGTGCTGGACCGGGACGGCCCGCGCTACGTTGGGCATCCGACGAGAGAACTCGACGCTGCGTGGGACAAGCTCGTCGGCAAGTTTCTCCCTCCCTCCCTTCCCTCCCTTCTCTTCCTTCGAATTCCTTCCTTCACAAGGCAATATACACTCTGATCTCCTCGACTCATACGCTTCTGAACAGGGAGCTACGTGGCGCTCACCAAATCTGAGGCGGAGCGCATCGGCGGGCACGTCTCGGAAGACGGCGGCGCGTACTTTGTCGTCACGCACGTGCGGCACAGCCTGCACTGCGTGAATTACCTCCGCAAGGTGGCCTACGAGAAGTGGTACCCGACGATCCGGCACGAGAACAAGTCGAGCGTGCCTACGTTTTGGCAACACGTCGGTAAGTAGGCCAATACAGCAAAATATTCATAGTGGAAACGGCGGGCCCACGTGTTGTGGTAGACTAGCTACTGTGGCCAGTTTGATCAGATGCTGACCGTGTGCATGCGGACAGACCACTGCGTTGAGACGCTGCGACAGACGATCCAGTGCCAGTCCGACTTGACGCCCGTGCCGCATGTGTGGTCGGAGGGCAAGGGGATGTATATCGCGGACACGTCGCTGGAGCATACGTGTAGGGACTATGATGCGGTGATGGAGTGGCAGGATGAGCGGGAGAGGGCGTGGAAGGCGGGCGAGATACATGATTAGAGTGCGGAGTGCAGCGTAGATTGATTGCCCAGGACTTGACGTCTTACTCTAGAATCGTAATCAGTTACAGCCTTATTGAAGACGCAAAGCACGTTTTGTCCTGAAATTTAAATGTCTTTAGTGATCAAAGTATTCATTCGTATGCTTGGTGAATAGGTACGAGAAGCAAATGCATAAGCTAGAATCCGTGTGCGTGGGCGGTGCCTGGTCACAGCGACCCCGCCCGCCCGCTTAGACACAGATGTAAGCCCAAGCTCGACTCTCAACGGAATCCTCCCAAGTCAACCCTTCACACTGCTTCCAAAAAGCGAACCTCTACCAACCTCGTCCGATTTCCCCAGTTATACTGTCCTCTACCCCTCTGTCGTACAAGCCGAGATGCACCTCAATTCGGCGCTTCTCCTCCTCGTTCAGAGTCTGCGAGTCGTTGCCTTCACCAGGTCCCTTCCTCTGGACCACACGTGGGCGAACCACCAGCAATGCATCGACATCAACAGCCCTGCCACGTTCCAACCCTTGAGCCAATCCTCGCTGTTTGTCAATTTTGCGACCGGCGGGGAGGGAATCGTCAGCGTTGTTGTGTTTGAACTCGGCGACGAGCACCTCGGAGGCATTCGTGCGCCCGGATCGAACGAGGTGAGGGTCTTTGCGCCTGCGATTTGGTCAAGAACAGTCGGATCTGACTTGAAGACTACACAGAAAGAGGTACTGTGTACTACGAAAAACAGCCAGAGCGGCTTGTGCAGCGAGTCGCAGCTGGGCGAGTTTCTCATCAGCGACAAGGCGCGCCGGCATGCCCGTCATCCATTCATCACCCGCGCCGTGAACCTCAGCGCGCCCGTCTCGCTCCACTATCCGATCACCGACCCGGGCTTCTACTGCGTAGCCGCGGTCGGCTTTACAGCCAAGACATTTTCCGCTACCATGACGGCTATTGACCCCGTGAGCGGTAGCCTGCCTGCCTTCCGCGGCGGCGAGTTGTTGCTGTATCAATACCTGGGTCCTGCTTGGATCGTGCTGGCCGCTGCCTGGATGCTTCGCGCATTTGAGACTTCCACCTCCTTATGCTGGCTCGTACCGGTCTCTGCCGTGCAGGTCGCACTGCGGTGGAGCAGCCTTGAGCTGGGCGTCAGAGGTGGTGCTGCTGCCGTGGCTGTGAGGATCTTGTGGTACGTCGCGGAAGCAGTTGAATGCTCAGGCATCTTGATGCACACACACCGGATCGCCACAGGAGGGCACCCTGGAGACTCGAAGTCTTGGTTCGTCCGGACCTCCCTCGTCCTATTCATCGCCATGTTCACTGCAACGAGCGCCGCCGACTTTGTCGCAACGGCAGTCAGTCGAGCTCCAGCATATGCCAACGTGCCGATGGGCGTGTTTCTCGGGTCATACATTGCCATCTGCATCGTCCGATCGCTGCGTCGCCAAACGCCCGTCTACGGCTCCAAACAGGCTCGAGCTTCCTCAGGTCTCCAAGTCAAAGTTTTCGCCGGGCTACTGGGTTTGATTTGCTTGTTCTGCGCAGTAGTGGCTGTCGGCAATGCCTGGATCGCCATGCAGCCGATCGAAGCCCTCGAATTTGGACATAGATTTTGGCGAGTGCGCTTCTGGGCTATTCAGACACCATTCGAACTCGTCTTTCTTTTCTGGACGGCTTGCACCGTGGTGTACTGTCGATACCAGGACAGCGCAGAGACGGAAAGGGTGTTGGACGTGGAGGAGCTGCGAAAGCTGGGCAGCTCTACGGACAGCGACGGAGCGGACTACTGAGAGGGACCGCACACGTTGAATGCAAATGTAGACTCGTGGGTATTTACTTAGATGCCATTACACTCCCCTTGGCCGTCGAGTGCATGATTCCTCCCCTGCTCAATCGTAAACGTCCCGTCCGCACCCTCGACCACACGCCGACTCGGATGCCAGTTCGTTGCCTCCACGCCCCTCTCCGCCGCCCACTCGAGAATCTTGGTCCAATTCCTACACGTGTGCAAGTTATCGACCCGCGGGCGCATGCCCTGTGTGATGTTGCTCCAGGCGTAGTACACGACGCTGACGTCGGCCTGACACATAAGCGCCTGGCGCACCTGGTCGAGGCAATGGTCTGGATATGGTGACGGGTCAGCCAGCTCGCGAACACGACGAGACAGTCCTCCGGCCATAAGTGATTGTAGAGGGAGGGGGGATTTGAGGGACGGCATACCGACGTGTAGCCACTTGCAGTAGTCGACGGTGCCGTTGGGATAGTAAAAGTGCTTGTCGTAGCGGTCGCGGTACAGGGCCATGCGGACGACGTCGAGGCAATGCATCTGGTGGAATGCGTCGAGCGTGACGACGTATTCGTTTTCTCGGCCTCGAAGAGGGAGGCGCTCTGTCTGCTCGGGAAGTTGGGAGGCCGTGTGCCCATCTACGGTGGAAAGGATTCCCGCTGCGGCGTTTTCATGTTAGTGTAGGCTCGAAGATGGATGACGAATAGATGAAGCTGTGCACGTACGGACGTAGGCGTCAGCCCAGGTCTGGTCGATCTCGTCGGTCGGCCAGCCCTGAAACGGCGTCTTGTCGTCGCCGCGACTGCGGTTGAACTTGAGCGTGTTGTATTCGACGAGGTGGTTCGCTGGCGCTGCGGGTCGTGTCAGTCGTTTCTCACATCCATCTACTGAATGTAAACAAATTGAGGACTACATACAGTACAGTTGCAATGTAGGATCGCGGTAGACTTGGGAGGAGCCTTGGTAGATGTACGCAGTCACGACGCTTGCGATGATGGCTGCAATGGCCGACGTGAGCATGCAGAGGATGGCTGTGGTGGCCTGACTGTGTTCCCGCCGATGGTAAGGGCGGTGGCAGCCGGGGCACTGGCGCTCGAGGAACGCTGAACCTTCTCTGACGAGGAGCTTCTCGTCCTCGGCTTCGTCGGAGAGGGGCATGATATTCGACGGATACTGAGCTGAAATGAAGAAGCTGGACATGAAAACGAAGGAAGCTCATACCATTTCTCGGCTGTGTAAATGCACAGGATAAGCCGAGTGCTCAAGCACAGCGACCCTTAGGCGACATGGCGGCAGAACCATCATCATTAGGGCGCCCTTGGCTGCTACAATGACCTATTTATCTAGCCGCTTCAGCTCCCCATGCCACTGTGGGCTCATGGGATGGCGGGCAGCTCCACTGCGCTGGGGCCCTTGACCGGGACCTTCGTCACCTCATGCCGCTGCGCCCAGCGAGCCATTGAATCCCAGTCGGGACACGCCCTCGCTACGTTGAAGTTGGCCGTTGGCGCCTTCTTGTGCTTGACCCAGTTGTAGGTGATGATGGTCGTGTCGCGATCGCTGCACATGAGCCAGTCAGTCAGTCATTCATTCTCCCCGCTTGACATCCGTGTAAGTTAACACGCACCACTCCAGCTTCTGCCGCAAAATCTCGACGCAGTGGTCCACGCGCTCGTGCCATTTCTGCGGATCACGGTCGTAGTCGGCCTTCTCATCTGGGTACGAGTCCAAGTAGCTCGCCCGGAAGAGATTGTGAAGGCAATGCAGCTGGTGAGTGGCCTCAAATGTCGCCAGGTAGCGCCCGTGGTGAGACCCGCCTTCAATCCGCACCGCTGCCTGCGGGTATTGTGGCCGCGAGGCCTGGAATGCGGCCTCGTCGACGCTGAATATCCATGTTTGCCAGTATCGCTCCCACGCGGCGTCGACTTCGGGTGTGGGCGGGCCTGTGAATGGTGATTTGATATTGTAGGTGCCGTTGGCTCGGGTCGCGTGACAGGCTTCATCTTTAGGAAGCACCAGCTTCGTTGCCGCACCACAATGCGATGAGTCTGGCGAAACTGCCGCGGGTTGAACCTCTGCGTGGGCCTGGGACGAGGGTGTTGGCGGTCGCGCCGCGGCGGTGACGCCCAGCTTCTGGCAGCTCTCCCAGCTGGCGCCCGGCAGCAGGACCTGCGTCGTGATGGACCCCAGCAGGCCGCCGGCAATGAAAACAAGTGCGCTACCCAAGGTTGGCAGAGCGTCTGCAAGAGGCCTCATCCTTTCGGCGGCAATTTGATGCCCGGAAACAAGGGCAAGAGAGACGATGTAAGGAAATGCTCCAAAACTGAGAGTGCGACTTGGACAGTGAATTGGTCAGATCCTGCACATATAATGCCATTGGGGGGCTCCGCCCATGCACCAGCTCAACTAATGCTACTCATACAGACCAAAGCCCTCAACGGCCCGTCCATCGACCTCGTTCTTTCTTGTCCAATCCAATATCCTGTCAAAATCTCGACAGTAGTGCAGCGTATTAAAATCGGGCGACTCCTTCTGCTTCTTCTCGGGAGTCAACATGATCAGGTACGGAGTCGCATCCGCGGCGCACATGAGCACCCCGCGCAGTCTCTGAACACAACTATCTACGCGCGTCATGATCTGCTCCTCCGAACCCTGGAATGCAGCCAGGGGCGAGTAGTCATACTCGTTTCTATATGTATGCTGCCGTAGGAGGTTGAGGCAGGCGAGGTTTCGGAAAACCTCGAGATACGCTGGTACCCCATCGCCATCCACATCCTTGCTGCTGGCGGTGCAGCTTCCCTCCTCGCCGCATAGCGTAGGAACCTTGCTTCGTGGGACGAAAATAGGATGTTCTGGCTTCATGTTAACAAAAAGTCTTCCGTAAATCGAGGTAATCCGTGTGTTCGCTCACTTTGCATTGAGTCATTCCACGCCCGCTCCAGCTCAAGCGTAGGCAATCCCCTGTATATCGACTTTTGGGAGAAGCCATTCTGGAACGTTTCCCAGTGATGCTTAACTTGATCCCATGCTGGAGCTGAAACGGCTGTTAGCTCTCTCTCCACGAGTCGCTCTCCTCCTGATCCAGAAACGTACACCATGACGACATGCTCCGAACGCATTGTAAATCGTTGGGCTGTACGCCGCGACCGGCCAAGAAGAATACCACAGACAAAACGAGAAACACTGGCGAGAGGACAGGCAATGCCTTTTGCTGTGTGATACCCATGGCCATCTCCTGGAGCTTCAAAAGTGTTCTCGGCATGAAAAAGAGTGCACCGAATTCCTTTGCTTGTGCGGGAGATCGCAAAGACCCTGAAGACTGAAAGCACGAACCTCCGGTCTCGCGGAGGGTATGTCATAAACAGACGGCGTGGGGTGGGCATGGACATCGATCGCCAAGTGGAGAGCTGCTGCTGCCCACATCCCGCTCTTCAGCAGCAGCTTGGCGGGCTGTTTCAGTCCAACTCGATAGTTCGCGCCCCGCGACTCTATGCAATTCGTGTTGAGGCACCAATTAGCAGCACCGAGAAACACATACCAAAAAAGAAGATGGCCGACGATGCAACTAGTGCACGGGTGGGTTTGCAAAGGTCCCCGCGTGCCTCGCCTGCAATCATCGTGTCCACTTGCTACACCCGGGCGCCACGAGCCTTCGCTCCGGGGAGTGTTCCCCTCTACGACCCCGCTGAAGTGCTACGCTGACAAGCATTGCAGATGCCGTGGATCCACGACTACAGCATGCCTGTGGCAGGGGTCCGGAGCTCGCGTACAGAGGGGCAGCTTACAAGCCTGCTGGATCGGAGGCGCCGCCGGCGTTTTCCACCTTCCGTGTTGCGTGGCCCCCAAGAGGTTGAACCCCGATCTCGCGGATAGCTCTTCATGCAACATGGATATCGGAACATAGCCAATTCTTAACGTGCTGGTACGTTTTATTGCATATGCCTACTGAAGCTAGTTCATGCCCATCCCCTGGATGCCCCCGCTGAACTCAGAGGTCGGGCAACGGCCGAGGTTTGCACGCAGCTTCGTAAGCGGCCTGCAGCCGAAGCAACGACTCTTCGTCGTCTCCCTTGGCTATCGCCACCGCGCCAAATGGCCGCCCATTGTAGCGCAGTTGACCTACCGGCAACGTAGCCACAGGGTAGCCTAGGTTGTCAGCACAGGGAGCAAACTGCACGGCGCGCACGAGGAGACTTACCCGCTGCACAGGCATGAATGCAGAAGCCTGAGTCCACTGGACCAACCAGAATATTGACACCATTGTCGTCGAATGCCTTGTCCAGGATTTGCCTGCCCATGGTTCGAAGCTCCTCCTTTATCTTTGCCATGTCTTCCGGATCTTGATTGCTGTTCATTGCCTTTTCAAGGTCGTTTTGCTCTGTGTATGCTGTACTGCTGTTAGCATCAAATGTCGGCGCCTGCTGTTGCGAGGTCAAGCTTACGAGCTGGCATGGCTCGGTCCTTGTTCGTCTCATTAAACTTGATAATGTCCTCGACGCTACCCATCGGACATTTGTCAAACGCCGCGATGAATCTCGGCATGGTGATGTGCTTGAAGTCCCAATCTAGCATATTACGGTCAGCTTTTTGCCGTATAAAACAAGTCACGGAGCACTCACGGGCAAGCGAAATCACGTTTGGTAGGACTGATGTATCCGGTACTTCCACTGGATACTTTAGCGGACAGCCGTTCTTCTCGAGCGTTCTAATAACGTCGATGTAGTCCTCTCCCTGCGGGCAGTCTCATTAGCGACGCGCGCGTTCACGTTCCGCGTTATTGTTACATACCGTCTGCTCCACAGTGCCCTCGTGCGGCCGGCACAGCTCGTCCGGCAAGTCCCATAGCTTGTGGTCGACGAATCCCACCGAGAGGCCTTTCCAAGAGCCCATGTCTGGCGAATTGAAGTCGCGGCCCAGGAGAATGCTTGCCAAAGCTCTTACGTCTGCTGCGCATTTCGCCATGGGGCCAGGGCTATCGTAGAAATCCGTCATCGTGTATACCCCCGAGACGTCTTGGGCACCAATGGTAGGTTTGAGGGCATACAAGGCATTGCGGCTGGAGGGAGTGATGATTGATCCGATTGTCTCTGTGCCCATGGCAAGCGGACTGAAGCCGGCCGAGACTGCAACTGCAGAACCGGTCGAAGATCCTCCAGGAGCCTGAAGAACACGAGGTCAGTTTCCTTGTACGTGTACACCGGGTGGGCAATTGTTACTCACGGAGTGTCCTAATATTGTCTCGTTCTCCTCGATCTGCTTGACATAGGGCGACAGTGTCTGGCCTCCATGGGACGACCATCCAGGCATCATCATTGTCATTTTCATGCCGGCAAACTCCTAGCTCGTCGTCAGGTGGGGGGAGCGTTCACTGAAGGGCATGGTACTCTTACCGTCATGTTTGATTTGCCCAGAATGATGAGGCCAGCGTCGATTAGTCGCTGTGCAATAGCCGAGTTCTTCGAAGCCTCGGATCCCACAAATGCAAGCGACCCGGCCGTCGTGCTCATGCCCAGTTTAGAAGCAGTGATGAAGCAATCCTGCCGTCTGCATCAGCGTCCAAGTCCACATTCCGTCGTATACCGATGCATACCTTCAGTACGATTGGTATCCCGTGGAGCGCGCTTCGAAGTTGTCCATTCTGGCGCTCCTCGTCGAGCGCCTTCGCGACGCGAAGCACCTTGTCGCGCGGGGCGGGGGAGATGAATGCATTGAGCTCACTCTCATGTCGGTCGATCTGGGCGAAATATTGCTGTACCACCTCAACGCTGGTGAGTTTGTTTTCAGATAGCGACTGCTGCAGGTCGACTGCGTTCGTGTTCAGGACGTTGAACGACATTTTGGTTATGCTGACTCCAATCAATGGCGGCGACGTTCAGTGAGGGGAAACTTGGAGGACTGAAACGCGCTGCACGCGGCGCGGCTTACAGCCCGTGTCGCCTGTCTCCACGTGCGGACTGCAGCGGGTGCGCCGGTGTTTGTCCGCCTAGGCACCAACTATCATGACGTTCTGCCTGATGCTACGCTGTCAGACCAGTTCCTTTTTGGCATGTCCTTGTTGGTGTTGGTTCAGTAGCTGAAAGAAAATAATGCAGTTGGGGATACTTGAACTGAGACACAAATGCAAGTATTGCCAATACTGGGGACTCATCGATGAATCGGTTCGGCCAATGGTAACTTTAGCAGTGTTTACGTTCTGGTGGCGCGGCGGGCAACAGTTAGTGTATCCTGTCTGGATGTGACAACAAGCAAAATGATACATACGTAGCGCTTGGCTCATATAGAAGGCTATAAATTTTTTTTCTTGCTCTCACTTCCCCTCACTCGATGCTGTCGAACACGGAATGATCATTGACCCAATTGACCATGTCTTGATACACTCGACACTTGTGCGGCAGTCCCCTGCCCTTGACCTTTCCGTCCGCCGGCGATTCCACGAGCACATAAGGCGTCACATCGCTTAGGCAGGTAAACACAGTTCTCAGAGTCGCGATGCAGTGGTCGACGTGATGCCGACGGGTCTTCTCGCCCCCGCTAAAGGACGGCAATTGACTATAGTCCCAGTGGTCTCTGTAGATGAATTGCCTGACGAGATTCTGCGCCGAGTCAGCTTTGCGTAGGTTGCACGGATGCCTGATGATCGAATGCACTGACCAGGCAATGAATCTGATGTGCGCCTTCGAGGAGACCGCCAACGCCATGACCATGCTTTGGGTCCACAAGCCTGAAGTCTCCGGTGGACGAAGACTTGTTCAGCCCACTCAAGGACTCGACCGGGACGCTGAAGGCGCCAACTTGTGCGATCGTTAGCCTCCTCGAAGCCAACTTGAAGTGCGCATACTTACAATCCCATAAAGCTCCCCAGGCTTTCTCTGACGCGGTTGAAGGATACCCACTGTACACGTCTGGCTCAAAGGTATCGGAAAACGTCGTCCACTCAAACTTCACGGCATCCAAAACCGGACCTGCACACTGTTAGTATCAACTCGTAATGGCCCAACGGAGAAGCCATACTTGGCGCGGACATCTGGCGCATACATCGCTCATCTGTGACCTGATGGCGAAGTCTGTACAGGAACCATGAGACTGATGTGAAAAGACAAAGCGATGAGAACGCAAACGTGACCAGTGTTCGCAGGTTTCGCTTGCTTTGAATGAACTCAGCGTCGTCGACCACCGGCAAAGTCAGCTCTGATGAGTAGGAAATCTCATCGCCATCGTCCACGCTGGAGGTCGCAACCCGTTGGTAGCGGAGCTGTCTTAGCCGATCCTGAGCGACCTTCCACATGGCCAATTCTGCCTTGGGCTCACCACGAAGGGATTTGGTCGCCTGCCTCGAAAACAGATGCTTCCAAAGTATCCTTAAACTTCCAATGCGAATTGCTCGCTATGCGTCGGATGGTAAATTCTCACTACTTCACGTTGCAACGGGGCAATTGACGTCGGAAGCACGGCCGCACTGCAAAACCGCAGGGAGCTGTTGCACTTCGCCATGTGCTACTCCCGTGCAGAACGGAGGGTTGCATCCTGTGCCAAACGCAGAATAGCTGCGTCGGCCGCGGCGGGGGTAGCATGTCACCACCAACACCGCCACGCAAGCGATAACAATCCCCGGGGGAGGAGACTCGCGATCCAGAACAGGGAAGATCCAACGGACTAAGTAAATCCCTCAATAGCAAAGCGTTCCGAGCTGTATCTTGCATCTGTTCTGCATGGGAGTGAATGCCGATCCATGGCGCCTGTGCATCGCCTGAACATTGAACCCTGGATTCAGGAGCTCGCTTGCACTGATCAAATCCTGCAGGATTCGTGCATTTTACGGGGTTTTGAGATATCGAATATGTCGAATGGGCAGCTTGTCACCGACGCGGTGGCGGGGAGCTGCCGCATGCGATCGCTGGATGTAGGTGGGCTTGCTGTGCGCCTTGCCCTTCGAGGTCGGCAGAATGCCCAATTTGGTGTCGGCCAGGTATACTAGGGCTGAGGCAGCGTGCGCTCCCTCGACGCGAGGTCTGTTGTATCCGACTATGGTGGTTGCGCTGTTGTCGTAACGATTGCTTGCGGCCGTCTCATCAATCGAATTTGTGAGCAATGCGTCTCAACATCTTTGGCCTACCTCGGCGACAGCCTCGCCATCGTGATATTTCTCTCGATGAAGATGAAACACAGGGCATGCTTGTCGATGAGAACCAAAGTTCTCCCAAGCCCAATGTACAGGGTAAACTGTCGAAAGCTAAGATCGTGGCCTTCTTCACGGCCTCGATCGACCTTGCGAGAAGACTTCTACTGGTCTTGGCTCCAAGTTTTCTCACAGAGACAGAGTTGCAGGAAGCCTCTTCCACATCCCAAGACCACCACCTCTCAACATCCTCCCTTGACGGTCTTCGCGGATATGCCGCCCTGGCTGTGATGAACTATCACATCCTTTACGCCTATCAATCTTTTGTGTTCTACGGATACGGACTTTCGCAAGCTGCGTCGAAATCTTGTGCACGCCCCGAAGACGTCTACGCGCACAACCGTTGGTTCCATCAATTGCCTGTTTTTCGCATGGCCTACGGCGGCACTTGGCCAATCTCTGCCTTCTTCGTCATCTCTGGCTTTGCGCTTTCGCACAGACCTCTCAAGGTCTCTCGCGATGCTGCCGACGGCTTCACCAGCGGTGCGTCTGCAGTTGCTTCTGGGCTGTTTCGTCGAGCGTTTCGGCTATACGGCCCGCCACTCATTGCAACATTCATCACTATGGTGTTGATCCAGCTTGGTGCATACGAACATGGCCGAAAAGTTTCCGGAGACACGAACTGGGTACCAGTCATCAATGAGGCACATCACAAGCGCTTCGACTCGTTCGGCCTGCAGCTGGGAGACTGGCTCCATGAAACGTGGAAAATGTTTCATGTCTTCTGGTGGGGAGACCTACACAACCAGTATGATGTTCATCTATGGACGATCCCAACGGAGTTCCGGTGCTCGCTGGCAATCTTCCTCGTGCTCCCTATGTACATCAGCCTGAGGGTACGGGTGCGACGAGTGGTGATGGTCTTGCTCATTATCTTCGTTTACAAACTTGACCGGTGGGACGTGGCGCTCTTCTATTCGGGGCTGCTGATTGCGGACAGGAGTATAGACTGGCAGCAACGTTTGAAGAAGAGCCTGGATGGTAGCGCCGCCGGCGTGTCGTCTGCAATGGTCAGATCAACAATCCTTGCACTCAGCCTACTTCTTCTTTCTGCACCCGACTTTTGCATCTCCGAAACGCCTGCCTACAGAATACTGAGCAGCCTGATCCCGTCGTCTGACCCAGCGCCATTCCGGTTCATCCCCAATCTTGGAGGCATCATCCTAGTCGCTTTGGTCGCGCACACGGCACCATCAAATCTCCTCGTAGCGACACTCCTCAACTCATCCATACCACAGTATCTTGGGCGCATAAGTTACAGTCTATATATAGTTCATGGTCCGTTGATACACACGATGGGATACTGGTTGTTCCCTACGATGTGGAACTTGACTGGCCACGAGGAACCCTGGAGATACGTTATTGGCTTTCTGGCGGCGTATGGAACCTTTTTGGCAGTCGCTGTTATAGTTGCGGACTTGTTTTGGAGAGCGATAGACTCGCCATCTGTTCGCTTCGCAAAAGCAGTTCATGGAAAGGTGATGAGGGAGTAATCGGGCGTGGGAGGCAGATTACGCATAGAAAATCTCTTGGGAACAATACAACGACACGTAATCTATGAGCGCACCCTCAAAAAAACTCTGTGAAATTTAACTAAGGTCATTCTGGTAGTCGTCCGTGTTTAGCTCATGATCTCGCGCCCACCGCTGGATCTTCTCAAAATTGCGACACTTATGCCGCGTGCAGAAATCCGGGTCGATTCCCAGAGGCCTCCGTTCATCCTTGAGAATGAGATATGGTGTCACATCAGCTGTGCACTGCAGGTAGATTCTCAGACTGTTGATGCAATGGTCCACATGCTGGAAGAAAGCGTCTCTGTTAGCATTAATTCCGAGTCAGGCTGGGGGCACGGGGAACTTGCGTGGCGAACTTGCTCCGGAGTACCATCAAAAGCCGGCTGGCTGCTGTAGTCCCATTCTTCTCGATACGTGTACTGCCGGATGAGATCGAGACAGTGCAACTGGTGAAAGACTGCGGCGCGTGGCGGTCAGTCCCTTGCCTCTGCAACCTGGCTTGCACTCACTCACCTTCTAATGACCCGACAACGCCCCCTCCTTTATCCATCTTTGCTCTCTGCCACCCAGCGTCGCTGGACTTGTTGAGAGCATTCAGCTTGTCTAGCGGGATATTGACTGGTCCGACTTTGCCAAAGTCAGCATAACATCAATGCTCCTAGAGTTAGTAGGGCCATACAATTCCACAAGTCGAGCCACGCTTTCTCAAGTTCGCGTGTTGGTTTGCCTCTGTACGGGGACTTTTCGCTGAACCTGTTCTGGAACTGGACATCTTGGTACTCAACAGCTTCAAACGCTGGCGCTGTAGAATTCATTAGGCATATGCCCCTTCATTCGCGTGTGGGAAGCACTTACACCAGACAGACATCTTTGCGGTACATTGCGAGTCGCTCGGAGGCTTTGATGTACTAACTGCGAGAAGTATGACAGCGATGGTCGCTATAATCCAGGGAAGCAACTTCAGTATTGTCGGGCAACTCGCATAGCGTGATCTACGCCGCGGCGGCTTCTCATTTATGGGATAGTGCGACTCATCTGAGCCTTCTTCCGTTGCGACCGCATCATACTGATGTTGAGCTGCCATGGCGATGATGGCCTGCGACGGCATGTGGCTGGCTGAATGAAGCACTGAACGGGACACAGACTGCCGTGAAGGTCTTGACAATCCGGGCGACTCGAGTCGCCAACGCAAAAGACGGCTTAGAGCTGCTTCAGCCAAAACAGGAGCCTATCCGTAGTGACAAAGGAGATCAGCGACTTGCATACCGCGCATGGGTATGGGCACTTGGAATCGACGACATGCGAAACGTCTAATTGCATATGCATTACCGTGAGGACCGGCGATGTTGCTCCGGCACGGACAAAGGATCACTACATGTATTCACAAGGGCGATTGCTTTGTTTCACGGACATGACTCGGCTTGTGGGGATGATGACTGCATCTAATGCGACGACCGCAGAGTGACCTCTCTGTAAGCATGGTATGGAGTATGGACTGTTTTCAGAAAGAGCCGAGGTGGTACTGGGCGGCATCTCCGCACGACAAGCGGTCCCGCTCCGGACCGGGGCCAGATGTTCGGAATCGCAACGGCGACCTCGTTGCCCAATGCTAAGCGAGCGGAATTCTCGATGACAGACCTGCCTGAACTGGAAACAAACGAGCTGTGCAATCCGCGGTCCTCTTGCAAGGGTATGAGACCGGTTCAATTCCCAGGTGCGTCCGAGGCAGAAGCACTTACACGCCTCGCGGATAACGACACACCACATCATCTAGCCACAGAACCTCCCTTAGTATAGCCCGAACCGAGGAGATGCGAACAGTGAGCAAAGCGCAGAGAGACAGACTGCCAATTGCGCAAAGGCAAGTGAATAGCCATGGGTAATATAAACACATAAGTCGACCATAGAACTCCTGTCACCACTGCTCTCAGCCCATATCACTTGAAGTCTTGCCAGTGAAACCTTTTCGGATTCCACCTTTACACCCATTTTCAGATCTCACAATGAAGGCCAACTTCCTTATTGTCGCCCTCGCTGCCGCAGTCTCGGCCCTCCCGGTCCTTGACGAGCGCGGTTGCACCAGCTCCGTCGGCGAGGACGGCACCGTCGAGAAGCGCTGCCCCATCCCCTGGACCAAGAACTACGGCGAATATGACGACGTCGAGAAGCGCGGCTGCACGAGTTCCACTGAGGCTGACGGTACCGTGGTGAAGCGTTGCCCTATCCCCTGGACCAAGAACTACGGTGAATACGACGAGAATGAGAAGCGCGGCTGCACGAGCTCTGTCGGCGAGGATGGCAAGGTCGAGAAGCGTTGCCCTATTCCTTGGACCAAGAATTATGGCGAGTACAATGAGAATGAGAAGCGTGGCTGCACTAGCTCGGTTGGAGAGGACGGCAAGGTTGAGAAGCGTTGCCCGATTCCCTGGACCAAGAACTATGGCGAGTACGACTCTTAAGTTCTACGTCAATTCGCATATGGCCTAGGCTCGACTAGAAGCAACAAACCGAGACGTAAGTGTTGTCAATCATTGAGGCCTCAAATCTTTTCTATTTGTTAACACAACTGCAGACACGGGCCTCAGTGACAAGACTTGAAGATTGGTGTGACTGGCGAGCTGTGTGCCTGGATACTGAGTGTAGATAGAAGTAGACTTTAGGATCTGTACCCATCTGGTTCATTCAACATGGACCGGATATACTACAGCTTGCACCAATGACAACTTCTATCCGCACGAAAAAATAACTTCATTATTTGCGTCCGCGCGGAAATTGCTTTGTCTCGGACTGTCAAGTCTGCCCTGATGTCTGCTGCACTACGATACGAAACACTTCATGACAATGAAGGCGATTCGGGTAGGTTTGCGAATCTCGGAGGGACGTCCGACATCGGATATGAGGGGCATCGTGACGCGGGGCAAGCGGAAGAAGTTGACTATTCTCACACCAAGAGGCGAGCTGTAGCAGGGCCGTGGCGGAGTCCAAGCCGACCGCCCGGCGACGCGGAAGATGCAAGGCCGCTTACACACATCACAGAGTACAGCTCTAGTCTGCCACGGTGCCACCAGCCGCAGCGGGGCCGGCACGCAGAATGCTGGTCCCTGCCATCCATGGTATTCTCCGGACTCCATTTGTCGACGATATCTGCATACATGTTGGGGCCATCCATGGATCTTGTTGTATGCAGACTAGCCATGCGAGATATGTTAGCTGGCTCCTTCGGCGGGAGCGCTGCCAAGGTCCTCCGTGCAGGCGGCTCGACGGAGCTAGCCGCCCACCAATCTTGATCTCAGCCAGGTTCTGATCGCCAAGGGTTCGGTCGCGATGGGGGCTAGATTTCCCCACACGGCACGTAGCCGCTGTCCCTGCGGACCCTGCCTAGCTGCACACCCGCGGGGTGAAGGAGCATGCAGGGTCGAACCTCGCTTACGACTGAGGCGCCGGCATGTATGTACGGCACTCCAGCCTCGTTTACACGTCGCGACGGTTCGCAGTGGGGGTACGGCTGATGATGACCTTCCATACTGGCTTGTATGGTCTGGACTCTGGACTGGCCGGAAGGATCAGTCGCCTTGCCGTCTTCTCGTACATGTCGGCGTGTTTGCGAGGGGAACTTTTGACATTACGCGGATGACCCTTTGCTTAGGACTTGAGGGGTCAATGCGAGTCGTGCTGAGGAGGAAGGGCACCCGAGATTGGGGTCTCTGGCTGTCCCACGTATCCGCGCCTGGGCTCACCTGCTGTCATTGACGAATGTCGACTTACACCACTCTCTTGAGGCACGCAACACAGATGGCATACGACTACGTGAAGTAAGAACCATCGTACGCGGAATGCGAGATAGTTTAGTCGCTAATTGGCTCGAGGGCAGTCTGGAAGAAGACGTCGGCGGCGAGGATGCCGCCTTGCGCCCAGGCGGCGAGAAGCCTAACCACCTGGGACGAGTGCGGCGACGCCAGGCCATATACATGACAATCCTCAAGGCATTCAAGGACATACTCCTGATCTGCCTCTCCATCCTCGCCATCGCCGCCTGCTGGAAAGCCCTATCCTCCCGACCGAACCCCTTGCCCTGCGACTGCGGCGACTCCGTCGCCGAAGCCAAAGCCATGGGCTGCATCTACGACGACATGGCCCCCGCGTGGCTCCCACCACACTGCACCGACCCCGAACTCAAAGCCGAATGGGACAAGGCAGGCGACGGCCCCAACGGCCGATGGCAATATTGGGCGGACGCGAACCACACGCGGGAGCTGAGCGTGGAGGAAGTCAGCCTCCTCGCCGACACGCCGGGCGAGTACTTTTACACGACGCCGCGCTGGCACCTAATGCACTGCTTCTACTACTGGCGCAAGCAGCACAGGGCGAGCTTCACGGGCGTCACGATCGAGGGGCGGTATAAGAGCGAGAGGCACGTCAAGCATTGCGGGGATATGTTTCTGCATCCGCCGACTGGGTTGACGTACTCGTATGTCACGCTCAAAAGCAGCAGTCCTGATCCGCCCGAGTTTGAGCTGAGGCGGTTGAAGGCCGCGGGGATTGATCCGTTTGAGTTTGACACCAGGGCTGAAGCGCGTTAGGGGGAAGGTGTCCTTGGGGCGATTTAAGATGTCTAGTCAGCATATAAATAACGTGGCTGCCCTCATGACGACGACGGCATAATGCGAGTTGCATGAGTCGACACGAGACAACGTAGGGCACTGTGGCGTAGAGGGAGAAACAACGTCTTGTTTAAAGATCGGCCTGACACCATACTCCGGGGCAGTTCGTGAACGCCATAGAGTGTGGTTTCACCCTTCAGTCAGTACCCGCGTCCAGTCAAACTTCCTCCACCCCTTCTTGAACCCATCGATTCTCGGATCCTCTCTTGTCCATCGCCCCTGCTTCTTAATCACCTGCGGCTCAGCGCCCGCGATACCCCCGAGGACCTCGCGCGCAAAGAGATCGCCGCGAGGCCAGCGGTCCGCGTTCTCGACAATGTGACCCAAGCCGCCGTCGAGGCTGAACCAGGCATGGAAATATGGCATCTCCTTGGCGAGCGACCGCCGAAAGGCCATCCTGCCCATGCCCTCGCGCGCCTTGGCCTCTGTATCAATCACCTTGCGGTGCTGCGACCATTCCTCGTCCGACGACAAGAACGCTTCCTTAAAGTACGCTGGTGCCATCGCGCCCTCCTCGTATGGGATCGGCACTGCCACCATGGCCGCGTGTAACTTGCGCTGAGGCGCTGCCGCGTTCTCGTAAAAGATGACGTCGCGGCCCTGCTCGTGATACATCCGCGTCAGGCTCTTCATGAAGTTGCGAATTTCCTCCCACTCGTCGTCGTCGCACTCGAGCAGATTGGCGCGGTGCGAGATGGGTGCGATCACGGCCCCGCCCTCGCTTACCTCCGGTTCCGTGGCGAGTGTAAGGAAGACGCGCGTGGCCAAGGCAATGACTGGTGCGAGCGGCGGACGGCCTTTGTCCTCGTGGTGACAGAGCGGACACTTTTCGAGGATGCTGTTCATCTTCTGGAACTCATTGACGGCCATGTTGCGAAGGTTGATCTCGCTCTTGTGCACGCGCTTGGCCAGCTTCTCGGCGTTCTCGTCCATGTACTCGAGGTCGTCGTCGTACTTGCCGTCCTTGGCTATGCGCTCGGCAAGACGCATGCCCTCGCCGCCGGCCTGGCCCTTTGTTCGCCGTTCCTCGCTCACCATGTCCTCGATGGTCATGTCGGTGTTCTCCTCGACGTTTCCGCGCTCGCGCCCGCGCCGGTTCGTAACGGCCTTGACTTCGCCGCGAGCGCCTGCCAGCTGGCGATTGTGCATGACTCCTAGCACGACGGCGTCTGAGGCGGGGGCGCGAGACGCAAACGATGCCGCGGCTCGGTTGTATTCTTCCTCCAGTGCAGCCGCGTTGGGAGCGCGGCGCAGCTTGGCTTTCATCATCTGCGCCCGGAGCCGGTTGAGAGCCGTCTGGTCCATTGCTGGCGAAGCTTCTTCCGGAATAACTGTTCCCTGCTCGGGCTCAGGCGTAGGCTCCCTCACGGGATTCTTTCGCAGTCGCTCGCGGTACAATTCGCCTGTGGGCTTTTCCCGCTCCTTGTAGCCTTCGCCGTAGATCTTGCGTCTCTCCAGCTCGTCCTTTTCCTCTCGGGCATCGTCAAATTCTTCGAGACTGCCGAATCGCTCGATGGCAACCTCATCAATGGACTTGCCGCTCTCATCGGCCGTGTTGTAGACACCCCGAAGCTTGGTCATGCGCCACGACGAGCCCGCATCGCCAAAGGTGTAGTCGACTTTGCGCTCGGACACTAGCGTGGGATCTGATGGCGAGGTACCGTCGTTGATGGCTTGTAGGTGGCCTGCATTGAGCTCGCGCTTGTGGATGACGCGTTTTGGCTCTTCTCTCGGCGGCGACTTGGGCTTTCGGTCGGGTCGGTGGACGTGCTCCACGTCGAGGGCGGATGGCGCCGTCATCCACGCGTCGCGCTGCAGCGATGAAGTAGATGTGTCGACGGGGTCTTTGGCCGGCGTCTTCTCGTCGTCGGGGTACGGAAGGTCCTCATGGGGATCGCCCTTTTTGCGATGGGCGTCGTCGCCGTGGTCGCGCTTGGACTGATGGCTGTCGTCATCGTGAGACCGGCGGCTGCGCTTGTGCCTGTGGCCGTCTTCGTCGTCGCCGCGATGGCGCCGATGCCCGTCCCTGTCTCTGTCCCTGTGTCTATGCCTGTCGCGATCGCGCTCCCGGTCGTCGTCGCCGTGGCGGTGGTGGTGCCTGTGCTTGCGATGGCGTCGGTCATCGCGGTCTCGGTCGTCGCGGTCGCGCTGCGCCTTGTCGGCAGCAAGCGACTTCTCAAACGCATCGAGCCCGTCCATGTCTTCTGCCGCGAGGTGCTGGGGCAGCACGCGATTGACGGACGAGCTGCTGGTGAAGGACTGGTGATGCAAGGCGCAAGTTACGTCAGGCCAGAAGAGCTCTGGAGCGTCGAGCTTTGGTGGGGCCGAAGCCAAACTTCTGGTGGCAGGAGCCGGGGGCCTGGCGCCTTCCGTTTCCGCAGCGTCGGAAAAACGCCTCAGACGAGACGCGACATGAATCAATGCCTTTTCTCTCCTTCACCACGGATAAGACCCTATGAACCCGTTCATACGAAAGGCCAGGGCTGATGCCGCCTGGCACCGCGTCGGCCTTGCCTCGTCGTTTCCCGACCTCGGATCAGACGCCGACGGCGCTCGCATTGCGCCGAGGTGCAAAGCTTTCCATGTTCCCAGGGCAGATGGCACCTGCGAGCCTGGTCCGCCCGAGGAAGCTGACCTGGACCTCCCAGGAGACATGAAAGACCAGGTTCTAGTCTTCAAGTACAAGGGCAATTTCCATGCCGTAGACCACGTGAGTTTTTCGTGGGAATGGAGTGTTGAAGCCCCGCTGATCTCTCTCAGTCATGCCCTCACTCCTCGTTCCCTCTGTCTCAGGGCAGCCTCTTCGACATTGAGGACTTTGGCATCGTCCTCAGCGCCGGCCTCACGTGTCCCAAACACGGATGGTCCTTTGACATCTTCTCTGGCCGTTCAGACCGCGGCAACTACAAGCTCAAGGTCTGGGAGGTTCAGCTCCGGGAGCCGGCGTCAATTGACGAGAAGTCCGAGGCCGGCGAGATGGAGGTTTGGGTCAGGCGAAAGCAAAGAATGGGCTGATCGGCCACCACGGCCTGCTAGTTCAACACCCGCCATGCTGTCCGACGGACAATGAAGCAATCGCCAGTTGCACCGCCTGATGCCGGCATATTGGTGGACGGAGACGCTGGTGCGCTGTGGTCGCGGAGATGTCTGCTCGGCCAGTACGCCTGCTCTGCAATGAGTTGCCGTTGTCTAAAACTGGATTGCCGACACTTGCAAGTTATTCCCCGTCGCGGACCCGGATGTCTCTTGCACTACGATCAGGACACCCAAGGCAATGTTGGCACCGAGCGCCCAACGAATCCTGCTAGAGTCCGTGGCTTCATCGCCTTCAACCCACTACCGGAAGTGGTCACGCCCTGTCGACAGGCTCCACTGTAAGGGCGCAAGTGGCCGTCTCCAGTCACCGCGCTAAGCCTGGTGATAAAAGCATCCGTTACTGTCACATCTTCATCGGCATCAAAACTCAATCCTCTTTGCACGGCCAAGTCGGAAAATGACGACACTCATGAAGGACCCCGGCGAGACTTCTCTCGCCAAGTTGTTGTCGACGCTGACAACCACCCTCCACCCAACCACATACGTCTTCGCCACTATTAGCGATGGAGCCGCGCTGCCGCCCCTGGGCGAGATCCAGCTGCTGTTCCGCGAATCCGAGGGCATCACGGTGATTACCAGCAAAGAGTACGCGACGGCCAACAGCATTGAGTACTTCTTCCCATGCAAGATGATTACTCTGAACGTTACGTCAAGCTTGGAGGCGGTTGGGTTCATGGCGGTGCTCGCGACCCGGCTGGCCACGGCCAACATGGGGGTCAATCCAGTGAGCGGGTTTTATCACGATCATCTGTTCGTGCCGCTAGGCAGAGAAGAGGAAGCGGTGGAAATGCTGCGACAGGTTGCGGAGGAAAAGCGGCGAGAGACGGCCGGGGCTGAGTGACGTGACGTGGTTCGGCGCTCTGGGTATCGTCCTGCGAGAATCGAGCGAATCGCGCGATAGGGACGCGAATGCTACAGCTCACTTGCAAGGCTGGGCTTCGAAGAATCTCATGATGTGCTTAATTGTCATTTGGATCCCACTTATGTTCAAAATTGCCGTCAAAAGTGAGTTGTGCTCTCGTTTCAATTGCAGGCATGTTCCCCTCAACACCACGATCGCATAGTGCACCAGCCCGAGCTTTTGCCAGCCATCCAGTGATGTGAAAGCGTCTTTACGTCTCGTTGGACGGATACTGTACCTTTTCCAGCGGCGTAAAGTCCTCCTTGATGGATCTCACGCTCGTGAATCGCTGTAAGTGCGCCATCGTCCCGGTCTTGTCGTTTGTGCCCGAATCTCGACTTCCTCCAAACGGCTGCTGCGCGACAGCCGAGCCAGTGCACTTAGAATTGATGTACAGCATGCCAGCAGCGTGCTTGAGTTTGTCCTGCGCCTTCCTGGAGGCGTACGGGTCGAGGGCAAAGATGCTTCCTGTCAGGGCGTACCGTGACGTTGTGTCAAGGATGCGAAGCGTCTCTTCAAACTTGCCATCCGGGTAGACATAGACGCTGAGAATAGGGCCAAAGAGCTCTCGCGACATGAGGTCGTGTCGAGGGTTAGTCGTGCGGTATACTGTTGGGTGGACGTAGTAGCCTTCGTCCTTGCATGCCTTGCCACCCACGATCAATTCCAGCTCTGGGTCGTTCTCTGCCTCTTTAATGACCTTGGCGAGCTTGTCGAACGAGCGCTCGTGAATGACGGGCGTGATAAAGTTGGGGAAGTCCTCGACGCTGCCGACTTTCAGTTGATCGACCTGCTCCACGAGGTGTTTCTTGTACTCGGGCCACGCCGACTCCGAGACGTACACGCGCGAAAGCGCAGAGCACTTTTGACCCTGGTACTCGAACGCAGCTCGTACAGAATGGAACGCGGCGTTCCTGGCGTCGGCGGACGAGTGCACCACAGTCCAATTCTTGCCGCTCGTTTCGCCGATAATACGCGGGTACGAATTGTACGTGCCGTTGCCAATTTGATCTCCAATCTTCTTCTGAATACCCTTGAACACCTGCGTCGACCCAATGAAGGTCAGAGCTGCAAACTCAGGTCGCTTCAGGATAGTGTCGGTGACTTCCTCGGCGTCTCCGGGAAGGAACTGAATCACGTTCTTCGGAAGACCGGCCTCCAGCAGAATCTGGTGAAGGAGATGTGCTGAATGCAGCGCCGAGTCGGACGGCTTCCAGATCACCACGTTGCCGAGCAAAGCCGCTGGACCAACAAGGGTAGCTCCCAGCGCCGTAAAGTTGAAAGGTGCAATGGCGTAGACGAAGCCCTCCAGCGGTCTATACTCCATCTTGTTCCATTGCCCGGGGAGATGGACCTTGGGCTGCTGCGCGAACAGCGACCACGCCTCTTGGACGTAGTATCTGAAGAAGTCCACGGTCTCTGCCGGGGCATCAATCTCCGCCTGCCAGATGTTTTTGCCCTGGCTCAGCATCGTGGAGGCATTGAGATTCTGCCGGTACTTTCCGGCAATGAGCTCCGACGCGCGGAGGAAGATGGCCGCGCGGTCTTCGAATGGGAGGGCCTCCCATGCTGGCTTGGCCTTGAGCGCAGCGTCAACCGCGGCGTTGACCTGGTCTGGGGTTGCAACGGCGTACTCGGCGATTGACTCGCGGTGGTTGGAAGGGTTCACCTGAGTACGAGTCTTGTGTGTTTGAACCTGGTAGGCGTTAGACAAGGCGTATAAAGCCTAGCAGGGCGACTTATCTGACTTACCTGAACGCCGTCGATGGATATGGGAATGTTGACGGGCAACTGCTTCTTCAAGTTCTGCAAGGCCGTCACAAGCTGTGCCCGCTCTGGAGATCCCTTTGCATATTCCAGCTATTTGCAATATTAACGTCAGTGCTGGAATATGAGACCAAAGATCGCAACCACATACCATTGGCTCATTCTCAAATTTTGGAGGGTGAAGTATCGTCATTCTCCGGGCGCTGGTTGGCGCGACCATGCGCATCACCGGCCGTCGCCAACCGCATCCTACAGCCAATCTGGTCGTGGAAGCCATCGTTCTCATGAAGACCGAAGAATACACGTCTCAACCACAGTGCTACACCTGTCGTTGTAGAGCTGGATGCATGGCTGTCCAGTTATTGTACCTTGTCAGCTGGTGTAGGCCGTTGCAGCCCACTTCGGAACACTCTTCCGACTCCAGTCACACAGGCCGTTTCACCGCTCTGCTGGCATGATGATGCCGGTGATGAGAGCTCCGCAAACAAACCGCAACCTCCGTTGGCGCTCACGATGCCCGACTGGCTCATGGATCGGGAGATGGCCCCGGAGGCGGTTGGTATGGGTTGGGCTGCGCAGGGCAACGAACTGCTGGAGCAAAGACGGGCGGAGCGTGATTCCGACAACGCGGGAGGCAAGCTGCAGCCGTCCACACTCGCCAATACTTGAACTGAGCCGTAATCCAAGCCAAGAAACTGGTGCAAAGGAGCTGTATTCTCCGTAGTCTCCCGGAATACCATGTTAGGAGGCCACTTCGTAAGCAGGCATGTTGCCAATCTGGGGCTTCGCGGTGGTGTGGTGCGGCCTGCAGGCTACCGATTTGCCAGCACTGTCGTCGCCGCAAGACGTCCCGCCGAACCAAGCATCAAGCCGCCGCCACTTGGGAGGATGCCGTTGAAGACGCTCATTCGGTCCTTACTGTTGACGTCCTTGATGGGAAAGCGATGGCTACTCCGGCCATCTTTAGCAGCGCTTAACTTCATCTGCCGGTCAAAGTCAGGCTTCTTCAACCCCGACAGAAATTGGGCCCTTAACAAGATACTCCGCTGGGTGATATACGATCAATTTGCCGCGGGTACAAATGCGGCCGAAGTTGCTCGAAAGTCGCTAGAGTTGAAGCGCATGGGTTTCCAGGGTATCATACTGGGCTTCGCAAAAGAGTTTGTGCTTGAGGACCCATGTGACAGCAGTCACGCAAAACATGAGCAGGGATACTCGGCAGCACAATACCATGTCATCGACAAGTGGAAAGAGGGAACATTGGAGACTCTTCGAATGATCAGCGCAGGGGACTTCCTTGCTATCAAGTACGCCATTGCCCAATGCGTCTACATGTCAGGTTCATTGGTGCTGATCGACTCGCAAGACTTACAGGTGCTGGGCCCATTGCGTTGGATGCAATGAGGGACAAGCAGCCGATGCCAAAGCCCGTGGCAGATGCAATGAAGGAAATATACGAAGAGACAATCAGGCAAGGGTCTCGCATCTGGATCGACGCGGAGCAACAAGCGCTGCAACACGGCCTGGACGAATGGGTCATTGATCTTATGCGGCAATACAACCGGAATGGAGAGGCGCTCATCTACAACACCATTCAGGCGTATCTTAAAGGCTCCCAGGCAAATGCGTGTCGGCATCTCAAGCTGGCAGCCGAAGAAGGCTGGACTGCTGCGATTAAACTCGTTCGCGGCGCGTACATTGAGAATGAAGTTCGTTCTCTGATCCACAACACCAAGCCCGAGACAGACAGATCATACAACTCCATTGTCAACATGATTCTCACGCAAAGGTGGCCTACTGGACAGGAGGCAGACAAATTTCCTTCTGTGGCTCTCTTCCTGGCCACGCACAACACCGAGAGCGCGCAAAAGGCTTTGGCGACACATCGGGGACGAGTCGCCGCCGGACTCCCTACTGCAAAACTGGAATGCGGTCAGATCCAAGGCATGGCCGATGAGCTAAGCTGCCTTTTGTTGGAGAACTACGAAAGCTGCGCGCGGGGCGGCGAGGGTCAAGGTGTAGCGCAGGCGCCCGGCGTCTTCAAGTGTTTGAGCTGGGGCTCGGTGTCGGAGTGCATGGGCTATCTTTATCGCCGCGCTGTTGAGAACCGGGGAGCGGTCGAGCGCACTGAACATATGCTGAAAGCTTTGAAGCAGGAATTACGTCGCAGGGTGTTTGGGTAGACAAGACTAGAGCAAGCAGCAAGAAATTCTTGGCTTTGCGCCATGTTCACAGACTTGCATTTCGCCACGTCTGTCGGACACACGAGGCAATGGGCATTACAACACACATTGCTAGCGTTACTGGACGACGTTGCAAAAATGTTAAGCACATGCTTCTGACTACCGCCCAGGCTACCTTCACATTGACTGTATCAAGATGAAAGTGGTGCCCGCACTGCTGGAATGTACTGTCACATCCGCGACGTTAGCCCAAGCGTCACCACGCGCGGACACATACTTACGGGTATGATCTGGGCCTTCTCTAAATCCCACACGCCGCTTTTTGCGTATATATCGCTGTGGATAATCGCGCGCACTTCCTCGATGCTCTCTCCGGTATACACGACGGCACTGCCCTTGAACGCCGGAAGTTCGTCCTTGTCGGGGTGCGACTCAACCATCGCACCTGTCTACGTTGTCAGGCGTGCCCCCTTGCAAGATTAATCACGCGTACCTCCCGCAACCAGCCGACCGGACGAAATCAGAGGCTTGATGCCCTCGTAGTGCGCTCTGAGTAGCTGTGAGACTCTACAAGGAATGCGTTGGACGATACGGTTCTCGGCTCACCCCTTGACGCTCTTACGAAGATCGGATACATTTGGCTTGTCTGGTATGATGCAAAGGAACTCCTTGTGACCTGTTGTCAGAGCGTGCCTGTTGGCCATTGTGCGAGAGCTGCCAACGCGAAAGGCGCGGCGTGTACTCCGGAGCGACGCTCCGACCGGCACCGACCGGGATAGCATTGCTCGCGGTGTGTGTGATGTAAGGGAATGCCCAGCGAGCATGGCGGCTCAAATGGCGTAGTGATGTGCCAGAGTAACTCCTCGCCTTCATGTTCTTTTATGGCGCTTCAGCAGCAGCTAATGTTCCATCATATTCTGGCTCGGTATGTGTTCGGTACAGTACACCAGAGGCTCGGATGGCGCTCCAAACAGTGTCGGATGTTGGTTCCGACGCATGATGCCTTTCGTAGACAGCCACCCCGAGCTTCGGATCCGTGCGCCGATGAGTCGGACTATGGGGCTGTCCACGGCGGCCGACCTGCGACCGTACAAGTAGATAAAACGTTGTGAGGGGTGATTGTGAAGGACAGAACAGGCGTATTAGAATTAGACCGCAGTGCAGTATAGCCAAAGCATCAAATTGCTCGAGATGACAATCTGCTTTCCTGCAATTGCCCCCTCCGCTCGGGCCGCCTTGTTGGTGGCGCGTCGCTCATGGCGCAGTGCCCTGAGGCCGATTGCGGTCCGATCAGTGACAACCAACACCCCTCACCCTTCGCGGAGCGCAATGCAGCCGGTCTTCACTTCCAGGGGAGTGACACGTGAGTAGAGCACCGCTCTGTCCCCACCGCACTGTAGGGTCATGCTGAGTGAGCAGCCATCGGACCGTACTCGCAGGCCATCAAAGCCAATGGCTTGGTCTTCGTTTCGGGCCAAATACCTGCAGAAACAGACGGGAAGCTCATTGAGGGTACCACGGCGATGAAGACGCATAAAATGTGTCAGAATGCAAAGGCCGTTCTAGAGGCTGCCGGGTCTGGCCTTGACAAGGTCGTCAAGGTCACGGTAAGTGTCTGGGCACAACATCATACATCCACATCACGTACTCATATAAGACGTTATAGGTATACTTCCAGAACATGGATGACTTCAAAGAGATGAATGAGATCTATGCGACTTACTTCCCGCACAAGCCTGCGCGGAGTTCTTGCGAGGCCAGGAGATTGCCAGCAAGCGCGAGCATGGAAATGGACATCATAGCTCTATACTAGACCACGTAAACAAGAAGACCCGCTGGCGAACAGTCCGCTTCTACTTGGCGGGCGCCTGGCTTAAGTGATCATCCGGATCTTAAGAAATGTCAAGAATTGTCGTGATGCAAATCTTCATTCCCTGGAACTATCCAAGGACCCGGGGGCCGAATCGGTCGGGCGGTGTGGGGACTTCGGATCTACGCGCCACCGTTTGTATGTTTGACACTCAGCACTGAACACTCCGTATCCTTTTGCTGCCGCCTGCAAAGCGGCCCAGCCGGTGGCCCGTACTGTATCACAAGCAGGGGTTAGGAGGACACGCCTCGGAACTTAATAATTCTGAACCACCAACGAATCTTCACTGTCCGGCCTATGGCCACGAACTGCCCAATCTGCATGCATCTTAGTCAACCTGTAACATCAACCAACGAGAGACGCGCCAAGTCGCGTGACAGGTTCTATGTTCGTTCCGGAAGAGAGGGGATTCGGCATTGACGCTGTGACCAGGTGGGGGAACAACCCTGCATCCATAAAGCCTTCTGGCTTCGATTACAGCTCGGAGGACCGGCCCAAACATTAGATCATCGTCGCCGTTTGTCGACTTCTTCCGATGAGCTTAGAGTACAGCAGGGACATGCGATCGCCCAGCGGTAATCGACCGAATCGAGTCATCAAAAAGTGCTCCAAGGCGTACGGCTGCGCCCTCATCAATTCACTTCCTCAGCTAATAGCCGATAGATGCGAACGATGCCGCATCCATAAAGTCAAATGTTCTGGCTCGCAGCCCTGCACCCGATGCGATCGAAAGAAAGAACGGTGTCACTTTGTGTTCGAGGAGGAGAGGATATCTATTCCTAAAAGGTACGGCTGGTGCTGGGTCAATCGGCCAATATCTAATCGTCGCATCCTAAACAGCTATCTGCAACAACTCTTGAGTCGAATCGAATTGCCCCGAACGTCAGTTCTCAGCGCGAACGAACTTCGGACCATAGATCCGCATACCGACCGACTTGGAAATGAAAACAGCCATAATCCTGATGAATCGATGGAAGCGGCGTCGGAAGAACGCCAAGATATGGTTGGGGTCGTAGGGCAGGACCGTCAATCTTTGCTGTCGCCCGCCGGATTGACGCAGGCAGATGCACCAGATCGACGATCTGAAGACGAGACACTCGCCGAGAACATCGGCTCAGCAACCACCATGGTAGAGCCAGTCTTCCAACAAAATCCTCTGGGAGACAATGATCACACATTTGCTCCGGCGCTTGGGAAGTATTGTCAGTTGAGCCAAACGACAAAAAGCATGCAGTAGATTTCGCTAATGTTGCAACGCATAGGGTACATGGGACCGACGTCGTCATGGTCTTTCTGCCGACGCGTTTTTGCGATGCTAGGAAAGCGAATCCCCGATGCGGCACCTGATCCGTGGCATGGCCCTGATAGAGGGGCATTTCCGTTGCAATGGACTCCCCTCGGCCCCAATGAGACGCCCGACGTTAGCAATTTGCCACCGTTGGACTATGTGCTACTACTCTTTAACACAGCAAAGTTCTATCTCGGGGTCCTCTTCTTACTGATTGACGAAAATGCTTTCATTCAAGACATTCACAGCTTGTACGAGAACCCCGTTGCAAAAGTTCGTTCGTCAAGATACTGGTATGCTCAGTTCCTGCTCATACTGGGATACGGAAAGGCATTCCAGGTCTGTAGTCGCAGCCGTAGCCCGCCAGGGTACCATTATGCTTTGGCAGCAATGTCTCTTCTCCCAGATCAATCTGGGCTGAGCGCGGAACCGATCCACGCCATTCAGAGTCTAGTGCTCGCTGCACTATACTTTCAGAGCGTGGATATGAGAGTCGCCGCTTTCCACCACGTAAGACTTAGCCAAGGTGGCCGCGGACTAACGTAGCGAGCTGACGTACGACGTACTCCAGATTGGCCAGGCCATGCGTATCTGTCTCGTTGAGGGAATACATAGACACATGCCCGAGCACATAGTCGGTGCTGACCACTCAAGGCGATGTAATACTGTGTTTTGGGTTGTGTACATTTTGGACAGAGAATTTGGCGCCTTGATGGGTGTACCGCATTCATTGCCCGACGAAGACATCACCGTGAAGCTGCCTTCGCAACTCGACGGTTCGATTGACGCCATGAACATGGCGTTGCACGTGCAGCTATCAGGATTGACGGCAAGGATATTCACAAGTAGGTTCTCAGTCTTGCAAAGGGTGCAAAAGTGTTGACCGAAGAGCCATCAGCTGTCTACGGCTCTGGAGGAGCGTCCGACGGGTCTCTCATCCCAAACACGCAGTCCATACTCAGAGATCTGGCACGAGTATCTCAGGACCTGACAGACTTCTTCAGGACACATTTCCAAGGGTCCGTGAGCCGCGCATCCAGGATGGCACAGAGGTTAATGATATCATATCATCATGTAAGTGGTGTGGCGCGTCGCTGCTTTCGCCGGAGGCCACGAACTGAACCGACACAGTGTGTTGTCCTCACTACACGACCTCTGGTCATGTGTGCACTGCAAATGCATGTCGAAAACGCCGACGCCCAAACGCCAGAGACTATTCCATTGACACCGCCGGTACGGTCGCTGTTGCAGTCATGCGTGGACTCTGCGCAAACCGAACTGAGGATGATGCGTGCGTTGGCAGACGAAGACCTGCTAGGTAAGGACTGCGGGACTACGGGTTTGAGTCCTTTTTAGCTGAAGCTAAACTATTCTAGATTCGTTCTTGCCCTTCCAACTTGAGGCGGCATTTTCCTCGGCCTTTGTGCTTTATCTACTCCGGGTCATAAGCCCCTCGCTTCTGCAGGATGACGCGTGGTGCAACAACATCCAACACGTCCTCGACAAGATGATTGCAGATGGTAGCCTTGTAGCCCCTCTGCGAAAAGTAGAACTCAGTCAGCTCGAGCATGTCATGGCGGCACTGACCCCGGAGAAATGCAAGCCGCCACCCTCAGTGTCTGGCGACAGTCGATCAATGCCAGCTGATCTAGACTGCTCGCTGTCCGACGATATACTCAATAACCCATTTTGGGACATTTTTGTCACTGACGGGGTGACCGGTTTGCTTCCACAAGAGCTCATGGAGTTGGCGGACCGACTTGATGTCGATTTCCTGCCAGACTCACATTGACATCGGCGACTGGACCGTACGGAGCTTGACAACTTTGAACTGCGCCTGCCGCTTGCTTGTAATTGATGTCCCGGCTTTCTCGTGCTTGGCCAGCGCTGTGATTCGGCTGTAGCGATAGGGTGGTTTCGTTCTTACGTCGCCTGACATCATCGTGCAGCTGCGCGAAACCTATTTTGGTTGCGAACAACAGTGCCTGGCCTCTGTGGCGGTGCATCTTTCAGAATTAACCTGAACTATGTGCAGCAACAGTTCTGGGGAGTTCAGTCGAGGTAGATACGGTAGTGACGTTGGGCGGCTTTTGTTACACTGGAGAATATCGTATCCTCAAACTTCGCTGTCACAGGTCCTCCAGGCTTGCTCAGGAGGACACCCCATTTAGCCGTGTCCTTCTCGGAGCACGGAAGCATTTCATTGAGCTAACAAACAGGGACATGCTGAAAAAGACAAGCTACGTTACCAAACCCTGTCCACCAAAATATACGTAGAAGTAGAAAGTCGTGAGTTGCCCTGGTTGGTTGTTCTCGTAGTGTGCTCATATTTAACTCGTAATCTGCTGGCCTATATATCCCAGCTATTAGCAAGAGCCAGAAGTACCGCACGAGGCCATGTGTCTTGACTTACCGAAGCACTTGAAGGAACCAAGGACAGCGGCCGTTCTGCAGTAGCCAGCGCAAACTCCGTATTTGTTATCGCCACCAGCCTCCTCCCTTCCAAAACACTTCTGCCTGCAATCATCCGCTGTAAACGTAAACCGGTCAGCTTCCTTTATCGCTCCTCGGGTGCTCCACGTTGGTTGCTGGCATGACTTACCGTACTTGTATACGTCATCGGGAAGGTGACCGCCATTCTTGCAAGCCGGAACATCGTTCCATGTCAACTCTCTCTCCTCAAGGGCTGGCGACATGGAGGGAAGTGCGGCCGCCGCGCTCAAGGACAGAAGCATAAGTTGGAACTTCATTTTGTCTTGATGTTGTGGTGTATGTAACGGAGAAGTTGAAGCAGTAAGGGTCTGAGTGTTGTCTAGTGTATACAGACTGGGGCAAGACTGGCTCTCAGTCTCTACTTATAGACAACGTCATCGGATTCCCTTCTCTCTGAGTTTTGCATGGAATGCAGAAGACTAGGGTCTGTTAACTGATTGCACTTGCCAACCCAGCCATTAGTTGCGCATGATCGCAGCCTCTCGCCCACCCCCACCCCCGCAAATAGCTATTTGACCGCTGAACCGCCAAAGCTAATGACCCCGCGAACCGTTATTCAGGTTTCCAGTTGAGAGCTTGCTTATCGAGTGGATTGCCAAGGACGTACGCCCCCCGCTACGCACGGTGGTGACGCCGGCAGATAGCACCCGGAAGCCGGAGATGGGTCCCAAGAGTCTAACGGACACACGTGTCTTGCCTCACAAGTGGCGTTTGACAACCCGCATAACAGCCATGTGCGCCCGTGACCATTGTGTTGCCCTGGGACCAGCCTCTCCAACACTGTGGATTATCCGCAATTACAGGATCGCAACCCCGCTTTTCGGAGCCGCGATGGAATCGTCTTTGGAACTTTGGGGATGGCGTCTCCCGTGGGGATTGATTGGCCCAGCCCACCAGGTCCGAGTGTAAGTGGCGGAATACGATGCAAAAATAGCAAATCTCTCAATGGCGTGCGCCAAGTGACGAAAGTTAAGGCACACAGCCCACGGCAGGGACTCGCAGATGGCCAAAGCTTGGAGGCGGTCGCTCACATGGCGCGTCTGTGCCCGGACGTGGAGAATTGCAAGGTGGATCGCCATTGATTGCCTCTACGCGTAACTTGGATACTGCTTGTGGCCGAACGATCCGGCCTCGGCATGAGGAGACCACCGTGGCAGACCGATCCTCAGATCATTGACCGCGGCGGCTGGGCATGTGATGTGTCTATGGACAAGATCAAGAATGACTTCTGGAGGATGAAGACCTTCTTCGGTCTGTTGCGTGGAGAACATGTAGCAAGCTATGTTATGTTCGTGTTTCACGTCATTTGCCGTCTCGAGTAGTTGCAGAGTGTATACAACGGGAAGTGCTCGATTGAAGAACGCACTCTGCATCAATTAGTAAGATGGGCACAGTAAATTGCAGTAAGTACGATACTGTGCTGACGTATATTCGTCAATCATGCCGTGGAATAAGGAAGCTTTGGCCACAAGGTCGTGTTTCAAGATATCTATCACGGGATAAGATCCATGCACGATAAGGCTGTGCTTCCATCGTGTACAATGCTTTCCCCCATATCCTCAATAAGAGCTCCACGTTCTTTCGGATCCGCCTGTTGGGAGTCCAATGTTGGGATAGTCCCACGTGCGATAGGCTGGTGACCAACACGACGATGAGCGCGACTCCGCATCGCACCAGATGAACGCCAGGCTGGGGCGCGTATTACCAGCCTCACGCTGCCGGATTGGTGATCCATGACTCCATGACGATAGGCAGCACCTTGCCGATGCCAGGAACGTCTAGTCTGCGGCGAGCAGTCTTAGCGACCTACGTTATAAAGGCGTCTATATCTCAATCGCTAACACCCATCCAGACTACTGCATCACTGCTCAGTTCACATAACATCAAGCAAGACTCCCTTGGCTCCCGAGCTGCCTGATACCTACCGCCACCATGCCTGTTCTAGATCTGGGTGTTCTAGACCCTCTCGACGACGTCTTGAAAACCGTTGGTTTCATTGGTACAATCTTGGGCATTGTCAATTTTGGCATGGCCAATGTACCCAAGAGGCCCAATCGAGGCGCGACTGTACGCATCAAGGTCGGGACGTCTGGCAAGCAGGATGCTCAGCTGGTAAGTCAAGCTGCTTTCGCGTGATTGGTGCGCAAGCTTACCTCAAATCGACCAGGACGGTGGAATCAACTCTGTCTATGCTTGGGACAGCGACAATCTCTACCTAGGCGCCACGGATGGAGACTACATCGACTCCGGTGATGTGGCAGATTATGTTATCGACTCCATATCCGGTGGAACACGCGCTGAATATGTCGCTGTCTCTGCCGCCAGGAACGCCATTTGTATCGCCTGGATCACCGTTGCCATGTTCGACGGAACAACCGGTGGAGCGTGGACGGGCGACGTCGGCCACTATTGTGGCCAAAGTTGGTACCCACAGCACGAGAAAGCAGGCTGGCTCGACGACAAGAAAACTAAGCCATACATTCCGAAGTGTACCTGGATCGACAGAGACCACAGCAATAAGATTAAAGGTGCTGCATTGAAGTTTAGTGTTAGTGGATACGGAGATGATGTGGTCAAAACCGTGAAGAATGCGAAGGTTTGCAAACTCAGCATCTTTGGCGCGGACAGTGGACCGATCTCGAGTACGTCAAATTCCTTGGTCTTTTCTGCTAACACCATCCGGTGTACTGACGTTTCTGCTCAGAGAGGCCAGCGAAGCGAGAGACCCCTCGCGAACGCCTTCCATGGATGGAGAACACCTTGGTGGTGTCGAACATCACGCAGCACACTGCCGAGGAGGTGTGCTCGTCGGCCACGTCTTGGGGCCCCGACTTTATTGGATCCGACGGCAAGTTCTGCGACATGGGCGCTAAGGTTCTGAGCCCGCTGTGCTCCACCGAAAATGTTGCCGGTTGCATCGACATCAACAGTGAAAAGAAAACGGCCACGAAGCGCAGTTTCATCGGAAAGCGCTCCGTCGATACTCCCCACAGGACGTACGAGGATATCAATAACTGGCAGTAAGCCGGTACTGCTCTTCGCTCTTGCACTCGGTTTCGTTATTCACTGCAGCCCAGACTGGGCCGCCGGTTGCAGTCTAGTGGGGATTATATGTGCATAGTTATTCTCTTTCTTTATGATGCACAACCTAGTTGAGTAAATGTCGTTATAGTGAAAACTTGAGATCAACTGCTATATGCCTGAGCACCCGGTGGGACCTGTTGGTCGTCCTGAAGAGGGTCAATGGTAGTCAATTGTCGATCATGATATAGCGCTGTACAGCAATAGTTCAGGCGCGCGATATCACCATTGATGTATTGGCGGCTCTGTCTAAGATTGGCCTGCCATGTCCTCCGGGGATGCTCACATGTGTCGCAATTATTGGGTTCGTGCGCAAGTCAGCCGCTACTTGCCAGATGCCTTAGGACTCTCCACGACAGAGAGTTATGACATTTAATATTACTACAGCATACTACTCCACATGGCTAGACTGTGGCGAAGGCGTCTGAGGGTGCATGACACTGATCACCGAGAGGACCAGAGCGAGGTTTTACCGGCATCGTCAAATCAGGCAACCCAATACCAGGCCTTTTCGAGCCAGTTCTTAGGTATGCGGGGCTCATCCATTGCTTCAAGCTCATCCATTTCCCTCTTCCCCGTCAAAACATCAATATCCTTGGTCGGAATGTAGAGTGGGGTGCGAGACCAGATCTTGTGGCCAATATATATCGCCAACATTATCGGCAATGTGATGTATGCAGCCACAAAAGACTTGGTGTCCCACTGGCCCGCAAGGAAGATTTGAAACCCTTTTGTGATCGTCAAGAGGGTAACTATGATCAGCGATATCCACGTCTTGTATGGCTGAAAGTACGACCGATAGGGCAGAGTGTCAAGGAGCCCATTGTACTGCATTGCTCTTCTGAAACGGAGATATGTGACGCAAATGATTATCCAAGATATGAAGCCGCATCCAATGATAATGTTGACCAGCCAGTTGAAAACAGTGACACCAGAATTCGACACGTTGAGAAAGGCCAGAAGACCGATAGACCACGTCGTGACGACCGCGACCCAAGGAACGCCCTGTTTGTTTGTGGTTCGGAAGATGCGAGGCGCGTCGCCGTCCTTGGCAAGGGAGTATAGAACTCGACTTCCCGAAAACACGAAGGAGTTTCCGGTAGACCATGCCGAGGTCAAGATGCAGGCGTTGATAATGTGATTGAGGATCGGAATCCCAGCGTTCTTGATACCGATCACAAACGGAGATGAGCCGGCATCAGACGCCCCCAAGAGATCTTTGTGATCGGATGGTACAACGATACCAACGATGAGAGAGGAACACCCGTAGAAGAGAACCAGGCGCCAGGCAAAGCGACGGGCTGCTTTCCGGATATTCCGCCGTGGTGCAACGGTTTCCCCGGCGGCAATGGCGATGAGCTCTGCGGAAAGCAGCACAGCAAACGCCGCTTGGATAAAGGCATACCAGAATCCGAGGAATTGACCAAGGCTCCCTTTGGCACCAAATTCCTTGAATGCGCTCAGGGGAGCTTTCCAGTATGAGAAGCCCAGTATTCCATGTTGAGCTGGGCCCCCGCCAAAGAAGATGACAATGCCGACGATAATGAACCCGAGGATTGTTATAAATTTGATGCTGGAGAACCAGAACTCTGCCTCCCCATAGTAACTGACGGAGAAGATGTTAAGAGCCAGTTCGACGGCGAGGATGATAGCGATCCAGAGTGCAACATTGACGGGCGGCTTCCAGTACTCGACTATGATCCCGGCCGCTGTGGATTCGGCACCTATCAGAATGGCATAGGCAAGCCAGTAGTTCCAACCGGCCGTAAATGCCACGCTCGGGTCGAGGAATCGCCCTACCAGGTAGGGAATGGTGACACCTCGCAGCGGCAAGTACGTAACCATTTCGGCAAGGCAATCCATGATCACCCAGACGACGAGGATCATGCAGATGTATGCAAGGAAAAGCGAAGCCGGGCCCGTAGTGGCAAGAATCGATCCCGATCCGATGAACAAACCGGTTCCGATTGCGCCGCCTGTTCAGCTAGTGTTAGTCGTCTCATGGCCAACCGTCAAATAGACAAGTTGGCATACTCAAGGCCATAAACTGAATGTGACGACTCTTCAGTCCACGGTGCAATTGATCCTTCTGATCACCGAGGGCCAAAATAGAGGACTCGCCAACGCGGCCGTCATGATCAAGAGGTGGCGAATCGTGTCCGCCCGCTTCGTGGTGTTTCGAAAACATGTGTGATCTCAAGGCCAAGCAAGGCAATGTCGAATCCGGAAACAACAGCGACGATCTCCCCGGAAGCGAAGTACAAGTGAGACATGCTTCTTCCTTTATATGTGCACGTAGCAATATAGATACGTCGTATACATGCAGATATTGATTGCTGCCAAGCCACCTGTAGACATGCGCATCAATCTCACGGCAACGTTCTTCGGTGGTCAAAACGTCTGGTTTGCAGGCAATTGGCCAATCACAAAAGACGACTCAACACCCCACCGGAAAGTGCATCCGACACAATGACCTACGGAGATCAAATTTCGTCGCCCGGGCTGGACCAACACGGTTGAAAGCAACGCGAGCTCGGGATCGAGCTCCGACGTGGCTCTCGTAAGGAGGCACTCCGCGCCATCACCGCATGCGACTGGGTGAGCAACCGGCAGAGCGACGCTCTTTTGGTAGTTTCTCTGTGGCGCACTGCTGTTAAGCGCCGGCGGTATGCTGCCATCTTCAATGAGACCGTGGATCAGGCCTCAGGAGTCAGGAGTTTGGTGAGACACGTTGCTTCGACTGGAGAACTGTGAAAGAATGCGTTGCGGGGAAGGAGAGCGCACAAGCGCTATGACAGCTGTGGATGCTGCCATCAGTTCACCGTGCTCACCATGGATGTGTGGGCCGACCGCCAAAAGCAACAGGCAACCTACCGACTCAACGTGCTTCGAGTTGAGGCCCGGAGAAACGGTGGAAAGCTGCCGCGAGGGTGACTGAAAGTCGTCGCAAAAAAAATATTGGGTTCCACAGGAGAAATGCTCCGCCATGGAGTCTTGGGAGGTACGAATGTACATGCAGACATGATTAGTACAGGAGGTCATCCGTGACGCTGAAGACATGCTTGTCATGCATTTCCTACAGCGCTTCAAGGAGGCAGCCCGCACCCATTAACTGGCACAACCCTTGAAACGTCTAGTTGTTGAACTTGAGCATACCTGTCACAGCACAGCGCACCCTCTAGGATGGATAATTATTCTGCTACTGTGACTGGAGTGCTGCGCTCGTCGAGCCCGCGTTCGGATGACTCCGCGAGCTCCATTCTGTAGGGTAACTCAGCCCATGTCGAAAAGTGGGACTGATACTTTTGCTGTGATATCGGCGGACGTTTCTTTACGAATCGTTCGGAAAATGGGTTATCTGGCTAACTTACATGTTAGTTATCAACTTGCACGTCGCTGTTGAAAAGCATATCAAATCGTCGCCAAAGAGAATGCTGTTATATATACGATACAGCGCGCCCGTTCACACACAATTTGCTTCCAACCTGTGACTGACACCGACCGCCGGCGACGCTCTTTAGCTTTGACCACGGCGGATATGAGCCGGCCCAACGGCATCAAAGACCCCACCACGATGTTTCCAAATCAGGTCGCCGAGCGTCCGAGATCGGGACACCACAGATCTCGCAGGGCGTCAAGTGCCCGAAGCCACATGGCTCAAATCAACCAGTGGGCTGATGCGGAGTTGGTCAGGTGAGCCGTGCGCTGAGCTCTCTTGGGCGAAAGAGGCGGTACGGCTAGGCTCGGCGATTTTTTTGCTTGCATCGTGCGCCCTTCCGATATCACACACCTGTCAATATTGGCTTCTGGAAGGTGTTTAAACCCGGCTTTACCGGCATGCTGTTCTCGAGACGTCTTGTTCCCTCCTTGATTTCGCAGTAAATAGTTGAACATGGCTTCCACGTCTGCCTCCGTGAGCACCTATGAGCTTCATGAGCGTCTGACCACTCGAGTCGACGTTACCTTCCCTCAACAAGGCGCAGTTGAGGTCGCCTACCCTCACCAAGCCGTGATCGATGTCGATGACAACCCAGAGGCCCCGGTACAAGAAGAGCTCAGGCGGGTCGATGGTGGGCGAGATGCCTGGGTGGTTCTTATCGCGGGCTTCATAATCGAAGCACTGTTTTGGGGTACGTTAGCCGTGGAGTGCTTGTGTTAGGGACTTTTTTGACTGTAAACAGGCTTTCCGATGTGCTTCGGAGTGTTCCAGAACTACTACACCAAGCTTCCAGAGTTCAAGGATGACATCTCCAAGGTCCCCGTGGTCGGAACTCTCGCGCAGGGTCTGGTAACAGTCGGCTGCCCCCTTTCCGCATATTTCGCGAAACGTTTCCCGCGATACCGGAGGGTTCAGATATGCGTTGGGTGGCCTCTGCCCATCCTTGGCCTACTGACCGCCTCCTTTGCCACATCCGTCAATGGCTTGATTGGAACGCAAGGCTTCCTCTACGGGTTCGGCTTCCTGACGCTTATGTTTCCCATTATTAGCATGGTGAACGAGTGGTGGGTTGCTCGCAAGGGCATGGCGTTTGGCCTCATTTCTGCAGCGTCGGGGGCGACCGGCGCCGTCATGCCCTTCATCATAGAGGCTCTCCTTGCCGAATACGGCCATCGCACGACACTACGGGCCAGCGCTGTGGCGATGACGATCCTGACCGCGCCACTGCTTCCGCTCTTCAAGGGTCGCGTGCCAACAGCAAGCCAGTCCAGTCTGGGGCGGACGGATTGGACGTTTTTAACAAAACCAACCTTCTGGGTGTACGCATGCGCTGTCCTAGTCCAGGGTCTCGGATTCTTTTTTCCTGTCGTGTTCCTGCCGTCGTACGCGTCGTCTCTGGGCTTATCGCCGTTCAATGGAGCGATACTTTTGGCGCTGCTGTCCATTGCGCAGGTCCTCGGACAGTTCGTCCTTGGCTTTTTATCGGACAAGAACTTCTCGGCCAGCACATTGGCCACTGCATGCTGTGCCGCCACGACGATTGTCTCTTTTACGGCATGGGGGCTGGCCAAATCCATGCCGCCTCTGGCCGTGTTTGCGCTCATCTATGGCTTCTTTGGCTTCGGCTTCGGCACCCTTCGCGTCGCCATGGGTCGGGCCGTGAGCAGCGAACCTAGCACCGTGTTTGTGACGTACTCCATTTTCGTATGCATACAGGGAGTCGGCAACGTTCTTGTCGGGCCACTGAGCGCTGCGTTGATGACTAGCGCGACAGCGCTGGAGCGATTCGGGGCTGGGAAATACGACCGCGTCGTTGTGTTTACAGGGATGACTTCAACGCTTGCTGGGATGATCATCGGGGCATGGCAGGGGTTCCAAGGACTCAAGAGGCTGCAGCGAGAGTAGCAAGGGGGAACAAACTTTGGCAACTTGTACGATCATTGAACTCATCGAATTAACTCCGAATGAAACATTTCGTAGCTCAGGCTTCTTTCGTCAAGCATTGGGCACTGATACTTCGGGACGTTTCACGGCACATGTTTTACAAGTTGTGCGGGGACGAAAGGGCCAGCCAGGGCTGGGGACGGCTTGGTTCTTCGATGGAGCGTCGAACGGACCAGTGGAGACAGAACCCGGTGTCTCTCCGTATTAGGTCACAAGTGAGGCAGAGCAGGCTCGTCATTGGCTGTCATATGCATCTAATAATGTGCCGGCCCCAATCGCCCGCTAGCGGTGCCTCGCTGCCTCCTGTGCCAGATCCTCGAGGTTGGCTGATCCCCCCGACCAGTATTTTTACGAAATATCGCTGCGTCCCTCTCAGCTTCCCCGGTGTGAATAGTGCGCAGAGGTCTCAAATCGCACTGTCCTCGCCTTACACCGGACGGAACCCAAGCAAGATGATAGACACAAGTCGGCCTGTGAATGTCGGGGGGATATTCCGTTTTCTCTTATGTTACGTATTTCGGATCCGAAATGCAATTCCACACAATCTGCATTTGACGAACTTGCGTTGAATCTGCGCTGCTTCGCCCAGCAACTTTACGTACCTACACCCGCACGTCGTCTGGTGTGCCCTTGGACCGTCCGCGATGGATGCCAGGGCAACGCCGGTCTTCGCCGCCGAAATTAGACAGGTGCGCGCCTCCAGCGAGCCTGGACTGTATTATTCTTATGACAGCAACTTACTGTTTCCCTCTAGATAATGTATGTGGCTGGTGAAACGGCAGACCTGTCTATTGAGACAGTTGCTCTTGTCGAGAACATCGTCAGGGAACAGGTCACTTTCATGGTGCGCTCAAGTCCTTACAAGCCTTAAACCATAGCTACACCAGCTCAATCGCTCAAACCCTGTCGTTTCACGCACATAGCTCAGCACTGCCAATGAGTATGCATCGAGGCGCGGGTCGCCAGTCATTTCGAACAATGACCTTATCTTCCAGTTCCGTCATGATGCGACTCGCGTGGACCGACTGCAAAAGGTTCTCTTTTGCAAGCACATACGTAAATTTGCAAGAGAAGACGACGACGAGATTAATCAGGGCGAGGAAGAGGCTCTCGAATTGAAGGACGACGCGGGAAATGGCCCCGACGCAAACTCAACCGACGACGTCAATCGTCGAACCCTGCTCGCAGTGACCACGGTCCCATGGGACACGTCGTCGCGCTATCCTGAGCTGCCGCGAAGTGTCGAAGACGTGAAAGTCTCCACAGACTCGACGGAGGCCAATCTGATGGAGCTGCGCGAGGCGGACCGAAGGACCATGACCATGTCCCTACGAGAATACGAGACATGGTCCGAATACCGCCACGCATCCTTCACACGACGACGCACGAAGCGATTCCGGCAGTGGTCCGGCCTGGGGGTCATTGCAGAGCATAGAAATGGCGACGACGTGCTCGACATCCTGGGGTTTCTCACCGGCGAGATGGTGCGTCGGCTTACCGCGCTGGCTTTGGCACTCCAGCGTCGAGAGCTGCACACCAGCAACGCGCGATCTGCGGACAGGCCGTCTCAAAAGGAGGACCTTGGTCTCTTCAGCCTCGGTAAAGACAGCAGACAGAAGCCACCCGTGGACGTCCGCCATATTCGACAAGCATACGATGCAACGCAGGCTTGGACAGTGGGATCACGAAGCTGTGCACGTGGCAGGTGGTCTCGGCGCGGACTTCAGCTGATCTGAAGACGCTTCAATGGAGGAGAGGCGACTATCGTTGTGCTAATGCTTGGACTGTAGCGGCAGACAACGCTGCACTTGAACTATTGCGGCAGTCGCGGCGGAATGTAACGATTGACGGCCTATCTATGGATGCAAGCTGCGAGACTATGGAGATTTCCAGTCTACACCGCGTCTATCCTCAACTTTCGCTTAGTTCTGTACTGTGAATGCTTCATTCAGCAGAGCATCTTCCTCTGCGTCATGGAGGCTCTTCAGGCCCGCCGCAGTACTGGCACTTGGCCCACGTCCCGCATACAACACCCCATTGGAACTGTACTGCCCAGTCTCACGCAGCACATTGTCCAGGCGATCCCACATAAAGTGCCATGCGCCACCATTATGATGCTCTTCCTGAGCCCAGACAAAAGTCTTTGCGCTGGGATACTTCTGCAAGTTCTCCTTGACTTCCGCCCAGGGGAACGGGTGGAGTTGTTCCAGCCGCGTGATTGCGACGTCTCGAAGGCCAAGAGCTTCGCGACGCTTGCACAGAGCGAAGTAGATCTGACCTGTGCAGAAAACGACTCGCGAAATTGAATCCGGCGCGACAATTGACTTGCCATGCTCTGGGTCGCAGAGGACTGGGGTGAACGCCGAGGTCCCCGTGAGCTGGGAGACGTCGGACCGGTTCTGCGGATGTCGAAGCAAGGATTTGGAGAAAAACATGACTAGCGCTGCCATCAAGTAATTAGCCTTCTTTCACTCAAGCGACAAGAACGGTACGCACGTCTCTTGTGTGCCCTGCGCCCTTGCCGACGCAGGATGTGGAAGTAGTTCGCCGGCGTAGTCATGTACACCACATCGATATTGGCGTTCTGGTGTGGAGCGGCCAGGTCACTGGGCCAAAATCTTCCCTCATCGTTGCCGAGCATCAAGAATCGCTCGATACGTGCGGACGAGTGCTCCGATCCCTGGCCATCATGGCCATGCGGCAGCGACAGCACCAGTCCCGACTCATACTGCCACTTGCTCTCCCCAGAGGTGAGAAAGTTGTCGATGATGACCTGCGCGTTGTTCGCAAAATCGCCGAACTGTGCTTCCCACATGACGAGCGACTGTGGATGCGCGAGGGTTATGCCGTACTCGAAACCCAGAGCGGCAAGTTCCCCCAGCGGTGAGTTGGCAATGTCGAACCGGGCTTGCGTGTCACCCATATGAGCAAGCGGTGTCAGTGACTTGCCCGTCACTTGGTCGTGCCACACGGCGTGTCGCTGAGAAAAGGTTCCGCGCTGCACATCCTGGCCGGCCACACGCACCGGGTGTCCTTCGAGGACCAGGCTTCCAAACGCCAATGCCTCCGCTGTTGACCAATCTACGATGCCCTGTTCGAAGTGCTTTTGCCTCCCCGAAAGTGCTCGCTGGAGGCCGGCGTGGGGCTCGAAGCCATCCGGGACGGTGGTGGTCTTTTCCATGATTGCATTCAGAACTTGTTGCTCTACAGCCGTCGATGGCTCCGGCTCTGAGTGTGTTGGAGCCACAATTGGCAGCGCGACGGGCACTTCTGGATGGTTGGCGACAAACTCTTTACTCGAGTCAAACGCACGTTGCAGCCGACCCCATTCCTTATTTAGTCGGTCATCAATCTCCTGGCGAGTAAATGTCCCCTCGCTCGTGAGCTTGTCGACATACTGCTCAAGAGGCGCGGTTTGCGTCGCCACCTTTTGGTACATCAATGGCTGGGTGAAGCTAGGCTGATCAAACTCATTGTGGCCGTATTTGCGGTAACAGACCAAGTCGACGACAATGTCCGACTTGAACTTGGCTCGCCAGTCGGCGGCGAGTCGGCAGGCAAACACAACAGACTCGACGTCATCTGCGTTGACGTGCAGGATCGGCGCGTTGACAAACTTGGCCAGATCGGATGCGTAGGAGGTTGAACGCGCACAGTGAGCATCCGTCGTGAACCCGACTTGGTTGTTGATGATTAGTCTCACTGTTCCGCCGACGTCGTAGTCGGCAAGTCGAGAAAGGCCCAGCGTCTCGTATACCATTCCCTGTCCAGCAAAGGCGGCGTCTCCGTGTAGGGCCAGGCACATGACGCGATCTTGACCTGCGTCACCTGCCAGGTGCTGCTTCGCAAAGGCCTTTCCCGTGGCGACCGGGTCCACGGCCTCCAGGTGAGACGGGTTGGCCAGCACCGAAAGCCCGACTCGGTTTCCTTGAACAGTCAAGTGCCCCCCTTCATGGCCGATGTGGACCTTCACATCCCCGGCCATTCCGGGCAGAATGTCTGTTCTCACTCCGGCAAATGCCTCGAACAAATGCTCGGCCGGCTTGCCGTACACAGCCGCAAGCATGGTGAGTCGACCACGATGGCAACTGCCCATGATGACTTCCTCAATTCCATAGGTGTCGGCGGAGCGATCGAGAACAGCTTGCACTGCGGGAGCCAGACCTTCCGCGCCGTCCAATCCGTATCGCTTGTCATGCGGGAACTTGACTGCCACGAAGCGTTCAAATGACGACGCGCCAATGAGACCGTCGAGAATGCGCAGCTTCTCATCGCGTGTGAATTGAAATGGCTGCGAAACCTCAAGTCTTTCCCGTAGCCACTCTCTTTTTGCCCTGTCCGGGACGTGGAGGTACTCGACCCCCAGGCTGCCACAAAACGTTTTCTCGCATGCCGCGATAATTTCCCGCAAAGTCATCGAGGTTCGTGTGCCGGTTATGAAATACGGCAGCAATTCTGGTCCAAGAACGAATGTCTGATCGAGGTCCGCTGATGTTAATCCATGGTATGACATCTCAAGTTCCTCTGAGGTGTTGGAGGTATTCGTGCCTGGACGAACATCCCGAGCATCAAGTCGGATGCCCAAAGGATCGGTCTTGGCAACATAATGGCCATGCGACTGATATGCTCTCACCAGTCGCTGTACGTTTGCTAGCTTTTCCAGATCCGCTTGCCTGGTGCTACTGCCTTCTGTTGGCACAGATCGCGGGGGTTCATGTTGACTTGGTCCCCAAGGCTGCTTCACCCTCCCCAGCTCAGCAGCTCGGAAGTAGTCTCTCCAAGACTTGTCAACCGATTCTGGTGACTTTTTCCACAAGTCGTACATCTCTTCAACATACTCCGCTGCGTCTGCCTGTAACATGGTGTCGGCGGGCTTCTTCACGCATCATCAGGTCAGCCCAGCCGCCATTTACCCACGGAGAGGCTCAATTACTGTCCCAAACTCACATTTCGCACAGAACCTCCCGATGTAGACAGCTTTCTCGCTACGTCGTACGCACGCCATGTTGATCCAGGGAAGTGGCTTGCGAGCGGTAGGCGTGACCACCTCGCTGGCTCCGTGCGTAAGAAGCGGCGTATGGCATTGCGGCCTCCAGCCACCCCAGAGGCACGACCGAGCAACATGGTGTGTTTGAACCACTACCGCAAAGTCTTTATCGGGTGATGGAATCGAACCAGGTCTCATTGGTGTTGAGCAATGTCATTGTCCTATGGCGCGCGGCACCTTAATGTCATCCACTCGTATCACGAGTTGCCGCACGTTAGGCTACTTGCCGCTTGAACTCAGCTGTGATTACCTCGGCCGTTGGTTCGACAAGCATTCTAATCGACAGACCGAGCTTGGGGCAGCTGGTGCCCTGTTCTGAACATGTGCGACTACGGGTCTGCATTCCGAAGCCCGGGATACACACCCGAACGTGAATGCTGTGACACCCGCCACAGCACCGTCGACTGGCCTGCCACAAGCATCACTGCAGACTACCGTGCATGTACTGTAACGCTGTTTAACATACATGCACTGGCTTGCGCCGAGATGTATCATCCATATCTCGTCCGCCGATCTGCTGACGAATTGAGCCTGCGGACGCACGATGCCTTACCGATACAGGTTCCCCCACCCGACTTGTTGGCAAGCAAATGTCGAATGGGGTCTATTCTGTGGTGTGCACCTTGGTTGACCGCAGCCGTAACTGAGGTCCGACCATATCAATGATGAAGAATTTGGGGCACCCATTTCAGGGCCAGGCGGCATCAAGCGCGGCACCGTCAAATCTGAAGACTCCAGTATATTCGAATCCACAACAGAGGCGTTGTAGATCACTTTGATGTCGTCGCTTAAACGCCATCTCAGCCAAGCTTCCAGATGACGAATAGTACAAAGTGTTCTGTCTAGGTAATGGTACACAGTGATGGATAATAGTGACCGTCGGTCTAGAATAGCAGCATCTTTGCCGGGTCCTCGATGTATCCCTTCACGAAGTTGAGGAATGCGACAGCCTCCCGGCCGTCTATCAAGCGATGGTCGTACGTCAGTGCGATGTACATCATCTGTGACAACGTTAGCTGGTTCCAGTCGTCCTGCGTTCGGGATCAGGTGGCGCTCACAGGACGAATCTCGGGCTTTCCGTCGATCGCCACAACGTCCTCCTTGATCGCATTCATGTTAAAGACAGCCGCCTGGGGATAGTTGATCAACGGCGTGCCGAACATGGAGCCGAAGATTCCGGGGTTGCTGATGGAGAAGTTGCCACCCTCGAGATCATCCATCGTCAACTTGCCATCTCGGGCCTACTCATTGATCAGCGTCATTCCGACTTATTGCCTAGATCGAGTCTGTTTACCTTCTTCGCTATCGCTGCAATGTCTCGCTCGATCTCGACTACGTTCTTTGTTTCGCAGTCTCGCACCACTGGTGTGACAAGTCCTTTGGGCGTGGACACGGCGATACTGATGTCGATGTAGTCGCGGTATGTGATGATCTCGCGATCCGTGTCGATACTTGCGTTGATTCGTGGCACCTGCTGCGCGGCCAAGGTGGCGGCTTTGGCGAATGCTCCCATGTAGCCAAGTTTTACGCCCTGGGACTCGGCAATGGCTTCCTTGTATTTCGCGCGCCAGGCCATGAGGTTGGTCATGTCGAGACGCTGCACGGTCGTCAAGGAAGCGCAGGTATCTTGTGACTGCTTGAGTCGTGTCGCTATCGTTTTGCGCATGCGAGACAATTTCTCCTGGGTACTATTAGCATGGAATTTTTCTTGCGGAGAAAATATCCTGAGCCAGGGCATATGATGATCGTACACTACGCTCGCTTCGCGCCAGCTGTCCCGTCGACTCGACGGAGGTGGATGGCGCTTTCTCATTTTGCTGTTTCGCAGCTGGCTGCTCCGTTCCAGGTGATTTCTTGACCTGGTCTTCAGGAGGAGCTTTTGTGGTGCCTGTCTCGGTTGCCTCGGAAGCAGGCTTGCTTTCTGACTGCGGTTTGCTGGCAGCAATGGGAGGCTCAGTGGAGGCCTGGGTCTTCTCCTTTCCCGCCGCTTGTTGTGCGCCTTCAACGGCAACGCCGGTCTCCAACTGAACAAGGTCCTGACCTACGGTCACAACGTCGCCCTCTTGAACAAAAACTTGCGCAACGATGCCCGCCTCCGGTGCGTTGACGGACACGTCGATCTTGTCCGTCTCGATCGTCGCCAATTCCTCGTCGGCCTCGACGCGCTCGCCGACCTTCTTTAGCAATTGAGATAGGGTGCCCTCGCTGATAGACTCGGCCATCTGCGGCACCTTGACGGTGACGTCGGCATGTCGTAGATGTGAGATCGTAAACGTCCTCGAAAACAACACGGTCGGCTGGCAGAGGCGCTGGCGGGATGGCGGTCTGCACCCGGCGACTAGAGCGGCGGACAGCGCATTAGCGAGCTGGACGCGCCGCGCCGCCGCTTGAGGATGTCGCAACATGGCGGATTGTCGGGCGGTGGGTGGTGAGGCAGCCCTCGTGAGGCGTCACCGGGCTTGGCTGTGGAATTGCGCTCTTTAGCTTCGAGCAATCAAGAATGCGTCAATTGACATTTCCAAGGACAACGGCAAAGCTGGCCAATTGCGCTCGGCTACTCTCTCGTTGGCTGCTGCTGTGACACACGGTAAAAATCGCCCACGCGGAGGGTCTTCGTGGCGGCTTGTCGGCTACTTGATTCGGGCGGTCTGGTTTCGGTGGGGGCTCGCGCCCAGCACGAGCCAACATGACACGGCGGAAATGAAGATTCAGACGGCCTGTGCTTCGGGATGGTGAAACAGCCCGTCGTGGACGTTTAAAATAGAACAATGGTGGCATCCATGACGAGTTCAGGGTGAACTGGTCGGAGATGCGAGAATGGCCCTTGGTGCGGTTCAGAATAGAAAGCTAACTAACGACTAAATGGTGGGCTATTTTGACAACTACAGCTGTCGGGGATCAGCTTGTCCTTCGTGGAACTGCTGATTGCTTGGGGCTTGAGCTGGGCCACCATACTCTGGGGCTTCATGCGCACAATAAAATTATCGATCAAGTCAGATTGGCATTCCAGTTACGTGTATGCATTATCGCTGCATGCAGAAGTCTTCCCACAGAGCCCTGAAGTCCTGCAAAAGCAGGTCCGACGGCATGAACCCGCGGCGGAGGACAAGCACCGCACCTTTCCAATCGACAACGCCCATGGAGATCAACATCCTCTTTAGCCGTTCCGCAAACCAATGCCGTGTCTCAAAACCACGCGGGGCCGCGACCGCTCCCACAAAGAATTGCCAAACCGTCAAATTTATAGACGCACAGAGCCGTAGCCTCGGCGTATTGAGCATCTCCCTAAGTTCCTCCGCCAGCGTCGGTGTACCAATTGCTGCGCCGGCCGGCCATAGTAGCTGCAGAAATATTCGGATGGCGCAGCTCAGTGGCTGCAGATACAAGCTGCCAGCGCCGGGCAGTGTATACAGAGTTGCTTGCACAGATGATATCGATGGGAGAATGGAGTTGATGGTGGCTTCCGGCACTGTGGGCTGCGTGTGGAAGGCGTTGAGGGAGTGTCTAAGCTGATCCAGGCTTGAAGCAATACTGCCAATGGCTGTGAGACACGCCTCGCTATTCACATCCCCAAGCGCCAGGGCGAGGTGCCTGTCGCGCCCGGAACACGATGAAACATGTTCACTGATGGATGCACTGGAAAGAAGACGTCAGCGGCCCGCGACAACGCTCCGAAGGATGGCTACTCACTACAACAGGAAATGTGTAAACCAGGGCGCCATGGCTTTCTGATCAAGTGATCTGCGCACTTTGATCATTTGAGCAAGGCCAGCAAGATGGACATTGCGTGCCGCCTCATCTGGAACGAGGGACTGTAGAATCGTAGATCGTTAGCTCGGGAACAAGCCTGCGGCGAATCCGAGATTATACTTCACTGTACGCCAGCGTAAACACTGCGGCAATGACTCCGTCACCAAGGTCCGGCGGCCGAGCATTGAGCCGCTTGTTGACTAGATTGACTGCTCTATAGGCGTGCCATGTCGACTCGCGCGCGCTTGGGCTTGCCTGGTGTCGGACACCAATCGCCATGGACGCCTCAAGCAGCGCCGGCTCTGACACCAGGAGAGCTGTCCATTGGCTTTCGACAACCGTGCCGCGGCAGCTCGGATACGCGGGAAATACCAAGGCGCGATAGTTGTGAAGTACTGATGAGGTCAGTGTGCGAACGGGCTTAGGCAGATGACTCGGGGGCATACAAAATTGTATCGCGCGATCGGGGTCCGTCGGCCGCTGGAGCAAGTGTGGCACCGCGTCTAGGTGCAGGCCAGCGACCAGGTCGTTGCTCTCAGGGTTCGTAGCCAAAGACTTTCGCTCCGTTTCTGATGCGCCCGCGATGTGGCGGAGCTGCTTCGCGATGCGCTGTCGTCTCCTCGCAAAGTTGGTCTTCGTCACATGTGCCCTCATCCGTCTCGACCCCGACGCATCGAGCGCCGGTGCATCCGTGAGATTGACAAACGTGAGCCCCATGGCGACCATGCCTCAGCCGAGTGCCGAAATCTCATTTACCATTTCAGGATATGTTGCAAGAGTTCAGGATAAGTCGGTGCACCTATTTCGCGTCGACGTGGAGAGTGCTTATAAATGAGTCGGCGCTGTTCATGAGTAGACGACATCATCAGACGGGATTGACAGCGGATTTGGCGGGCGGCCATGGCTTGGGCTTTGGGCCTTTCCTGTTTAGGACAATGAGATTTCTTGGCAGGCTCTCCACTGAAGTGAGCCCGAACGACGGGCGTTGCGATGCCTGTCTAGTGACTCTGGTGTCTAACTCAATGCTACGGGTGCCATGTCGACTTGGGAAAATGAGACCACGGCGCCGAATCCATAATGGTTCGGACAACAGGCAAACACTTGAGAGGACTCGAGATGACCCAAATGTGTATAAATTGTGTAGCTGGACCATCTAAAAAGCTAGCCCAAGACACGAGACCGAGTGGCAATTTATGCAACAAGTATAACATCCTGGACATGTCACCATTCTCCAGCCAGCTCCGCGGGACCCATATCATGGTGACCGGTGAGACTTCCCCGAGTCTCGAGCATCCGTACCAAAGCTGATTGCCATACAGGCGGCACCAAAGGCATTGGAAGGGCCATCGTTGAAGCCCTCCTCAGCGAAGGCGCAAACGTTTCGTACTGCGCTCGGTCTGTTCGTGGCGATGAGTTTGCTTCGTTGGCCAGTGGCGCTGCTGATGCTCCACGTGCGATCGGGACTGCTGTCGACATTGGCGACGCATCCGCTATTCGCGCTTGGATCGAGGTTGGCGCTCAAGAGTTCGGCCGCGTCGATGGTGTTGTCGCGAACGGTAAGGCTATGTCCACCACACCGAAATACGGCCGTCAAGAGCGTGACTGAGATGTTGGCAGCCGCATCGTTCGCCGTCGAGGCCACCTACGAAAGCTGGCAGCGAAGCTTCCAGGCAGACATCCTCGGTCTGATCGCCCTCATTGACACCGCAACTCCACATCTGCAGTCCAGCACTAGTAGCGACGCCTCCATCGTCGTCGTCAGCTCCCTTGCCGGCTTCGAAGCACGCCATCCCGCAATCGCAGGGCCCTACTCAACCTTGAAGCGCGCCCAGGCGACGTTGGCCAAGGACTACTCACGCAAGCTCGGTCCGCTGGGTGTTCGGATCAACACCGTGGTGCCTGGGGCGATTGAGACTCGCGGGGAGACACTCCCAGATGGCACATGGCAGCCGAGTAGGTTTGAGGAGGCCAAAAAGACCAAACCCGAGTTCCTGCGCGAGATGCTCGACGGTATCCCGCTGGCGAGATTCGGGGACGCGGAGGATGTGGCGAGCGCGGCGGTGTTTTTGTTGAGTCCGCTGGCGCGATATATCTCTGGGACGAATCTTGTCGTCGATGGTGGAAGTTCGATTGCGTTTTAGAGCCGAGTGCCTCCTTGATTGGAATACAGAACATGACTGTCCATGTGGCGGTCAAGTCTCAGGTACAGAGCGTTGCGAGACCTCTTCATAGACTCGTCTCTCCGTCTCTGCATTTTCCAATGCCAATACTCTCTCATCGGGCGGAATTCCCGTATGGAAGCATTCCCTCACCTTCTCGTTCAGCAGACGCAGGTGTCTCGAGCTGCCACCAAGCACAGTGCCCACGATCCTGACCAGCTCCAGCAAGTGGTCCACTGGTCCGATCTCCATGCCTCCGCCCGCAGCGATGAGAGCCGGTCGAAGAGCTATGACGTCCGCGAGGGAGCAGGCAATGTCGAAGACCTTCTCCAGGATTCCGACACCATTGGCCTCTAACGCCTGAGAAGGCAGCTTGTGGGCGATTCCGACAAGGTCGCGTGCGATTGTGACCGGATAGCACAGCGACATGCTGTCTTCGGAGGAGGAATTGGACAGAAGCGTCTTGGTAACACAGAGCTGCCAGACAATGACCTTGAGCCACTGTTGCGAAATGAGGAGGTCGGCCTGCTGCATTGACGCGCGGTCGGCCACACGCGGCAGGGCAAAAGCCAGGACTCGCTGCAGGCGCGCAAGATAGGAGGGCGATGCCGCCGCAACAGTCCCTGACAGGTTCCATATCGAAACAAAATCGCTGTCGAAGTTTTGAAACAAGGCGATGAGGTCGAGTAGGCCGGGCAGTATCTGACAGTCTGGGCCGTCGTCGAGGGCCGGCAGGGCGATGGTGTTTTGGAGGGTGAGTGGCCGATGGCGTTGGAGCGCATATGCTCGCTCCGTGACAAAAAGCACCCAGAAGACTCTCCTCGCAAATATGGCGAGCAATGGATCTGTCATGGTCTCATACGTGGACTCCTCATGAAGGCGCAGCACCTGGAGAATCGTCATGGCCTCCCGGAGGTGAAACCACGCAGGGTTACCTCTGCCCATGCAGAAATGGGCAGCAAAGAGGAAGAACGACGTCTGGACGTCTATGAGGGACGGGTTTGTCACGTGGTTGCAGGACAGACGTGCTCGGGATACCTCGGCGAGGAAGTGGTCTGCGCTTGGCAGAGCTGTCGGTGCCGCATCGCCAGCGTCTGACGGGGGCGAGGTCGTCGAAGTTGATGACGTTGATGAAGTCGGCGAGGGCGATGACCAAGGCAGTTCAGCCACGCTTAGCACAATGATTTCCGGTGAAAGGACGATGACGGCGCAACAGGCCATGATGAGGGCGTACTCGTCGGCTCCGAGAGTCGGCCGCGCCAGCGCCTCCTCGATGCGTCTCCGATCCAAGATCGGAGTTATGGGGTACTTGTGCGTGAAGAAGGCATCCATGCACCTCTTCATGACACCCCGCGATACCTCCCTCGAAGGTCGAAACGTCGACCCGCGATGATCCGACCTCGGAGGCGAAGGCGTCGACGCGACATCACGGCCATTGCTCGAAAGCTCTGCGCCGACCTCGGCCGCGCTTCCTCTCAGCGGCACCGGCACCGCATACGGGCGCCGCTCCGTCGCCGACCGCAGAACCGCCTGCGTGCGCGCGACGCGGCGGCCGTTCTTGGGTCCCGTCTTCTTCGGGACGGCGAGGTAGGTGCACGCGAGGGAGAGGCCCTCGCAGCCGGCGCAGGGTCGGGCCCCGTCGCAGCGGACCTTGCGCCCGTGGCAGGCGTCGCAGGCCTGCTTAACCTTGTGGGGCTTGCGGCGTGCTTGCATCGTGGGCCATGCCGGGATGTTGGCTGGTGGATGTTGGAGTTGAGGGAGGACATGGATGAACTGCCGGACGGGGGCCCTCGCGGCGGGAGGTAGTTGATGATGAGCGAGGCTCGGTGGTTGCCACTGCCGTCTGGTGGTGGTGTGACGCGCTATGAACTGATGGTGAGTGAAGAAAGCCTTGGCGGTCGGGTGACCCCCACCGATCATGTTCCAATCCACATTGGGCAATCCGTGTAAGATCCAGCTATGGAGAGGCTCATAAATGTTGCCATGATTCATGGACGTCTCGACAGCTGCGCACTTCGAATTCCTCAAGTCGGATTATTTTGACGTCAGTCTGCTTCTTCTAAGAAAGGAGAGGCACTGCGGCGCCGCTTCGCTTGTGAAAGCACCTGTCATTTCTGTGGTGGTCTGGTGGTGGGGGGGCCGTCAATCATGGCTCTTGAACGAAGGCCAGGCAACAATACTGAACATCAATTCGGCATTAATTCACTTATTTCTACGCGCAGATATGATGCTTGCTGGCGGCGATGTTTTAAAACAGTATTGCTTACATCGATGTCTGTTCTCTATGACCTGTCTGGCCTCTGTCACGTTTGGACTCTTGTGCTGGTCGGGCCGTTGAACGGTGTGGCTTACAGACCTTAGCGTGCAACTGACAATGCGCTGGACTACGTGTAAAACAAGTTTGTTTTCCGCCGGTTTGATGAGACGGATATCGAGCCTCTTCAGTATTGTAAAGTCACCGGGCGAAAACAGCCTGGATTTGGGCATCGGGATGGGCACAGCTGGCCACATGGAGGCCTTGGATGACTGGACCCGGCGCAGACATCAGCATCAGGCTCGATTCTCAATATATTCGCCCACCAACGTTGATGCTGTTGACGCTATACCTCAAGTAAGAAAATCTCCATGAGTGCCTATGCTTTACGTTGTTGTTCCCATGTCGGTCAGTCTCCCATTTGGATGGCTCCGCAGCCCTCAACATTTGAACTGTCGACCGTTGCCGCCCGACGCTCGTTCCGTCATCACCATCACTTTCTTGCTCTCTTGGGCCACGTTTCTCAGAAACGGTCAGACCATGACCACATGCAGAGGCCAGACTCGCTAGTGGCGTCCGTGTGTATGTGTGGTGATTGGAACCACTCCCACCCCTCGAGCTTACGCATCTGCTCCCCGAGGTACACGTGTGCCTCGCTCCGCATGTGTGGAGGCAGGTACCTCGAAGCCTGCAACACAGTCATGACGCTTTGCCGTATACCTTCAATGGCGAGAAGTTCGGCCACGGTGCCGAAATGTTTGGATTGGACGTGATTGCCGAGGTACAAAAACCACTTGAGCTTGGGGTCGGCGTCACTCCGTGGAACCCTGCTCTGCCCGCGATAGTCCGAGCAAAGCACGTTTATATCAATCTCCTCCGTCGCAATCAGGTATTTTAGGCATGGCCAGCGATCCTTTCGAGCGGCACCTTTCAAGGCGGCATTCAGCTCATTCCGTAGGTCCTGCTGGCTCGCCTCCATGGCTGCTGCCTCGTGGAGCAACTTGAGAATCTCCAAGTGCCCGCACACGGCTGCAATACACAGCGGTGTCATCCCTTGCTGCCAGGGACTGTGGCGGAGAGGATTCACGCGGCCCGTCGCCAGTAGGCGTTTGACGATCCTCACGTCCCCGCTCCGCGATGCATACCACAGAGGCGATTCACCATGCCGGATGATTAAATCCGGTTCTATGCCTTCATGACCAAGCAGTGCTTCAACGGCAGCGAAGTGGCCGAATTCTGCCGCAGCTGACAACGGTGCCCGTCCACGGCGGATTTGCACGGTTTGGTCAGCGCCGTGGGCAACCAGTTCGTGAATCACTTCAGTGTGACACCCATCTGCAGCCCAGAACAGCGGGGTGTAGTTGTCGGGCAAGCTTTGCGTGTCAACCTTGACATGTTCGTGGGTCAGCAGCAGCTGAACAACTTTGAGATGGCCGTATCGCGCAGCGTACGCCAACGGCGTCCGCATTTTCGGGAAGCTTTGCGAGTCCACCTCGACATTTCCGTGGGCTACCAGTAGCTGAACAACTTCAAGATGGCCCTGCTCTGCAGCGCATGACAGTGGCGTTCGCAGAAACGGGAGGCTTGTCGCGTCCGGGTCAACGGCACCCGTCGCCAGCAGAAGCACGACGGTTCCCGCGTGGCCGTATTCGGCGGCGTATGACAAGGGCGTGCGACCGCCCGGGATCAATCGCTCGTCCGGGTCGGCGCCTTCCTGCTCCAGGAGAAATCTGAGCGTCGCTTCGCGGCCATACATGGCCGCCAGGTGCAAAGGGCCTCCGCGCAGATCCAGCGACAATGCGATGTTCGCGCCTGACGCCAGTGCCTTGCGAGCCGTCTCGTCTCTTCCCTCGCGTGCCGCCCAAGCCAGTGCGTAGCTCCCATGTTGGCGGACGTCCTGGTGGTACAGATACGAGTTGAGCGTGTCGTGCCAGTGTCTGTTGGTTTGAGCGACGGCGTTGATGTCCCGGAGAGCGTCGCAAAACGAGACAATAAGGAAGCATAGTTCCCGTGGAAGGGTGGATGCCGCCATTCCTTGACCGCCCGACAAATGTCGCTGTGTGACCTGCGATGTCCAATATTTTGGTGCTTTACTCGGTGAAGTCGGGTCGCGGCTTGGAATCAACCCAGCGCCAAGGCGTCAACCAACGATGTACTCCGTACGAATTAAAGTATCACAATTGCGCCGTTGTTGGCTGGCTCCAACGTGGGCATAAGACAGATCAGGTCGTTCAACCTGACCTGAGTCACACGCCGGCGCTTGCCTGTTGTGAGGCTGACTGATCAGGCGTATTGGCCTCGGTGAAGACGCTGTGCCCACGATGTCAGGCGGGGAAGGCGTCCCGAAGTCCGGCCACCTGGAATCATTTTGAACATCCAGGCTACAAGACTAGAGATTGTGTCACCGCGGAGCCCATATCTTCCAGGGGTCGCACGTGCGTGGATCGGATCTCTGCTCAAGCTGTGCTAGATCTGCTTACAGCTGAACATGCACGCGCCTGACGATGAGAACCTTCGTGGCCTACGCGTACTTCGTACACGCCTTCACACAATACAACCACAATGGTGACATATTTCCTGCGTCTTCAATCCCCAAGATAGCTGGAAGTCCAACACCTGGGTTTCGAAGCCAGGTGGGTTTCAGGATGTCCATTTCGCAAGCTCCAAGGCGGATGAAGCTATGCTGGCCGATACGCGATGTTTGGTTGCACGCCTGACTCCAAATGGACACTGGGGGAGATGCTCTCTCTCAGTCAAGAATATATCGTCGCGTTCTCAAGCTTTCGCCCCTTAACAGCCGAATTGGTCATACGAGCTGGCCTATGAATGCCCCTTCATTGTGATGGTGGCGCGAAATGTCTGGTATTGCTACCGGGTAGCTGTATGGGTGTTGCTACTTTGCAGACGACTGAGAGTTAAGCCACGGACCAAACTCGCCATCTCTGCTTCGTAGACTGCTCCCGAATCAGTAATGAGAGGCTTGGCGAACGATACCAGTGCCCTCCGCAAGCAGAAAAATGTCCGGTGTACCATTGTGTTGCCAATATATCTTGCGTCGCGTGTGCTGTATCGGTTCCACTCATCGACAGTGATTTGGACAGAGAACCAGAGGCTTTGACGCACTGGACCCCGGGCGGTCGCCCACCAAAGAAGCTACGGTCCGTCGGGGGACCGTTACACCATGCCTCAGGGGCGCGGGGTAAGCGGGCGTTAGGACTGTCCCCGCTGTACAAGGCGCCTTCACCACATTCCCTCTGCCCAGCTGCGTGGCAAAGGGACGAAGTAACCTCGCAGCGCGCATCCAGCCATCTCATGCATGTCCCAGGCTCCCGATGCCTAACCGAATGCGGTGATTGAGATTGGCGTGCGGCCCGAGCCAACAATGTTTGTGCGACACAAGGGCTCGTGCTTGCCCGTCTCGCGCCCCCAGGCACGTCCAGCTCTCCGCGCTTGCAGTTGTTTTGCGTTTCCCTCTGTCGCCAAACGCCGGAGAAAGCCACCACCGAAGCGGACACGAGCGCGAGCTGGAACTGCCCAGCATGGTTACGACAAGGAGCATGAAAAGCGGACAAAAGTCGGCGTCGCCACAGGGGAGCAATGGCGAGCAAAACCCGGAGCCAGCCAAGCGCGCTGCTGTTCCCAAGGAGAAGAAGCAGCCCGTGCCAGCAGTGGCCGTCGAGGACACGAACGCACAGCACAAGCCACAGCTGCGTACGTACAGAGGCAATTGCCACTGCAAAGCCTTTGTGTACGAGGTGGAGCTCCCGGAGATCAAGTCTGCCTTCGAATGCAATTGCAGCATCTGCCACAAAAAGGGCTACCTCTGGGTCTTCCCCGGCGATGGCAGGTTTGAGATTGTCAAGGGCACCGACGATACCCTTGCGCGGTACACCTTCGGACCGGAGAAGCTTACGCATAGGGTGCGGATTGATCAGAGCCCCTGAACAGGCTGCCGATAGCCTAAACTCGCATCGGCAACGCTAACTGGATGAACAGTTCTGCCCGACTTGTGCCACCCCGGTCATGGGGGAGTTTGTCGAGGGGAACAAGCGCGCTCTAAACGTGCGTTGGTGGCCTGCCTTGCCTGCCTCTCAAGGTGCGCGCGCCTGCTGGCTAACGCCAACGGTTCACAGGTCCGAGCCATACAGGGTGTCAACACCTGGGCCCTGGAGAAGCAGCCGTAAGTCGTGCATTGGCTTCTGCAAAGAACTGTCACTCTCATGCTGAGAACGGAAATAGCTACGACGGCGCCGCCCTAGGTGAAAAGTATGTGCCTCCGGAGCACAAGGGGCCCCTTCCTCCGGCAATCGACGGCCACAAGCTGTACACGGGCTCGTGCCATTGCGGGGCCGTGACCTTGGCCTTCATGAGCAAGCCTCTCGACGAAACGTTTACCGACCTCACGGCCGAGTGCAATTGCAGCATTTGCGGACGGGTAAGGGCGCCCTTAACACCGACCGACTTGGACTCGCAACATAGGCGAGCTGCCAAGGAAGTAGTACGGAGCCAGCTAACCTAGTATACATGCAACCAGAACGGCTATCGATGGACCTACCCGAGCAACAAGCGTGTTGTCCTGTTCGCCAGCGATCCCGCCAACCTCGGGCGCTACAGCTTCGCGCGCCACGTCCTCAACAAGACCTTTTGCAGGATTTGCGGCGTATGCATGACAAACGAGTACAGCGACCTGAGCGAGGAGGAGCGCAAGGCGCTGGGGGCGCTGCCGGCCCGCGGGTTCGCCAAGAGCATGAAAACGCAGCACCCGCTAAACCTGCGAGTCTTCCCCGATGTGGACTTGGCCAGGTTGAGGGCGCCCAAGCTGAACGACGGGGCCAAGATTATTTCGCCGCGGTACGTGAATCCGTAGGCAGACTGGGGGCCGATCGATCTCTATAAAAGTCCGGTTGGACCGATAGTCTATGCTTTGAACCGATTCTTTGCCTCGAGGTTGGTGTGTGATTGGCTCTCGTCGCCTTGAGACTCTGGTTCTCTCACCGGCAATGTGTTGCCACTTCGTCATAATTCCACCTTGCGAGGTGGTTCGATGTTCGCATCGAGCCGATAAGTTCATCTCGCGAAAGTTTTCCCCACGCAGTCTAGCAACGGCAGCAGCGTCGCCACGGCGGCAATGCAGTCGTCGCCTGGGCGCCCCCTCCCTCCCTCCGCTTACAAGACCAAACTGCGTCCCGCGCCGCTGAGATGGGTGGCTTCCTATCATGCCTTGGCGTGTGTGGAATATGCAGGAAGTGCCTCTCCTGCTCATACAGGTGGCTGCCAGACCTGCGTCATATAGTTGCGTCTCCTGAGTCCAGCCTTGAGTGGGAGGGAGGCGACGACCCCAGCCAAGGCGGCCCGTCGCTCACCATGACCCAGCGACGCGGAGCATCGGTGTCTTCCTCTCTCGTCTCTCGCCTCGTCGCGAGATTGGGGGCGACGCCTACTGTTAGTGCATACGTAAGGTCCATTCTCTCTCGAGGCATTGCCATGCCGCAGACTCACAGCCTGCCATCGACACGTGGAAGGCACAGTCCCATCCGTCCAAAGGATCGCCGCCAAGATGGCGCGTCCCATTTGCAGGCGCTGCACCACTGAGCTTAGCCCGAGGGGCGCCTTACATTAGCGACTGCCCCATTGGCGTTGCCTGGGGTGGTATTCCGCATCCGAAAGGAAGCAAGCTGAGCCTCGAGTCGACGCACGCGCGTTCCGCCATCAGTCGCTGTGCCCCAGTCCCTGCGGCCATGTTTCTTGCGCTGTGCAACGGGGTTACATTGCCGCCGTGGAACGAGGAGACCGATCAGCCCGTCTGACAGTCTAGAACAGCCGCCGCTACGAAGGGCAGACGCCAACCAATTCGCTTACTTGACACATGAGGTCCTGGGCCGTGTGCCGCCGTCTGGTGGCCCTGGTGCCTCGGAAGAGTGTGCACCAGAATTGCCCCTTCGAGAAGCTCATTCCCCCCGTTGCCGTCGCCGTCGGGGAAACTCTCCCATGTGGCGGCTTCATGTCTCGCCTTGGCCGATCGAGCAGGCGCCGTCGTCGAATAAACAGCAGGCGATGTGCGAAGGCACCTCCATCGCTGCGATACGTTGAAGCGTGTTTCTCCTCCTATCGCTGTCCGGCTGTGCCTGAGAGCCGCCTCTCGCCGGACAAAGCCCCCGTCCCGCCCGGCAATTCGCCCTGGTCCGCGATCCGCCAGATCTGGGCGAGGGCTAGCAAAGCCAAAGCGCCCGGCGGCGGCGCCCCCGCCGCCCCTCTGATCGCGACGATAGAGCCAATTGCGGGGACTGGGTGACGCCCCTGCCGTCGGCGCTCGCTTACACCAAGTAGTCTAAGATACGTAGTTGCATCATTGCATGTAAGACTTCGGGGCCACCTTCTAGGTGCTTGGGCACGGCCCGGCTTTCACCGTGTCGGGACTCGATTCCGCTCGGCGAGGCGCAACCCAGACGTGTCAAAGGACCCGCGGCAGAGGAGGGGGAGTAGGGAGAGTGCGACAGGTAAGCCGCCATGGCCCATTCCCGACTCTAACTTTATACTCGGCGCACCAGTGGACGCGGCCGGCGCCCGAACGGATCGCTGCGAAGAGTTGACAACTAGTCTGGCCGGGCGGAACGGTGGCTTGGATGGCTGTGGCCGGCATCTGTGATGGGTTCCCGGACAGGCAATTCGGACTCGCTGCCGCCGTACATTTGCGTTTAGGTGCCACACGGCACGCTTCGTACTTCGTAAAGAGAGGAGGATTCCTGGAACCCTGGGCTATGCCAAACCTTACACCAATACGAAGTGAAACCCTTTTGGCCGACGTGGACAGGTCTTCGGTCGTCGCCACGTGTAGAACGTGGCCCTTCCCAGGCCCGAGAGAGAGAGACGTCACTTGATTATCTTCACGCTGGCTACTTTCGGTTAGCAATGGGAGGTTTCACGGCCTATGCTTACCGGCTGATGGTAGAGTGTGAAACCTTTATGCATGCTGCGCCGCCGACGTGATGGAGGAGGGCGATTGACCTGCCTCGTCCTCGCCCTCGCGCGCGGTCGCGCGCATCGGGGACCAACGAGCCTTTGATGCTCGTCCCGCGGCGGGCCCGCCATCCACGGCAAGCTGCGAACTGGAATTGGAGGCAACCATCCACCCACCCAACGCTGACCATGTGCCAATCGACCAACGGGGGAGGGCCCCCAGCCGGCCCTCACGCCCATCATCCCTGGAGCAACAGGGTGAGACGACACGGGCTGTCTGCACGGGCACACCTCAGCGGGGTGTGGCACCAAAAGACCTGACCAGATCAGACCCTTGCCACAAGAATATGCGCTTTCGTGCAATCATTGCGTCCCTCGACCGTGAACAGCACCCGATGTGAAGTTTAAGACTGACGGTTGCCCGTTTCTCGGCCCCCCCTGCTGTACCCCAGAAACCCCGAGATCCCAAGAGCCACATTCGCATACATTCGTAACTGTAGGCAAACGCAGGGCAACCAACCAAGCGACTATGGCGCCATCGTCCAACACCTCGTGAGCCGAAGCCCTCTTCCCCTTTCCATCCATATCTTGCATCCCCCCGCGCTCGATCTTGCCTTGCCATGCTGCTTTTTCGGACTATTGGCGCTGACCAGCCAAACAGCGAACAAGGCGGCTTCTCGGGATGGGTCGCTAAGCCTCCCCGCATGCGGACGGCTTGTACGCAGTGCCACGCCGCAAAGGTAAGAGAACATCATCACCTCATCGGCGCCTCTCTGGCGTGCTTGCTTGCTTCCTGTCGCGGGTTGCTAATGCCATCTCGCATCTAGATTCGGTGTAGCGGGGACAAGAGCGGCTGTCAGAGATGCAACAGCCTAGGTCTTCACTGCGAGTACGTCGTGTCCATGGTCGGCAGGACACCCAAGCGACAGCGCAAGAGTTCCGAAGCCCGATCGCAGAGAGCGCATCCGTCACCGCCCGAAAGTCAGCCATCCGAGCAGTCGCTGCCTAGGTCGTCCTGCCCGTCGACCAGCGGCTCCGTCAGCGAAACCCCAGTGTCTGCCGCGAACGCCCCGGGGGACAACTTCGACCCCTCGCGGACCATATTCGTCTCGGGCCCGCACATGCCCCAGACGGACTTTACAGACGATCAACTCTTCGACTACCTCAATGACGACAGTTGGGCTTCCGGAGGGGCGGCCTGTCCCACAGGCATCGACGACGGTCAGAGCTTCCCGGAGGCGACGGGCTTCGAAATTGAAGGCTTTTCTATACCGCAAGACTTGAACCCTACAACGACCAGCGGACCACCGTCAACCATGGCTATGTCGGTGCATCAGCCCCCGCCGTTGACCTCTGGGATGCCAAGCTTCTTCCCAATGAGCCCTCGATCACCCAGCCACAGTTCAGGCGCAGCCTCAGGGCAGAATGGCCAAGACTGGACGCAATTTGTGCACGTCGTGGCCCTCTGTAAGATGGTGCGACTACTCGAGAGTCACGTCCAGACCAGATCGACCGCTGTGGACGAAGTAATGCGCCTGAACCAGGCCTGCATCCGGGACATCTCCAAGATATCAGCAAAGAAAGAGTATATGCAATGCAGGAGCTGCCCTGCTTTGATCTCCACCATCATGGAGCTCATTGTTACGCTCTACGAAGACATTACAAAGAACCCCAGTCACGAGCAGCTGGCTTCGTCCGCGATGTCGAAGCCCAACGCCCCATTTTTGCAATTCGGGGTCTTCGAGCTCGACCCCGAGGAGCAGACCATGATCCGCAACAGGATCATCCGCAAAGAGGCCCAAAAATGCGTCCAGATCATACAGGTCCTGAAGCGGCTGCTCGAATCCGAGGTAAACACCCCGGATAAGGCTTCCTCACAATCCCTGGCACTAGGGAACTGGTACGAAGGAATGGAGAAGAGGATGAGCGATCTCGTTTCGAGTTTGATGCCGTCAACGTAGGTTTTTATGAACTTCTAGAGGTGGCGCCGAGGCACGGATTCGAACTTTTTGGCTACGCATGTGTGCGCCGATAGGCTGCTTGATTCAGTGTGTAAATGTTCACGGCTGCGCTGCCCGGACGCACAAAGGCCTGGATTCGGCTGGAGCTCGAGGAATGTACATATCGAGACCCAGACCCAGGTACAAACGAAAGAAATGTTTCGACCATGAGTTCACGATTGGCTCGCATGGGCTCCGTGACAGCTGCACTGCTACGACACCGCATGGTAGGTCTGGTGTCTGGCTGCTTCGAGTAGCATCATCGCTCGACATACGAACTGTCTATGCAACCCCATCGCACACTTGGGGACTTGCCATGTGTCGCGAATGCAGCATACGCCGAATGTTCGGCCTGCGCTGCATCTTCATCGAATCATCGCTGCATCCATGCCGGTCATGCTGACGTCTGACCGGAGGATCGTGGCCCCTGTGCAGGTTGACCAGATTCGGGACTGCTCGGTCCAGCTACCGGTGTTTTATTGTAGGCCATCCGATAGGTCAGTCTAATTCCTGGAGGCCGGCAGACCTGAATGAGGGACCGACGCCACTGCACTTCTGTCGGGGCGTCTGGTGTAGTGTAGTCGCCCAGCGGACCGCACCGCGGACCGATGCCCGACCACCCGCCTGCAAGCTTCCCGTCGATCGTATCATGTCAGCGGTAACATAATCTGTCAGATAAAAACAGATGCAGTTCTTTGGTCGACAGCTAGTGAGCTCAACTATCTGACATTTGCCAAGACTCTCCGGTACCACGAGAGAGATATTGTTTGTCGCTTCAATCACTTGCATACGGGTAGCGGCACAACCATGGCTGCGGCAAGCACACTCAGTTACTTCACGGCGGCGGGTGTGACCCCGCTGGTTGTCGTCGCCGCAGTCGTTGTATATGTCGTATACTCTTTTGTCCAGTATGCTCAACTCCGGGCCTTCAAAGGCCCAAAGTGGGCTGCGATCTCGAAGCTGTGGCTGCTCAATTGCGTCCAGAGCGGGAAGATGCATCACATTTTCCATGACATCAGCACAAAATACGGTACGTCCAGCGCTGATAGCACTTTTTTTTTTTTAACGAGACTGTTCGTCGTAGCTAACGGTGTATGGCAAAGGGAAATTTGCTCGAATTGGGCCGACGACTCTCCTTGTCGCAGACGTGGAGTTTCTTCGCAAAGTGAATGCTCCCAAGAGCAAGTACCATCGCTCAGATTGGTACAAGGGATCTCGGTTCACTCCAAATGAGGACACTCTAATCAGCATGACCGACGAGGTCGAGCACAAGTCTTTGAGATCAAGGATGATGGCGGGAGTGAGTATTAACTAGTCCGAGTTCCACTGACCGCGCTCCCGCAACTGACACGCGTGCAGTACAACCTGAAAAAGGAGAACGAGCGATGCGAGAGTGCCATCAATGGCCAACTCGGCGTCATGCTTGATCTCATTGAGTCAAAGTACCTGTCAGACCCCAGCAGTGGCAAAGTTCGGCCTTTGGACTGGGGATACCTGGCGAGCTACTTCTCCATTGACTCAATCACCGACATCTCCTTTAGCCAGCCCCTTGGCGATCTCAAAGAAGACAAGGACAAATGGAACTTCCTGCACAACACTGAGGACAACCTCAAGCCCATGTCATTCTTTACCATCTACCCTGAGATTCTCAACATCATTCCGACAACACTCATGGTGAAGTTTCTTGCACCTCATCCGGATGACAACAGCCCTTTCGGCATGGTCATGGGGTGAGTGCTTACATCCAACCTGACGGCCCTGGAATATAGCCACAGAAATACTAACCTTTGAGGTAGTTTTGCGCGGAAGTGCGCCCGTGAGCGCTATGGACCGAACAAAGTCGAGAAGAATGACATGCTTGGTGTCTTCGTCCGCCAGGGTATGACGCAACACGAAGCAGAGCGAACCGGCCTGCTCCAACTGTAAGTTTGACGGGTGTACCACACTCTTACTTGGCGATGCCATCTGACGATCTCTAAGTGTTGCTGGCTCGGACACTGTTGCGACTTCGCTGCGAGCGGCCATTCTCTACATCGCGAGTGACCCGTCAATTGTGCGCCGGATCCGTGCTGAACTTGCCTCTGCTGGCGTCTCCCCAAGCCGTCCCACCTCTGAGATCATCAGCTACAGCGAGGCGCGAAATATCAAGTATCTCATCGCCGTGGTTCGTGAGGTGTTGCGCATCCACCCCCCTGCTATCGCAACGATGGAGAAGCAGTTGGGTAACGAGGACGATGTCCTTCCCGACGGGCGCGTCATCCCTGCCAGGACCATCATCGCCCTCTCGTTGACGACCATCCTTCGGGATCCGGAGGTCTTTGGCCCTGATGCGGAGCTCTTCCGGCCCGAGCGTTGGCTCGAAGACATGGACGACGAGAGGAGAAAGAAGATGGATAGGGCCCATGAGCTGATCTTTGGCTCGGGACGGTTCATCTGCCTGGGTCGCGAAATTGCGATGATGCACATTGTCAAGGTGGTTTCGGAGGTACGTCAACACCCAAGACCTACGATAGGATGGTGCATGTGCTAACTGGATCAGATCTTTTACCGATACGATGTCAACATCATGACCCCCGAAAAGCCATGGCACAGCCTGGCGTTCGGCATCTTTGTACAGCACGACCAGTGGGTGAAGGTGACCAAGCGAGATCTTAGCCGCGAGGGGGTTCCGCTGTCTATTGGGGTGACAGAGAATGGAAAGGCGAACGGCGGTTTGGTGGAAGAGGCCCCGGTGCAGGTCGCCGTCTCGAGCCAGTAGGGAGATGGCCGACTCTGGGACGCGAGAATAAGAACCACATGTTGTCCTGGCCAAAATACATGGAAGTTTTTCACATACTAGACTGAACGTGATTGAAGGTGCAATGTAGTCTAAGCGACACGCTCTTCATGCCTCCATACCATGCTCCTGCAAACGCACCCTGAAGCCTGTAGACGATCCAGACGACGACCGACAGGATGCATGCACCGGGCAACCTTCTACGCCCCGAGCTGCTACATGGGTCTCGGACATGTGTGTTCACCGCGAGTGTAGTAATGGAGGGGTAATTGGTATGGAGTAGCGACATCGCAGGCAAAGGCATCACGTCGTGGGAGAGTCTCTGGAGTGTTGCCGCATTGCAGGCGATGCCTGGGCAGTGGCGGATCCCGAGGCACGACACTGTCTGTGACCAGCCCCTGCGTCTTGCCTAGAATGCAGGACACCGAAATCGCTCGATACACCGGACAGGCTGCCAATTTCTGAACGCAGACGGACCAAATGCGCACGGTAGTCAGGTTTCACTGAGAGCGCAGCAGCTAACGTTCCAATTGCGACCGCCCTCGGGCCGCTTGGTTCGCCTCGGCGACTTTCCCCGGAGACATTTGCGCCAAAGCGGACCGCGACATCGTGGCGCCCCCAATTCTCGAGCGCAAGCTCCGATGCCCCTGGCAATTGATAAGATCCTAGAGACATCCCTGCATTGAGGTCGGTAACAATCGTAGAGAGTATTGAGTCCTTGACACTGCACAAGGCAAGCGGCATTTCAGTACGACCCCGGATCGTGTAAGTGACGCTGGACCATCATCGCCCAAGCCCGCATACCAGGAGCAAAAAATCGCCATGGCCGCAACGATGGTAGCCAGCACAAAGTCGATTGGTGAGCTCAATCGCGAGTGGTTTGAGTGAGTTTCTTTTACGCTGCGCAGGTATCGGCATCGTGGCTGTGGTGTTGACGCTATTCCAGCTCCATGGCTGGGTCCGCGTACAAAGCGGATTGGGTGCGCGATCTTCTTCAGCAGATCAGCACGTTTCTGCGCGACAATGTCGAATGGGTCGCAAACCCACAAGAAGGCGGGCTCAAGATTCTTGACTATGCCTGTGGCGGAGGCATCGTCTCCATGGTACGGGCGTGACCATTTCCATGATCAAATTTTGGCCAGCACTAACCATTGATCAAGACCATGGCACCGTATGCCTCTACACTTCGAGGCATCGACATCTCCGGCGGCATGGTTGAGCAGTACAACGACACGGCCCGCCGTCTGGGTCTGCCCACGGAGAAGATGCACGGCACCCGCGGTGACCTACTCAACGACGCCGACGCCATCAACGGGCCGGAATTCAGGGACTTCAATGCCACGCTTATGTCGATGGCCCTCCATCACGTTGCGGACCCCGCGAAGATGATTAAGAATCTTGCTGAGCGTCTGGCTCCCGGTGGCTCGTTGGTCATCATTGACTGGGTTTCGCACGGAAGGACACCGCCGGGCCAGACGCCGCACCCGGCGTCTCACACGGTCACTCGCCACGGGTTCAGTGAGGAGGAGATGAAGGCGATGTTTGCCGACGCCGGACTGTCCGACTTTGGATACCTGCTGCATCCTCAGAGGTCTAGGATGCCAATGGGAGGCGAACAGCAGCTGTTTTTCGCAAGAGCGAGGGCGCCTGTCGCAGAGGAGCACCTGTAGCGATAAGGAAACAGAGGGGGGCATTCAGTCAAAGGGCACTGGGCTTTCGAGATTATACGTACACATGGTACTTATATAGAATGACACATGCATCAACGCGAGCATTCCAACTGCATCATTAAAGGTGTACTTGCGTGTGCCTAGAGTGCTCTGGATTTTTAAAGGTCCCGGCTCAATTCATCGCACCCTTCGAGCTACAGGGAGTAGGATTTGGCGTCTATTGTCCCCAACATGGAATTCACGGCGGGCAGCCTGGTCTAGGTCATGAAAATAAATATTACTGTCAGTTCATTTAACAATCTCATCATGTTTTACATCCTGCCACGCATCCGTAGCACCTTGCAATGCTGGTATATGATCCCCAAGCCAACCAAGTCGCACCAGTGACCAAGTGAGAACCGCTTATGCATTCTCCGAAGCGTCCTTCTCGTCGTTCGCCGGTGCCGCCTGCTGCTGACCCGGGCGGAAGTCGTTCCACTCAGGCACAAACGCGAACAAGAAACCCACACCTAGGAGAGCGACGGCGATGGCGAACGAGACCTTCAATCCGTCCATGTACGCCTCGAGAACACCATGTAGCTCGTCGCCTGAGAACTCAGAACGCAGCTGGCTGGCACCAAGGTGGAGTAGTGTATCGGGATCAACAGTTGGGGCGCGTACGACAATCCTCTTCACCAGTGTTGAGGCGAAGGCGGCTTGGGCACAGGCAACTGAGAAGGAACCGCCGATGATCTGGAAGAAGAGAGTGATGGCAGACACGGACGAAATGTCCATGGGCGACACCGCTGCTTGGTTGGCCATCAAGGGGATCTGAAGCGTCATGCCCATACCCATGCCAGCGATGAGCTGATATCCGACGTACTTTCCTGCCGAAGTGTCGAGGCCGAACGTGTACATGAGGCCGGCGCCAACGGTCGCAATCGCAGCGCCGATAGCCATGAGTGGTGCCCAGGTCCGGCCGTACACAGAGACGACGAAGCCGGCCGCTATGCTAAGGAAGCAACCGATGTTGATGGGCAAATTTCGGACGCCGGATGCGATCGGCGACGCGCCTTGGACGGACTGGAAGAAGATCGGGAGGTAGTAGATGAGGATGAAGAATCCGCCCGAGACGAAGAAGACGTGGGCGCAGTTAGCCCAAACGCGACGCATTTTCATCAACCGAGGCTCGAGAATGGCGCGGTCGCCCATTAAAATCTCGTTGCCGACGAACAGTGCTGAGATGAGGACGAATCCGACAATGGTTCCGATGACAGTGCTGTCAGACCAAGGCTTGAATGAGCCACCCCACTGGAACGCGAGGATGAAGCAAACCACCGCAGCCATGACCAAAAAGGTCCCGCCAAGGTCCATTTGCAAGAACTTTTCCTTCATGGTCGCCGGCATTGGCTGCGCCGCCTTGGGTGTCTTGTAAAACAGAATAATGACAGCAGCGGTAACGCCGCCGATGGGCAAGTTGATCCAGAAGCACCATCGCCAGGTTACCGACTGGGTCAGGGCGCCCCCGAGGAGAGGTCCAGCTAGAGAGGCCACGGCATAGCACGCGCCCCCGAGGCCCATGAATGCTGGGACGTACTTTGGCGGCGCCGAAAACGCAATGAGAATAAAGACACCGGCCGTGACGCCCGAAGCGCCGAGGCCTGCGATGGCGCGGCCCACGACGAGCGCCGTGCTGTTGGGGGCGAGGGCGCAAATCAGGCTGCCCACCTCGAAGATGAAGATGGAGAGGAGGAACATCATCTTTTTGGGAAAGTACTTGAAGATCTTGCCCCAGGTCGACTGGAAGGACGCGGACACGAGCATGATGGCTGAGGCGTACCAGCTGACGTCCTTGATGGTGTGGAACTCGTTTGTGATGTAGGGGATCGCGGTCGCGAGAATCGTCGTGTCGAGGTTCGCCGCGAACAGCGCCAGGAAAAGGCCGATCATGATGACGGTCAGGGCGCGCGGGCCGGGGAAGTCGGAGGTGTCCATGACCCATCCCGCTGAAGCATCAGCGGCGTCGTCTTTTTGTTCTTCTTGATGTTGCTCGTCGACAGCGGGTTCGTGTACGCTGGTGTGCTCTGTGTTGCTCGTGTTGGAAGAGTTGAGTTCTTTGGCTGACAGCCCATCAAGGGGCTTTTCGGTGTGCTTCTCCGCCATGTTTGTGGAGTGGTCCATGGCTGGACGCGTCGACTTGACGGCGTGCAGTGATGAGATGCGCCGAACGTAGGGCTTTGCTTGCAAAATCCGATGTGGACGTCCGGCTCAGACGCTCTCCCCGTTGAATGCAGTAGAATCCGTAAATTCTCAGGAAGGAATTATCGTCACCGCGGTCTTAGAAGTTCCTGAGCGTCAGAAAACAATTGAGATCCGGCACTCGTGGCTGGAGGATCACTCGAGAATGGCCGACATCGAGCTTCAAAAAGACGGAATCAAGCCGGTGGCTGCTGCTTTCATGTATTAGCGCGAGCCCAGGGTCGATCTCCCTGCATTAGTCTGCGATGGGAGCAACGGGCCGTTGCGCGTTACCCACCGAGACAAGTGAAAGCCAGGGGTTCCCTCGAGGTGCGACCTGTAAATGCGCACCGGGCTGCAATAACGCCTGAGCAAACAAAATCAGCATAAAGTACGTTAGCTCGGCGACTTTTGCGGCCAACGCGTGCACTGTGCGGTAACTCTCCGCAGGCATTCTGGCGTTGGGCCCAACCGGAAAGTTTAGCGAACAAATGTGGCCGAGCCGCCACCAGATTGGTCCATGCGCGCATCAGGGAAGCAGATCTGCCGGCATATCTCGCCGTGACGGGTGTGACAGCCCGATAAGCTCATGGGGCACCTTGATGGGTGGTGTGATGTTGAATGTGCCCGACCGAGGACGCATGTTGAGGTCAATGACGCAATGGCTGTGAAGAGATTCACGGGGTTGAAAGCAGAGGAGAGGGGAGCGCATGATGTTGGCCGTGTAAGTCGCCGGAAACATGCCTCAGACACACGACCAACATTAAGCCGCGACAGGTTTGTAATGATGTAAGCTGCAGGATGGAAAGTTTGCGAAAGATGTCAAATCATCGGACGGGACAATTTTAATCGCATTGCAAATACGAAAGAACAAAGAGGTCTGCAGACGGCAAACTGGCGGGCCGGTACAACCCCAGGCTCATCGCCGGACGGGTCCTACGCCGGGCGGAGGTCAATCGCCTGGACCCATGCGTTCCTCAGCGGATAGATCCTATCAATCTTCCATCCCGTCTCCTCCACCAGCTTCCGCCACTGCGCCTCCGTTCGCTCTTGTCCATTCGCCGTCATCATCATGTTAATGTCTCCATACCGCGAGAGCCTCCCCATACGACCATCAGACAGAATCGACTCAAACACGACGAGGCGACTGACGGGCCCAGACACGATGGCCTTTCGGACATTGCGCAGGATCGTCGCCGCCGGTTCGTCGGTCCAGTCGTGCAAACACCACTTCATGACGTAGACCTCGGTCGGTGGCACCCACTTGAGAAAGTCACCGCCGATCAGGTTCGCCTGCGGGACGCGGTCCGTGAGATCCTCAAAGGTGCCGCCCTTGGAAAATAAATCGGAGCTGTGAGCAATGACATGGGGGAGATCGTAGATGCTCCCGCGCATGCTGGGGAAGTTGCGCAACAGCGTCGCGATGAATGAGCCGCCACCGCCACCGAGATCCAGCACGGTCTTGTCCTTCACCTCGTTCCATGGGTAATCTTCAACGATGCCCGGCGCCATGGCAGTCGCGCCTCCACCGAGTGTGCGGTGAAGCCTGGGCATCCACCCCTGCCCATTGAAGTACTCAAACATGTTCATGTCGGTATCGAAGTTGATCTGGGCCGCCCACCGAGTGGCGTCACTTTTCACCGATTTCGGAATGCCGCGAGCAATGTCGTAGAACTCGTTACCATACAGGTCGACCCAATTGTGCCACTGTGTCCAGTGGTCTGAGCGGAGGAGCGTCGAGACATGTGTGTTGGCATACTGCCCTGTGCTCGGGTTGTAGCTGAAGATGCCATTGTTGCGGAGCGGCATCAAAATCTGGCCAAGGCGGTCCGCTCGAGCATTGCTTGCCTTGGCGAGCTCTGGGACGGTCAAAGGGCCGTTGACAAGGATATCGGCCAGGTGAAGCTCGTTGGCCGCGACCAAGCACTTGGTGTCGGTGTAGCCTGAAGAACGAAAGTCAGCCTGAAGATGGCCCTAGACTCTATATACTCAAGGGATATAGTCACATACCCAAGAAGTGATCGGCGAGGATCAGATGCGCCGGCTGGAGTAGCTGCTCCACTTCGGCCAGGAGGTCGACGGTGCCGGAAGCCAGGCCCGCGATTGCCTTGTCCGGGAGACGCTTGTCATCGTGGAGCGCCCCTTGCAGCTCGGCAGCAATGTTGGCCGACTTCAGGGCTTCGAGTGACGTGCGAAGGGTCTGTTGCAGATTGCTTAGCACCGTGGCGAGGCTCTCCCCGCCAAAGGGTTGAGACGGCATGTTGTCGACGTGAGGTGCTATTGTTGGTCTAAGACTCTAGTTCGTGTGTGCCAAAATGACGATGCTACAATGGCGACATAAACAAGCTCGAATGTTTACGATGCGACCTGCTGTCAGTGACATCAAACTGCCAATTGCAAACTTTATCTACCACATACGGTGTTTAGCCATTCGGATGCCACCATCATGCCAGCGCCGCAAGGAGGCCGCGACCGGCTTACACGGGGGCCTAAAAGTTGGCCACAGCGGCGACCGATAACACAGCGCGCGGCCCGTTATGTAATAAAGCTCCGGCCCGGATACATTTCGCTGGCAGGCGCAATCCTTCCATTTGTCGGGCCTTCACACCCTTTCCATACCTCGTACAACCCGGCCAGGGTCTGGAGCTGGCCGCTGCTGTCAGGGCGGGGTTAAGTATGAAGCTCTTTGGACCAAGGTCGTCGTTGGTGGCGGGCAGTACATTAACCATGCGATTCTACCTCGGCGCCGTCTCACACCTCTTCTTGGTCTCCCAAGCCAGAGCGTGTCTCGCATCGACAGTCTCCAAAGCGCATACGCAGACTTTCCACAGCAACGCAACAACCATGCCTGCACTCGACGTGCTCATCATTGGCGGTGGCCCTGGCGGCCTGGCGGTCGCGACGGGCCTCGCGCGGCAGCTCTACACGGCTGTCGTTTTCGACTCGGGTGTCTACCGCAACGCTCGCACCAAGCACATGCACAACGTCCCGACTTGGGACCACCGCGACCCGGCCGACTTCCGGGCCAAGGCGCGTGCCGATATCCTCGCGCGCTACGACACGATTCAGTTCGAGGAGACCAAGGTCGAGTCCGTGCGCCGCACTGACAACGGGCGCTTCGAGGCGACTGACGCCAAGGGCACGACCTGGTCCGGCAAGAAGATTGTCCTGGCCTCTGGCGTCCGCGACATCTACCCCGACATCCCCGGCTACGATGACGTCTGGGGCCGTGGAGTGTAAGTGCGAAGTGATTATGTATCGCGCAAGATCAATTGATTGACTGTATATGTTCAGATACCATTGCCTGTTCTGTGACGGGTTCGAGGACCGCGACTCTGCCTCTGCAGGCGTTCTCGCAATTGGCGACATCGCCAAGATGCCGCCCGCCCTTCACCTCTCTCGCATGGCCAAGCGGCTCGCCAAGAAGGTCATCATCTACACCGACGGCTCATCCGAGCTGTCAAACCAGCTCGTGACGGCGCTGGGCAACGACACGGTCATCTCAATCGACGACCGCCGCGTAACGAAGCTCCAAAAGGTCAAAGACGACTCCTCCGAGACCATTGTGCATCTGGAGGACGGCACGAGCATCTCGCACGGTTTTGTTGTGAGTCGGCCTTGTTCCATGTCACAGGCAATGGCAGGTAGACGCTAACCATAACCACAGGTCCACAAGCCCAAGAGCCAAGTCAGTGGCCCGTTTGTAGAGCAACTGGGTCTGGAGATCAACGAGATGGGTGTCATCAAGACGAACCAGCCGTTCTACGAGACCACGGTTCCTGGAGTCTTTGCGGTCGGCGACTGTGCAGCGCCCATGCCCGCCGTGGTGAACGCATTGGCGATGGGTGCGTTTGCCGCTGGTGGACTCGTCGCACAGCTTGGAGCCGAGTAATTGGCACAGAGCGTATATAGACAATGTAAACAGGATTGCTCGCCAAACTTGTTCATCGATTCGATGTGCGAAAAGAAAGATACGGTGATTGAGTTGAGATCCTTTCACATATTCAGCTGCCTTCAACCTTCCACCGGGTCATTCAAGTCCCAACGCTTCACCAATACGATTCAGCGCATCGTCCAGCACGTCAGCGGGCACCGCGAAATTGATTCGCGCCCAACCCTCCATCGGCTCTGGGCTGGTGCTTTTGCCGCGCATGCGGAAACTCTTGCCAGGAGACACAAGCACCATGGCTTTGTGCCGCAGTACATCCATAACATCTTCACCCTCGTGCTCAGGAGTGGACATTCTCTGTCGCTTGGTCACCTCGTTGTGCTGGCTCTCGTCCGACGGCGCGATCGCATCCCGGTCGCGCCCATGGCGCTGCAGATCCCCAACTTTGACGCCGAGATATGCGAGAACGTAGGGACCACTCGTTGCCGGAATGAATGGTGCGCCCCATTTGCGTAGCCGGCGAGATATGATCTCGTGGTGTTCTCGCAGTCGCTGCCGGTTCCGAGCGACGAGCTCATCGAATGATTCGGATGTCAGCAGCGCGTGAGTAAACAGCATCGAGATTGTCGGTAGCTGAGTTGTCGACAAGAGGCCGAGCGACGTGGTGAGCAGCGAAGGACCAGCGTCCGCCTCACGACCCTCCGTGGAGTCGCCACTTGTCTGCGAGCTCGATGGACGGCGCCTGGACACATGGACACCCATGCGAAATCCACTTGACCCAAGGTCCTTGGATGTGCTCCAGATGACACTGATGGCAGGCATTTTGTCCGTCTCGAGCTCGAGCGCAAGTGCAGAGGTAAAGGGTATGGCAAATTGCTCCTTCAAACCATTGACAGGCAGTGCCACTGGCTCATTGGCGCTGGTTGTGCTAAGCGTCACTCCATTTGTGTCAGGCAAGGCGCCGACACTGGAGAAGTCCGAGATTGCGTATACTTCATCCGAGATGTAATGAAGGCCGCGCTTACCACACCAGTGGATTGCCTCCTGGAGGATGTGCTTGGGGTAGCACCGGGCGATTGGATTGTGCGGGTTCGTTATCACGAAAGCCTTGACGCGGTTTTTGTCCTCACAGCCGTCGATCGCTCTCTCAAGAGCCGGAACCAACGACTCCGACAGCAGGTCGTCCGGATTATCTAGCAAGCAAACCGCATCGGTGTACACCGGGATGATGTTGATGTTCGGACGGAGCAAAAAGTGAAAGTCGAATCCACCTAAGTCCCAGTGTCAGTCACTGCATGGCATCGTTAACGTGATTTGGTGACCTACTCCAGTACGGGGCCAACACCAAGATACTGTCGCCTGCCTCGCAAATACTAAACAGCAGCGAGTCCAAACAGCTGCTTGCGCCGGGCGTGACGACAATATCCCGGGTCTCTACCTTGGACACGGGATCGAAGTACTTGTTGAAGAACGCCGCAAAGGCCTCTAGCAACTTAGGATCCCCACCGAATCCATCCGGGTATGAGAGCCCCTGTGCGCAGCGTCAGGCAACGACCAAAACAAGCCTGAAGTAGAGCCGCGATGTGCTTACTGCCTCTGTCAAATTCTCTTGGATGGCGTTCTTGCAGATTTCGACAATTTCTGGCCGCAGCAGCCAGTTTTCCGCCGTTGCGAGGTCAATCTTGCGTACGGCACTGGTACGCTCCGCAATCGTGGCAGCGATCTTGGGAAGAATGGCCGAGGCCGTCTTCTGCATACGCGATGATAGTTCCGCCATTGCAGGTTAGGAATACTGGGCAAACTTTGGATCTGACTATTGGCGATAATGCACTCGTTGAAGGTATTGCTAACACAGTCGACTGTGACGCTATCTGGACACTTGGAAGCTACAGAGGCATGGGTCTAGTTACTTGGGGCCGATTTCGGGTGTCCGGTGGGTAAGCTCACCTTACCTTTGCGAGTCAAGTATGTCGGACCGCTAAGATGGGCGGCTTCGCTGCGGCTCTGTCCGAACAAGCGGCCGCCAGATCTTGGGCCAGCATGGTCCGGGTCGCTGATGTTCCACGGCCTCCTGGCCTGGCCGCTTTACGTGGAAATTTGTGTTCAAAAAGCGTCGCTCGCCATGTAATGCATGGTTATATGGCACAAAGATGCAACATTAGCCAAGGCTTTACATCAATATTATCGGCATCATTTGTGTTGCAGCCAGTAAAGACGCTTTCTCGCACTACTGAAGATGGCCACTACAGTCGACACCACGACCAGCACCAACGGTGAACTGGCTCGTGTGAAGAACCCAGAAGTTGTTGAAGGGGATCCCGAATTCGACGGACGGGTCATCATCTACGTCATTAAAGGTGAGAATACGGCTTCATCCACGAGCAGTATGCGAGTGGAAGCCGCAACAGGCATCTAACATGGCACATAGCCGACGAGACATCGTACATCAATTACATCAAGCCGCTCATTCTTGCGCGGGAGCTAAACGCCCCACATGTTCTCGCCATCATTGACACGCACAGCCAGTGGTACTACTCCATTCACCCCGAGCGTTATGTGCCAGCCATTCGCGACCGCGACCCGGTCACCGGGGAAGACGCCATCGTCTTTGAGGGCACCGCGTGCATCCAGTACCTCGCCGAGCGGTTCGACAAGAATGGCGATTGGACCGGCCGGACGGCGGCGGAGAAGGCCGCCGTCATGTCGTGGACCGAGTACCAGACTGCCGGAATAGGGTGTGTCGGCAACGCGCTCGCTAGCAACACGTTCCGCCCTCGGCATTGCTAATCCTGTCACAGGGCTACCGCCAAGTACTGGCTCTACTTTCTGCGCGGGTACCCCACCAGGGCGAACCCAGTCCAGCTGCCTCGGACTATTGAGAAGTAAGCCCGCGGATGACGTTGACTCCAGTCCCCGGCCGGTCGCTGACTTGGACATTTTGCAAGGTTTCACTCCAACACCCTCAAGCAATGGGACGTGTTGGAGAAGCAGCTGTCGAAGCCCGGCCACGACTACATCGCGGTAGGCAACCGCCCGACGCTCGCCGACCTGGCCTACTACCCGTTTGCCATGCCGTGGATGTTCAAGTTCCTCAGCGTGGACATCAAGGACTGGCCGCACATCGAGCAGTGGGCCGAGCGGATGTCAGCGCGGCCGGCGTTCAAGGCCGTCTTGGAGACCGCGCCCACCATTGGGCATTGAGCAGGAAACAAAGGAAATGTTTCCGGCCTCGGATTGGTAATTATTTTCGCAGAGTGCCCGAAATGTTTCCAGCTCGGCGGGATATTGGCAATCTGGGCAATCCCTCCGCAATGTCTCCCGATTTCCCGATTGGGAACAACGGCCCGTTACTCGCAACGGGCCGGACCGGTGTGGGTGGGTCCGTCCAAACACTGCTTAGCCTCCTCTGTCGGTAGTCGAATGTACATCCTCGCCTTGTCAGTGCCGGCTCGTAACTTCCATCGGACATTACGCTTGCGTCGACTCCATGTTCAGTATCACCGTGTATGGCGCCAATGAGCTGCCCAACGTACTCTTCTATGAGTGCAGGCATCACCTCTGGACAATGGCGGGATCACAACCCCGGGGTATGCACATGAAGACCGGGGTCAAACAGCTTACCCGGGACCTAAGTTGCCCAAGTTACACTTGACAACTGCACCTTCCTTTGTCATCATACTTTCTTGGCATGCAATTGTTAAGAAAGTAGCGTATTTTACACCAATTTGACTAACAACTGCACCACCAACTTTGCGAGCCGCGCGCTGCGCTGGCTCTGGCAGCGGCCATGGCAACTGCCATGGGCTCGCATGCCGGCTCAGATCCCTTTGATCTGGATAATCACATTCCCTTAACTTTTGCCGACCGGGCCCGTGCTGCCCAGCTCCGAAACAGTTCTCCGGTCGTCGACCGGCCGATCGGTGTCTCGCCGGCGCCACGGCGACCGGCCCAGACGCCGTCTTCGCCTCTACTCCGACTCGCCCACTCTACTGCTACGGAAGTCGCGCAGCCTGCATTCTCGCCGTATAGGCCCTCGCTAGAACCCATTCTGGAGCCCGTCTCTATCGTCGAAGGCGCCAACAGGGTCGCACAAGAGCAAACGGATGCCTACAACGCCAAACTAGCAGTCTTTCATGCATTCTGTGAATCATTCGACCAGGCCGCGAAGCAGTTCACGTCTGGGATTGAGCATACTTTCGCGAATCAATTCGCCACCAGCTTCCTCGACTTCTGGCGCCAGTCTCTGTCGATACTGCCGCCCGTGACAGCGCCGACGTACAGCAGCGTCGCCGCCGGTCGCAGTCCTCTCCAGGCCCCTGCGAGCCACGCCACCGCCCCTTCTGTAGAGGCCCCGCCATCTGCACCACAACAAACAGGCGAAATACGTCTCCAGGGACGACCAATCCCCGCCCCACCGAAAGAGGACCTCCGGGTCTTTGTGCGACTTGACGCCGAAGCACCGGCGAGGAAGTTCGAATCGTACGCGATCCGGACCCACGTCGCCGCGAAAGTCGGCATCGACCTCCACCAAATCCCGGCAGCCTTTCCCGTGAACTCGGGCTGGGCTATTCGCACGGCCGATGCAACCACTAGAGACCTCCTCGTCCAGCGCCAATCCGAATGGGCTGACGATCTCGGCGCGGAATCCGTTGAAGTCAGCAAGAAATGGTACACCTACGTGGTATCCAATTGTCCTCGCAGGCTCACTGATCTCCAAGGCAACGAAGCCGACTACGACGAAGCCGTCAAAGGCGAAATTACCTGCCAAACCGGCCAGACGGCCGTCAACATCCGCCCTAGTCGTCACGACTCGAACGATTTTCCTGTCAAGACACTCCTCGTGTCTTTCCTCAAACCCACGCAGAAACCCTGGCGGCTTTTCGGCTCCAGCAGACTGGCCCGATACATCGACAAACCGGTAGCGCCCCGCCAATGCGACAAATGCTGGGACTTTCACGCCCGACATAGCTGCGACCGCCGACCGTCCTGCAAGCGATGCGGCAAGGCCGGACACGACGACTCCTCCTGCGCAGCGCCGGAGCAGTGTGGCAACTGCCTCGGACCGCATGCCGCAGATTTCCTGAAATGCCCGGCACGTCCCATACGGTCCCATGGCGCTTTCCGCCGATTGACCAAGGAAGAGAAAACCCGCGTCCGAGAAATGGGCGCTCAGCTATCCGCCCAGCTAAAGCAAAACACGGCACAGGCGGAGGCGCTCTCCCGATCGGACGGAGGGCCGCCTCAGGCCGTGAGCCCCTCACCCGGACCCGCGCCCTTGACCGCGCCTGAGGCGAACGACCGCCTTAGCCCTTCTGCCCCTGGCAGCACGCCAGGCAGCACGCCCGGCAGCACGCCCCCCAGCGCTCCCCAGCCCGACGACAAACAACACGAGCCCGAAGTCGAAACCTTACGAGCGGAGAGCGAAACCTCGACCCTCAGCCCAACTATGACTATAACTCCGCCATTCATCATCGTGGACACGACTCCTCGGCCCGTGAGCAGACCGGCCTCTCCTTCCAAGAAACGACGCATCGACCCCATCGATCCCGTCTCGCACGATCAATGACGCGATATTCCCGTACTCAACAAAACGGCAAGAAGAACCTGCGTATCTTCCAAGCGAACGTGGGCAAGATCCCGCCGGCTCATGACTGTGCCCTCGCCCTGGCCGACGCCGAACAGTACGACGTCGTCTTATTGCAGGAGCCGTGGACAGAAGCGAAATATGGCCGCTGTCTCACCAAAACCCACCCAGCATATGATACCTTTTCTCCAGTCGATAGCTGGACCAACAATACTACCCGCCCAAGAGTCATGACATACGTCCGGCGACGCCCCGGCCTAACGGCCGACCAACGACGTCCGGCGACAACTCGTGACATTCTCTGGCTCACCATCAACAATACGACGATAGTCAACTGCTACCGACAGCCTGACTTCGACGGGGCTCTT